AAAAACCGTCAAATCTTTAAATATAGAGAACATTACATCTTTACTTTCTTTCATACAACAAACTTCGAAAAATGTGTTCATGATGAGGATAAGTCGGAAGAAAAATTATCAAATTAGTAAAAAAATATTAAAAGTTTTTAGACAAATACGAAAAGATTAGAAATGTTGTTTATTTATTTATTTTAAGAATGTGAAAAGACTTAATTTTAATGTAACTTATAGTTATGAACATAAATACATATGAAATAAATATTAAATAGAAAAGTTAAGTTAGAAGTAGTGGTATTAATTAGTTTTTAATTTTTTATTTTAAAATTTATGATTTATTAGTTGGATGAAAAGACAAATGTCCTCCACTCAGATGCTGATGTGGCAGCAGGATGGAGAGAGTTCACCTAAAATCATATATATGACTAGGAGAGAACCCGCGCATATATGCGCAGATCTTGTTTTAATTTATATTTTAAATAATATATTTTTATAATTTGTATTGAACTTTATGTTTATAATCAATGTTTGTGTTTAAAATATTATATTTTCTTCGTTTTTTTTTATGATATATTATTTGTAATTTCTTTTACACCTAATTGTGCTAAATAGTATAATTTTTCTTACAAAATAATAAGGGATTAAAAAATTATTATTTTAATTTTTGTATAAAAACGTAATCGTTCACTTAAAAATATACGTTGAATATCAGAGATAAATATTTATTTGTTATTCGATTCTTATATTTTTTTTATTCTTGTAAATCTTACTAATATAATATTTGTTAACTTTCTTAATTTTATATTTTGAATTTTTTGGTTATATATGTTATTGATTCCAACATTTTTTAATTTAAAAAAGCAAGTATGATATTTTTATGTAGACGCCCTTTTTTTTTACTATTATTTTTAATAAATTTTAATCATTTATTTATAATAACTTTTTAATCATTTATTTAATATTCTTTGTGTTTTATAATTTTATTAGTTAGAGTTTTATAAAATATTATTTTAAACTTTAAACTTATTAAGTTTTATTATTTTTTTACTTGCATAAAAATTTCAATTATATTTTTAATTTGAAAATAAAGTTTAAATCACTTAAAAAAAAAATAGAATGGTGCATTAAAAAGTTTTGTATTATATAATATTTATAAATTTTGTATATTGAAAATTAATTTGAATTCATTGTAATATATATATATATATATTAATGTTTATTTATATGTTCTTTAATGTATTTGCTTTAAATTTAATTAATTATTAATTTATTAATATTTTAAATTGACAGATGTCACTCTCTCCATTGCTGATGTGTCACTCAGCTGGAGAGAGTTGATTGTCTTTTATATATAAGATTCTTAAATAATATTTATGTAAATATTGAACAAGAATTTATGTTATAATTAATTAAAAATATTGATGGTTTTTTGGTATAAAATTTTAAAATTTTTTAATGATATTGCATTTAAAATTGATTGATTTATAATAATATATCAATTGATGATTATGTTTTTTTTAGAGAAATAAAAAATATATAAATTTGAAATAGTTGAAGAAAAAAACCCGCATGGTATGTGCGGATATCTTATATATAAAAGATTGCCAACTATCTCTATATGAGTGTCACCTCAGCATTTTAGAGTTAATATGGAGATGACATGTATCCATTTTTAAATAAAATTAATTAATAAATTTTAATATTAAGTTCTTAACCACTCAAAGAAAATGAAATTTTTTTATTAATTGATTCTTAATTAACATTTATGTAAATATTAAACAAATTTTATGTTATAATTAATTAAAAATATTGATGATTTTTTGTATAAAAACTTTTGATTTGTTAATAATATGAAAAGTTTTTTTATTAATTGATTCTTGAATAACATTTATGTAAATATTGAACAAGAATTTATGTTATAATTAATTAAAAATATTGATGGTTTTTTGGTATAAAATTTTAAATTTTTTAATGATATTGCATTTAATTTGATTTATAATAATATATCAATTGATGATTATGTTTTTTTAGAAAAATAAAAAATATATAAATTTGAAGTAGTTGAAGAAAAAAACCCGCACGTTATGTGCAGGTATTCACCTAGTAAATATAAAACTAGATGCACGCAGATATAATAAAGTAAATGACAATTTTTAACTAACAAAGAGGTAACGGTAAAACATTATAATAAAAATGTATTAAGTTATTAAAAAAATAACATATATTCAATTAATATTCTTTTAAATTGTTCATAAAACAATGTAATATTCTGAATAGTAATATAGAGCCCGTCATAATATGTACACAGCATACTAGTTGTGACATCCCGACCCACCCTCCTTTTAGGGACCGGACGCGGACCAGCGATATCAATCCTAACTCCTCCCAACCGCTTTTCCTAGTTAGCCCAACGCCTTCTTTAGGCACGTGGGTCCAACGTCCTCTCTCTATGCCCGTTGGCCCAATGTCTTCTTTAGGCCCGTTGGCCCACCACTGTCCGACAGTCGGGAGTCGTTAGTCCGGAAGGCTCGTAAGACTTGTCTACTGTCCTGCAATCACCATATGATATTTCCCCGTGCTTTGTCCTCACTCGCACGGTACCGCAGAGAACTTCCCGGTAGGTCACCCATCCTGAGACTACTCCACCATTGTCCGACGGCCGAGAGTCATTAGTCCGGAAGGCTCGTAAGACTTGTCTACTGTCCCTGCAATCACCACATGATCTTTTTCCGTGCTTTGTCTTCACTCGCACGGTATCGCAGAGAACTTCCTGGTAGGTCACTCATCCTGAGACTACTCCAACATCAACACGCTTAACTTTGGAGTTCTCTTAGCACACTTGACCAAAAAAGATAAGTGCACTTTGTTGACATAGGTAGCCAAATCAATTCTTATAAGTCTTTCCATATACCGGAAATCGAGATGTTACACTAGTAATCGTGTTGATTGATCCGATGCTGTAACATCGTCTTTTTGCAAGGCCTGTCCTGAACCCAAGTTAGCCAAACCTAATGCTTACAAATTTTATTTTTATAATTAAAAATGACCTTTAAATTTCACAATACATATTAATCTAGTCGCAATATTACGAAAAAACTCATACTAAAGATCATAAGTTAAAAACTTCATGGTAAACTGACCGAATTTTGCTTTTAACTTGTGACCTTTTAAAATTCAAAGCCCCGGTTCTATCTGCAAATAATGATATTCAAACGTTATTGATTAACATCAACAGTATAATTAGGGATATTAAAATATACTACATACGTATATTATAATTTTGATATTTAAAAGTGGTTATATGTGTATATTCTAAGTCTAATTAACATACCCCCAAGTAAATCGCAACTAACGACCTCAGCTTGAGTCAATATTATAATATCAGCTGAACTCTAAACGTAGCATCCCTTCTTTCTTGCCGTTTTGATTCCAATCACATGCATTCTGTGGAGATGAGGAGATAGTAATTAAGAAATGTAATGTAGATTCGTTAATGTTAGAGAATGATATATATGATGATGTCACAAGCTAATATTGGAGCCATGCACTAAATCAGCGGTTTCAAACGTGATTTGATTTGACCGGCGTACTGTATGGATTTGTAGTAGTTGTTCATTGTTTCATACCTCGGATTCAAATCCGTTAACTACTGTACTTATGCGAATAGTATAAGATAAAAAAAAAAAAAAAAAAACCGATATGACTCGTCTAGTCAGATCGATGCAACAATCTGGCTTGGATTTAAATTGTGGTGTTTTGATTTCATTCATCAAATATCATGCATCACATCTTTGTGTAATTGGCTTTTCCGATTGTTTGTCAACCTGTGATTGGCTTCAAGATTTGTGTTACCTGATGTGTTTAAGAAACGATTTAAGAAAAAGAAAAAAAAAGTTTTGTACCAAAATATATAGTTTGGATTTGAAATCGACGACATATATGCTTGCGTTCAGCTGTATGGATATCTTGATTTGCATGATCCCTTCTGAGTTTTTATTATTTTCTTTATCAAACTGTTAATTATAGTATATAACTGTTAAGGAACAAAGAAACTACGTGATACCGAAGGTGTGGTGGCTTAGTGGTCACAGGGGATCGGAGTGATTTTTTGTGTTCCAACTTCAATCATTTCTGGGAGGAGAATTACTCTTTTAAAACAAAATAATATCTAAAGGTTTTCAAATTCTCGAAAAAACTATGGATGAACCAAACTATGATTTTGTCATGTTTTACGTAAAAGGAAAAGAAAAAGAAACCATACGTGATGTATTGATGTTTCATCAACTGAAGAGGATGTTTGAAAATGATAAAAACCCTCGATACGAGGCAATGTTTTGAAAATCGGACCGAACTCTAAGTCGGCATGATTACTCGATGGCTGGTCAGACCGGTTCAACCAGTCAGACTGTGTTTTCCATTTTGTTCAACGAAACATCGGTTTTGAGCTGAGTTTTCTGGTTTAATCCAAATCCGGGTTTTAGCCCTACTCAGACTCGGTTTATTAAACGAATTACGGTCTGACAGCCCGGTTTTATTGCTCGAGAGGTTTAGGAACATTAGATGGGCTTGGTGTCGTAAGTAGCTGGGTCCAATTGTTGTATAGAGTTGTGTGTGTAAGCCTACCATTACATGCTTGAGAAATTTGGACTGGAAGAGCATATTCGGCTCGTTGGTTTTCTTTGCAGGTTTGTTGGACTTCCAAAAAGTTTAAGGTTTCAACCCAATGCTCTAGAAAATGCTGTTAATGCCAAAGTCTCCTTAAAACCAGTATCCAAATTAATTATATAATATATTAATTGTTTATATATATATATATATATATGCAAGACAAGTATTATTTAATTTATCTAATTGGTGTATGCTGGAGCTGTTCTAATAGATATTACAGTATCATTTTCTTTGAATCTATTCATAGTTAATTTCTTTTGAAACCAGATAAACATGCCACTAATAATAAAGTATGTAAAAAAGTTTAAAAATTGACCGTTTTATAATTTAAATAATAATGAGTAAACCCCCAAAATATTCTGTTCTCCAATTTCTTTATTATTATATATTATCTCTAAGTACAACGCAAGACAACAACTAGTGTGATCTAAAATAAAATAAAATAGTGTCAAGTAACATCTTGAGAGCGTTTTATTTATCTTAACATATATTTTGGCAACCACATAGATATTTGAGTATACTAGTCTCACATAGAGCTAACAAAGTCGACGACCTCGGCCACATCATGGAGTAGAGAGTTAGAGTTAACCACCCTACAATTCAACCTGATCTGTCCTTGAGTCCCTGTAGTAGGCGAAATGTTTCCCATCCTATTCATCGCCTCCACGAACGCATTGAAGAATGTTTGTGTGCCATCAGCATATGCCCTCACCAAGGGGATTGTGTCAGTTGCATTGGGACTAGAGAACAACTCTTGGTCACTCTGGATAAGACCTTTTTGTTCTTTGAGATTCACATAGTACTTGTTGTCGAAAACCGTAGGCGTACGCAGATCAAAATCTACCAGGGCACTTAAGTTGCCACTTTGGGGACATAGTCCACGAAGAGTTTGGAGGTAAGTAGTGTTGAGGGTCGGGTCGGGTAAACCGGTGTTGCTGAAATTGTATAATCTGTCCATAATGAATCGGCATTGATTTTTACCAAATGTGTGACCCCCTAACCAAAGAAAGACCAATATAAAAACATCAGTATAGTAAAATCAATAATTAATCAAAAGTTCAAAACTATTATATCATATGGTATTTAATTAATTAGTTTTTTTTTAATTACCGGAAAGAGCAACAAGATCAGAAGGACGATTGAGACCAACTCTTGCAAAATTTTCCTTAAGTTGTGGAAGTGTGAAGAATGGAGCTGGAAGATTTCTATTAGCTAGATCCAAAAATGCTTGTACGCTGTCTCTTCTCCCCAAAGGAACCCTCCAAGAAGGACCTCCTGCCTATAATATAAGAATCATTATATTCAAAGTAACTATTATTTCTAGACTCTCTTTTTTCGATGTTTTAGAGATTATTCTTATCATTTGGAAGTTTAAATGTGTAGATATGAAAAAAAACACTAACATATAATGTAAATTAATTAATTATATACTTGAAGTGAAGTTTTTATTTTATATGAATTTTCTCGTGATCATGAGTTAAGTACGAGTAGACATCAATTTTGAATCGACATCGTATTAAATCTCATTGATTATCGGTACCTAAAAATGAGCAGTCTTCTCTAAACAATCATATATATCCTCGTGATGAGATTTACTTTCTAAAACATGTCAGATTTTCTTTACAGGACCACGCGTTTTGAATACTGTAAAACGACGACTTGATATATTAAGATTGAAAAGCTATATTTTGTAATAAACAAATGAAAGACAAACGCATTAACTAACAGAGAACATACCAAAGTAACAGATTGTTGAGCAGCGATGGTGAGCATATCTGCGCATGAAACGGTTCGTGGGCAAGCCCTCTCCACTGCGGCTTTCATTCTATCAATCACAGGAAATCCCCGAGCCGAATTTGCGTTTCCAGCTGCATCTTTCTCTGTTCGGAATGATGTGGTGTTGTCCAACAAGATCGATGCGTCACAACCCTTTTTTTAAAGAAATACAAATTGTTATTTTAACAAATTATTAGTCAAGATAAAAAAATATATCTAAGCTAAATCAAAGAAATAAAAGTTATTTTTATAGTATCTAAATGTTCTTCGGGTTCAGAAGACGTGAGACCTTTTATTAATTTCACAAATATATTTTTCTATATCCCTAATATGATTGATTGCTTTTTGTATCCATACCGTGTTTGGTACGGCACCATGGTTTTTTTCTATATTATTATGTAACACGGATATTTTCATAAATGTTTGGCATGAATGCATGATCCTTGTGTAAGAAATTAATAATTAACCTAACCAAGATGATTGTCAACAAGAGTAAATTCATTAGCAAAAACATGTGAAATGTTTTATTGATGTTTTTCTGGATCAAACCCGTTGAGTGACTTTTTATTTAGGAGTGTTTCACCCTAACTGTCAGCCCCAAAAAAAAAAAAAAATCGTGTAGTATTGATTAGATCTTTCGAATTAACCTTTCAATTAAATATACAAGTACCCTTAGAACTATTTTTTGTTTTTTTTTCAACCTATCAATCTGTCATGTGTTATATTGAAAACTCTACATGACAGATAACAAATAAGGGGCTTTTAATGTTTTTTTTTTACTATAAAAAATTTCCGAACCTAGGTTTATAACCTTTTGGACCAAGTACAAGACCAAGCAAGTTCACTTCTAATTTGTAAAATTGAATACTTGAAAAATATTTTAAAAGAAAAAAAAATGAACCCAATTAAATTCAAAAGGACTATAATTATTTTAATACCACAATTTTTATGGAATATTGCTTTGATACATAATCTATCAATTTTATATTTGACGTCGTTTTAACATTTTTTCACGTAAATTAAAAAAAAAACATGTCAAAAAATTACGTTATACTCCTACAAACAAATTGACCATTTCTTTTATATTTTATTAATTTGATTTGAAGACAAATTGATATTTAATACTGAAATTTCTATTGAAATAAAAACAGATAATTATTTTCATACATAAAAAGCAATGCTAAGATAACATTTAATTTAGAACAGAGAGAATATTAACTAAAACAATTGTGTGTTCTGCCGCCGAAAATCTATATTTGTTATTACTTTTTATTCTACACTGGTTTATTAGTATTTAGAAGATAAAACACAAAGTATTCATAATGCATTAGAAATATATGGAAAGTAATATCTTACATTAACAAAGCAGTCGTGGAAGTGAAGTCGGAGGATGCTCGCGGCGATACGAGGGTCCGATCTTAGCTCGTTGACAATGGTGTCTCGTACGATGTTAGCGACGTTAGGACATGAAGTGTCGTAGAAGGTAGGGGTAAGCTGAGCATCGGACAAAGGCGCACGAAGCATAAGACATGCCAATGTGATTAAGATTGTCCAAGTGGACGAAGTAGAATAAGAAGAAGACGAGAAAGGCATTTTTAACAAAGAAATAGAAACTTCTTTAATTGTGTTTAGCCGAGAAGATGAGGAAGTCCATATCTTAAGGTATCATTTTATAGGCAAAACGTGTCAAACTTGGAGGCTTGTTATTTTCTCAATTGGGGGCTTTTTTTTCTAACAAAAAATGAAGGCTTTTCTTTTTGTCAAATATCTCAACTAACTTCTTTTTTCTTTTTTTTTGTCTCGTTAATATTAAATAAAACATTCACAGAGGGGGTGAATGGAATAATAAGAAGCTAAGACTGAGTTCGATATAAATCTAGAAAATGATGATTTCAAGAGGTCTGAACTATTTCAACTAACCGTATATCAGATGTTATTCCACGTTTTATTTGGGGGATAATAATTTGATAACGAAATAGGGAAGTCTGATATATCTATGTATTGGTATATGTCGTTTTTCTCAACAGGAAAACTGTTCAAAATTTATCTAGATACATGTATATATACTATTCATGTTTTAAAACTAAAATTTATAGTTGCTTTCTCTTTGTATTACATGTATCATCATAATGATCTGAGGGCAAACAAGGTTAATTCCAGTTAACCACTCACATGCATGCATGGAATGTTTCTACTTCACTCTACTTCTGGTTTGAACTGTTATGTCATTTTAATTAGTTTATAGTTGTTTAACGAAGAAAAAAAACAAAATCATGTGGTCGTGTGTAACGCATGCTACTTATTTTATTGGCATCCCCAGCAAGTCTTAATCAGATTTTTTCCTGTCAATCTGCATTAAGAGCCTCCTCCCACTAGTCCGCATCTCGAGCCTCCTCCCACTAGTCCGCATCTCGAGCCTCCTCCTGTCAAAATATTTTCGTGCAAGTACTTGTCAATTGATTCTGCATATCAACACAAGATATTTTCCATATCTTGAACTGTGCTAAAATTCGCATTTGAGTAAGTCATCCATCTTGAAAACTCTCAAGAATATAAATGCATTTTTGTGATATAAAAAAGCAAATCAATTATTTTAAACTGATTAAATTACATGCATCATAATTTTTTTTAGAAATATAGATATTACACTCCGTTCCTTCAGTCTGCACCTAGAGCCTTTTTCCTGTTAGTTTGTACGTGGAGTCTACCTGCTCTGTAAGTGATGCAGAGATTTATTTAATTATTTAGACAATATGCTTTTAATATTTTAGAGTTTTATTTTTTGAATTTATTATAAATAAGCCATTTGAATTCATATTTCTATTGATTAATAGAATTGAGTTTTGTCTCTTTGTTTTTTGTTTTCAGTAGATTTAGAAAGATTTCAACGAATTTAAATAAGATTGATTTATTCAAGTATTTTCAAACTAAATAAATAATTTTACAATTATTTTAAATTTTCAGGTATTCTCAGAATCAACAGATTATCATTCTGACAAGTTTTCCTTTAATGAATGTATGTTTTGCATCTCTAAAATAAGGAATTTTTTGAATTACGAAGATTATGACATTTTTTGTTAACAAGATTAGCACTTTTTAATGTTTCATTTTTTAGATAATTAATTGATATCTTTTTCCAAGTGAAGTTTCCAAAAGTTTTATCCCCCAAAATAACGCTTTCTTCGAAAGAACGAGAACAATAAAGTCACACCATCTACAGTATTTTTTATTTTTTTTAAAAAAAAAGAGAAACAAATACATAAATAAAGCAAATAGAAAGTGAGAACCCAAATAAGTAATAAAATAAATTAACATAGAAGACACACTGAAACATCATATATAAAGAAGGGGAAAGAAAGAAAGAAACAAAAAAAAGGAGGCCACCGTGAAGGCGCTTGAACCATGTGATCCACCGGAGGCAATATTCACAAATATGCGGTGATCTAATCTTCAACGTGCCTATTTGTGGCTATGTGAGTTAATATAATCAGGTACTGGAAATAAGTTGATCATCTTTTTGGTCTAAAAAATATCCAATATCGAGAAAATATTGAGAAATATTTATATGATTTTTTTTCTTAAAGGGCCTTCAATATCGAGAATTATTGTTAGTATCGACAATTATTGTTATCATTTTATGGCTCCAGATTAGGCTCCATGGCTGCTGAAACTCAAAAATGATAATGATTATTTTTTTGTTTTCATAGACACTGAATAACGCGTTAGGCTAAGAAGGTATCGTTTTCTGCTGGCAGTGCTGCGGCAAAAGTTGTCCTTGAAAATCAAAAGAGAATAATATATATACTAAATGAGATTACGTGCATGTATCGCGACTTTAGATCCACACGGCACATCATACACATAAAACATTTAAGGGTTTTTTTTTTGTCAACAAACATTTACGGTCTTATATATATGAAATATACGTTTCAACCCTCATAAAGTTGTCATCGCCACTTGGAGCCAATGTTGCATCTACATTTGCTTATATATAAATATGCATAAGGTCTCTTCATATTTAATGAAAATAACAAAAAACAATTATGAAAAAGGCCACATGTGTTGCCGTATGAGAAGAGTAGTAAAGACTAAGAACAGAGATCCTCAATTATAGAGATCGCGTCAACATCGATGGCGACACATTTAGTTTCAACAAGCGGACCTTACACCACCTCCAATGGTGAAAAGTTTTTAAAAGTATTTTATCTAATATAATATTATTATTTTTATATAATTTAATTAATTAGTTAAATTTTAAAATATAAAAATAAATTCTACCAATAAAATAATGACACATCTCACAAAAGTTTTTCAATTTTTTTAAGAGGTTTTCAAAAGAGAGATTATAGATGTTGGGTTCTCATTCCCTCTCATCTTTTTTAATTTTTTTATTTTTTTAATTATGAGAGCTTCTATAAAAAATTACTATTAAGGGTGCTCTTAGCAGCCAGATCGGTCCAAAGATATTAGAACATCATTATCCCTACCACCCATTAAGAGTTTCTTAAGAGTTTTTTATTATTAAAATTACATTAAGAAACCTTCTTAAGAAATATTATGATTGTAATGGTACATTGCTAATACCCTAATGGGTTTCTTATATAAATTTTTTTTAAAGTAAACATAGTTATTTAATTATAACATTCAAAAGAAATACACAACTCACACATACAAATTTTATTTGTAAACATAATTAAAACAAAGTAAAAGCTTAATAATCGTCTTGGCTATCTCCAAATTTTTGCCATATATGCTCAACCAAATCCGACTTCAATTGGTGATGCACTTGTGGATTCCGAACTCTTTTTCGAGTATCCATCATATTAGTAATGTTTGATGGCATATCGGTTGAGAACGTGTCATCCACATTTCTATTTTCATTTTCTTCTCCTTGTTGGAAGTCTGAAACATCAAGCAAGTTCACGTGTTTCAGGCTTGGGACAGCTAGCAAAGTACACAGCTACGCGTTTCCAAAAAGCCCCTGCTCTTTGCTCATTTCCTACGATGGCGTCTTTGGACGTGTTTAACCAGGAGCTTATTAGCAACACATCATCTGCTGGTGTCCATGTTCTTCTCTCCTTTCGCTCTGCAGCCGGCTCTTCACCAAGGCTCATAGCTGTTCCACAGAAGACGCTGTCCTGCTGACTGTTTAGGAGATCGACGAAGTTTGAAGGCTGAGAGTAAGGAGTCGAAGAGAAATCCATAGAAAAAATAGACAAGAGAATGAACGAGGAAAGGGAAGGAGAAGAATGAACGAGTAGGAGGAGAGAAACAAAATGATAAGAAGGAAAGAGAACTAGATGATGCAACGAGAAGAAGGAGAAGAACTAGGAAAGAAACCAATAGAATGAACAAGGAAAAGATTCATGAAGCACCTCGCAGATATAGGGAGTGAAGGACAACCGATTAAATGGAGAAGAAGAACCATTCTTAATGGTTCTCCATTGATTACTAACCATTATAAAAACCCTTTCTAACCACATAGAAAAGACATGTACCTAACACTAATATAGCATTCATCAAGCAACCATTAATGACTAACCATAACTTTGCATTTATCTACCATTATCTAACACTAACTTTTCATTTATTACCAACTTAAAAGGTTTGAAGACTAACCTGAAGAGATGCAATGACAAGACGAGATGGTAGATGTGATGCGGAACCACCGTTATCATCTCCTTTCTCTGCATTAAAAAAAAAGACACACCATTAGCCATTACTGAAAACAAAACAGAGTAAATAGAAAAACCCAAAACCTGAATCACAACTAGTAAAGAAACTAGCAAACACTTGAACTCTGAATCACAAAAACTAAAAAACCTATAAACTCAAAACAACTAGTACATAAACTAGCAAACAATTGATGTTTACATACTCGATCAATTCTACATTTTGATTAACAATAACTCCATTGACAACTTTACATATTTCCTAAACCTGAATCACAAAATATCAACAAGACACTCTAAATTTGTCAATGAAAACAGCATTTAAACCCATCGATTACATAAATAAATTCATAAAATGAGTTCACACAATCCATCAAATACATAATGTTATCATCGATCCCTAACTCAGTCGACGCTTAAATAGGAGAAAAATTCATAATCAAAACGATCTAAAAGCTCCAATAAACTATTCTAGAAAGCAAATCGAAGGTAAATCGGAAATATCAAATAACTAGAGGGGATGATTTTGTTACCTCGGAGATAACGAAGAAAGTGATCGGGATAAAGGGAAAAGAGAAGCCCAGGCGTCGTAGGCGTCTCCACCCGGAGGAGACAGGCCTCTCGCCGGATATTTCGCCGGAGATGATGACGATCACTCGATGAAGACGATTTCGTACTCAGTTTTTTTGATGCATCAAGGGTTGGTGCAAAGAAGAGGAAATGGTCGAGACTTGGATTTTTTTTAGCCGAAAAATGAAATTTTAGCCGAGAATTTTTTTGTGGGGATCATAATGCGCCACGTTAGCAATAAAAATCGATTCTTGTAGTTCCAGAATAAGAGCCGATTTTATTTCTTTTTGGGCTTGAACCAATATTAAAACAATATATTGGGCTAAGAAACACACACCAGTCATCGCGATAATGATGGTCTTAGTATCCAAGCGAGGATATAAATTTTACCTTTTCCATTTTTATCATCAACAATATCAAATATTATTATTTTTCTTAGAAAAATCTCGAATTTTCTTATTTTTTTTTCAAAACAACATCTAAAAAACTTTATAAGAAAACGTTATTACTTTTGAAGTTTATCCTTCAGTAACAAATTGTTGAGCAATAGTACTTAAAATTAGGGCTGGAATGGAACTGGATATCCGGACTTTTCAAGGTATTCGGATCCGGATCCGGATTTGCCGGATAATCAATTTTACTATCCGGATCCGGATCTGAAAACTCCGGATATCTGCAGGCCGGATATCTGGTTTGAACCGAATATTTACGGAAATCCGACTTGATATCCGGTTTCGTTGATTTAAAAAAAATGTTCAATTTTTAAAAATTATAATGAGATAACATATACTGTATAATTAAAATGCATCAACATAGCAAAAAATTATAAATACCAATAATTAAAAAACATTTAAATAGCATTCAAATAACATAAAATTTAAAAGTTTACATAGCAAAAGAGAAAATAGTAATAGAAAAGTTAATTTATCTTCATATTCATGTGTTATCCATTTTCATGTTCTTCTCTCATAATCTAAAATAGAAAATTATCATGTAATATGAATTTCAATAAATATTATCAAAATAAATAAATATTTAATAAACAGATAACGGATAACGGATATCCAATTTCAAAATTTTATATTATCCGGATCCGTATCCGAAATAACCGAATACTTAATTTAACTATCCAGATCCAGATCTGAACTGCACGAATATTCGGTTTTTACGGATCGGATAGGACCGGATACCGGATCGGATACCGGATACCGGATAATAATTCCAGCCCTACTTAAAATTGTATAACTACGCGAATTTGAGAATAAATTGAAATGAAAAGATTATATGATATTATTGAAATATCATTTCGATTGTTGAAGGCCGTAAACGCAATGTTATAAAATTTGTTCTATACGTGGTCGAACCGATTTTGGCACTAACACTGTATTTTCATCATAAGAATACGGTTCTATGATTTTAGTGCCAAAACGCAATTATACATTTTTTGGTGTAGAAAAGAGAATTATACAATTTTGGTGCCAATCGCGCAAATACGAAGTTATAGCGTCAAACTGTAATCTTTTTACGAGATTCCATAATTGTAGCTCTAAAACCAGATTTCATCATTGTGGCACAAAAAAGAGGATTTTTCAACGTCGGCGTCAAAATGGGCTTCCGCCGGCTTGGCATCAAAACGTGATCGACAATTTTTCCATCAAACCGTAATTATGCAATTTTGACGTCAAAACATGATTCTGCAATTTTGGCACTAAAACGAGATTTCACACTTTATTGTTAAACAAAAATAAGACATATTTATATAACACATACAAGTGAATTAATCCTTTTATTAAGAATTTGAAACACAGAATTAAAGACAATGTGACGGAATAAAGCCAGTTATTTCCACACTGATAGCATTTTCAAAACAAGAATAGATTCACAAACAATATAGAACCGGGAAACTAAAAACCACTTGCATAGTTGTATAGTGGTGATCAAATGGGTATCTTGTCAAGAAACAAAGAAACCACGTGATGTTTCATCAACTCAGGTTGTGTGAAAATGTCAGTGTCTTTGTAGAAAACCTCGACGACTCTCGAGAGGTTTAGGAATCGCATGACGATAGGGAAAGGAAAAGGGTGAGGTCTTGTCATCAGTTCTTGATTAAGACTCTTCCATGAATCCAATGCTATGATTTTGATCTCTTCTTCGGCTTTCTCCCGTGAAACACCATACTGCTTCATATAACAATCAATGGATGTCCCTAAGTGATTTCTCTCATGCTCAAACTGCATTAGATAAATCACGAGATTGAATATCTTATTTTGCATCAAATTAAGTTGTGACACAAAATAGTTTTGTACGTAGGGTATCTCAACAATAACTTAAGTCTTAAGTCCTATATTACTCGATCCGGGACCATTTATTCGGATCCTAAAATAAACTGGACTTCTCTGGTCATTTCCTAGCAGATTCAGGTCGAGATTGTACCAATATTTCTGGGGTATAGTCCTCTGTTTTTTTTTTTAAAAAAAAAAACGTTTTCCATACCAAGACAAATCTATTTAAGTCAATATAGGTCTACGAGTTTCGCCGAGTCCCTTTTTTCTTTGCGCTAGGATCTTATTACGATTATTATAATACTAGGGGTTGATCCGCGCTTCGCACGAAATTTTGTATTATATTTGTTGACATATTTAAAAGAAATTTCTACAATATCAATTTTTTCATTAGATTTTGTATTTCAATTTTTATATATATTTATAGTATTTAATAATTTAATATATAATATTTAGAAAATAATCAAATAATATCAATTAAAACTTCAAATCAAATTTCGTTTGTAGATATTTTTATATTTATGTCGGTTTATGATTTTCGAATATATATAATACTTGATTGTTGCATTAAAAAAAAATATATGTAATAGGCAATTAATTATTTAAAAATATCTCGATTCTCTAACATATTTCTAAAATATATTCATAATCTCTCTTTTTCTCTACACACATTTCCCTCTCCATCTTCTTCTCCCTCTCCATCTCCCTCTCCTTCTCCATCTTCATCTCCCTCTCCCTCTTCCTGTCCCTCTCACTCTCCTTTTCCCTCTCCTGTTCTCTCTCTCATCAATGCAACATCTTGAACTACACACAACATATTAGACCGGTTGAAATTTCAATCTTTCTCGGAGTTTTTTTTTTCTAGCCACTCTCAATGTCACCTCTCTAACCTGAGCTCTGTATAATTTTTAAGGGAAACTTCACTCATTTTATGTTTTAAATATTAGGTTGAACATATTAACATTTTGTGATACCACAATTTATTTCACAAAATATGCATTCTCACATCTTTATATTATTATTTAAGTAGTCATTTTAAAAATTAAATTAAATTTTGTAAATTATTACATGATATGCTATTACAAATAACAAAAATAATTAAAATAGGAAATGATATAATTGTCACTCAAACTTTTTGAAACTCGTGCGAATATTATTTACCTGTTAATATGCATTTAATTTTATGATCTATTATTCTATTTTTCTTTGAATTTATGTCTTTTTTTTATTTTTAGTGTTTATAACGGTTTTAAAACAAATTTGAATATTTTTAGATATTAAAATTTTGGATCCGAGAATTTGTTTATCGGATTTGGCAAAACTGGATCCAAATCTGGCTATCTTAAAATGTTATGGTTTACTATTCATATCTATCAAATCATATAAATAAAATAAATAATTTAAAATAATAATAAATAAATGCATTAATATATAAACTATTATTTATAAAGAATGTCTTTTTATATTTTTGTTAAATTAATGAATGATAGTTACCATGAGAATTAAAGTATAATAACAGAAAATATAATAAATTATATATTAATAAATGAATTGATGATGTGTCAAAATTTTAGAGTTTGAGAAAATGATGTGGCATCATGAGAAGAGAGAACATTTTACTTTATATATATATATATATAGTTGTTTTCTTATTTCACGTTCACTTATATAAGCCCAAACCCAAGTTTTTATCATCTATAGATACTTATTTTATCTCAACGGGCTAATTAAGGTAGGTCTAAACCGGACTGGCCTTATCGACATATCTACACTTGAAATTAAGTTAAGTTACTATTACCTTACAACTCGCAATGTCACTACAGGCCTATTAGCGCAGAAGTCACAAGAAGTGGTGGGAAAGTGCTTAACCATTCAAACAGATCAAGCGTGGCTCAAAATACGCCCCAACCGCCCACAAGTAGCTTTCGACTACCCTGTTCCGTGCATACGGCAACTTTGAGTCAAGCTCTAGACCTTTATACCACCTAAACATATAAAAGTACCATCATTTCGATTCTCCTCATGAAAAGAGTTCTTTAGATACACATACAATAGAGAGCTTGCTAGAAATGGTACCTGAAGACCTGGCCGAGCTCTTCACGGTGTTGCATTTGCAGTAGATTGAAATCTACTTTAGCAAATTGTAACAAGGTTTGATCGTGTGAACCTTCCGCTTCATAGTATGTGATATATTGTCTTGTCTCTATCCTTGGAATACCCCTAGGGTATGCATGTTTGAGGACATTCTTGATGCGGACCGCCAGATGGGGACTAGACCGAGAGGCTAATCCTTCCAAATGCGACCTTGAGTAACTGAGGGCTTCGTCGAGAATGTCTTCACCGTGTGTGCTCCAGTGAGCAGCTTCAAAAAGGCATAACATACCTCTCGCATCCTCAGCTAGGTGTTCCTTAAACTCTCCATCCTTGTTCTTGAACTTGTCAAACATATCTTCAAATACCAAGCTTAACAATTAACTCTTGATCTGATAAGATTAACTAAGTTATTGTGCTAAATATTTTCTCTTAATTCACCCATTTGTTTATAACCAGAAAAATATAGTAAATAATAATTGAAGATACTACATAATTTAGATAAATCATGTATTAGAAATTTAGAACTCTAGTTTTGTCAAGTTACTACTTACCAACAGAGAGCTTATAGCCGAACTGCCTAAAAAACTTGAAAAACAAGTGAAACGGTATATAAATCGGACTCATTGTCTCTCATCATCTGCATGAAATCATGATGACCGAACATAGACTCCAACTGCTCAAGGATTTCATGTTCAAAGTGATAGGAGACACCGAGGCGACACAGAACATCGATAAATTTCATGTTCGTTATCGGCTCCTCTTTGGAAGCCATAAACGATTTTCTCACAGTTTCCTTCAGTGACCTCAGCTTCTCTTTGTTTCTCTCACTTTCCTATATAAAGATCAATGACATAACTTAGAATTTAAGAACAAAATTGCATCGTATAAGTATTCTATTAGATAGATGTGACTTAAGATTAAGTTATGAACAAAAGATCTAAATATAGGTGAATCAATATTGATGAGCAAAGGTATTGTTAGTTACGTACGGCGTCGGAGACTGAGAACGATGTCAAGGGATCTTCCCATATGTTAACCGGAAATTCAGCTAATGGTCGATCGATCTCCTCTCTCTTTACCTCCATGTTTTTTAGCTGTTTGTTGTTTTGAAATTTGAGTTAGAGCTCGTTGAGGTTGCACTAGCTATATATGCCACCTCACCTTTTACTTTTTGGGTGTTTTTTAGTAGAGGTGTCAAATTGCAGGAGTACATAATTTATTTGCGTTTACACGTTATTCATATAATATTTATTTTTATATATTATCGTTTAAAATATTATTTGAATTTTTATATTATATATATCATCTGGTCAAGTTGAACATGCTCAATTTTATATGATAATAAAATATACATACCATTTTAAACACCAATTATTTGCATGTCCAAAATAATGTATCAACTAGTTTTTCCATTTTAATTCATCAACTCTTAACTGTCATTCTATTTTATGACATAACATGAATTATAAGAGGTCTCTGACATAAAACTCATCTTGGAGTTCTCGGGTACAGAACTCTTTTTAGAATTTTTGGGATCGAAAATAGTGTCTATTGTAGCTAATTTTTAATTTAATCTCTTGAATGATGTCAAATGGATATGCGGTTAAAAGTTGGTTAATTAAAATGGAAACAAAAAAATAATTGGTGGTATATTACGTCTAAACCTAATTTATATTATTGATATAAAATTTTTAGTTGATGTCATTATTATGAAATTTTCCAACAGTAAAACTTCTATAAATTAATAATATTGGGACCATGATATTTTATTAATTTATTGTGATATTAATTTGTTTATAAATTAATAATTATTAATTTATAGAGAAATTTTGCTTTTCGCATATAATTTTCTAAAAATTTCTTTGGAATAGTGTTATATTTCCAAATTTTAACAAATCTCATAATATAAATTATGATTAATAATCGTAATTATCGCAATAAAATAGTTTTTAACACCATATTGGATCGCGTATGTAAAAATATACATGTTCATAAATTTAAAAGTTATAAAAAACTATAGCTACTATCAGTATTATTGATGATAAAATTGAAGATAATACTACAATACATTTAAAAATATTTATATATAATAAAATCAATCTAAACATAAAAAAATCATCATAAATTTTGAATGTATATAGTAAAACAGCAATAAGAGCTACTGATATAATAATTAGAAAGATGAAAACCAATAAGATATCAACTTTAAGTAAAAACAAAGATATTAGTCATATTTTAGAATATTATATTTACATATATTATATAAATTTATATAATTATTAATTTATATTTTTGTTGGGACCATGTATTTATATAAGGGTTTTAAAAATTATTATTATTTTATTATTTTATTGAATTTGATGGATTTTTATATTAGTCCGACTTGAGACCAGTAAAATTTATTAATTTATAATGGTTATTAATTTATTGAGTATTAATTTATTGAGGTTCTATATATATGTATTACATAAAAATACAATAGTAAGTTACAAGCAAAGGCAGATGGAAAAAGCCGCAATCGTAACATTAGTGAAAATTATATATGAACAAAGGCACCTTGTAGCAGGAATGGGAAGGCTTAAAAAGGAAATAATTTTGTCGCTTACTAAACACAGTAAATTAGATAACATCAACATGGGTTGATTTTTCTTTTTTTAAAAAATATTACTTTATTTTTCTTTTCACCATCCGAAAGCAACATTTGTGAGTCTTTGAATATATGTTGATATTAATGGTGTGCTAGCTGAATATAGAAGTTTCGTCCATCTTTTTTCTTTCTTTAACTCACAATCTTCTGTTAACCAATTTGGCTTTTCATTTGTTCTGTCAACCAGTGATTGCCTTTTCATTTCTTCTGTCCTTTTGACATCAGCCAAACGATAACTTAATTTTTTTTTTTTTAATATTAACCTATTATTTTATTATAAATTATGATAGAATTATTACATTAATAATTTTACAATGAACAAGTCTCTCGGCAAACACGCCAAACAGATTTTTATACACCATGTTCTAAATTTTCTGTAAGCTTATATTCATTAATATGCAAATTAATAATAAATCGCATTTTTCAAAACTTGAAACCCAAATCTATTATTGTAAAAACATTAATGGCTTTGACATTTTTTGCTTAATAAAAAATATCCATTATAAAAAAAAATGAATGGCTTTGACATTTTTGTGACTGGATGTGTTTGAAACGATTAAAAAAAGCATTGGTAAATTATAGATAGATTGACACTTAATATTGATTACATCTATGCTTAGCTATGTGATAGAGAACCCGTAATATAAATACATTTGACTTTTTTGCAGCACAATTTTAAAAACAGATGTTTCCTTACAGGTTGGATAAAGAAAATGTTAATTGAAATTTGATAGCCAAATGCATATCAGATCATCACATAAAAATCTTAAATGAATTCGCGATAAACAGAGATACAGAAAACTGTAGCTTAGAGTTACGATCTTTCCATATGTAAAAGCAAACAGCATAGGAGCAGAACTAGTGGAGACTAGTAACCAATCCACGAGCCAAGATCAAGAACCGATTAAAAGACCATAAACAAGCGCTCTAAACGTTGTTTTTGCACTATATCGATATATAAAACATTGAAAAAAATGGAAAACCATAAAAGTGAACGATACATCATTGGTAATCGAGTAGATTTTACTATTTTACGATGAAGATCCAGAGCAACACGTACAAACCTGCCTCCTCTCTTCACAACCACCTGCAACATATTTTCAAGTTGTCTCTTTTTATGTTTTCTTTCTTTGTCCAAAGCCATCTTCAGCCTCTACATCAAATCAATCAGCACCTCTGTGTTAGTTTTCATAGAGATAAACTATTAAGCTAAGCTAGAAATCAGAGTTGCAAGTTTCATATAATAACATAAACTGCAAATCAGTTTACATCTACAAAGCAACGCAGAAACAAATCAGAGTTTGCAAGCTTCAAAATTCCCACCCCTCTCACCCTCTTTCGCTCTTTCTTGTTCTGTTTTAGCAAAAAAAAAAAAAATGTTTAGGTAGACGGTAAGAAAGCATCCCGTAATTCACAACACAAAATACCAATTAGTTTCAACCACTGCAAAAATTAGAAACCATAGTGAGAATGAATCAGATATCTTTGCTCACAAGACTGTTCTCTTAATTCCTGAAAAACTAATGACCATATGATTCTGAGCACCCCGTTTTAAAACTCCAGCTTAATTTCTCCAAAAGCTCAAGCTACAAGAAGAACCTCACCAACAAAATATACTAATGAAGAATAGAGTTGAGCCTCTCTATAAAAATGTATCGACTCAAACAGTGATAAACCGAGAGCTAGAGAATCAGAACTATAGGACGCAATAAGCACTCATATATTTGGCACTATTCAGAGAAACACATTCTAGTAAACATTATATAATTCATAAGGAAAACTCCTTGGACTAACAAACTCGGCTTTATAAATAACCGACGCATGATTCTCATCTATTCTTATCTTCATAAATTCGAAATTCAAAAAAAGATATACAGAAGTAGATGTTACTCAACAGTTTTCGGGTGAGAACTTTACAGTAACTATGACCAATACTGCTTGGTAGTACGTAGGTGGATCCAGCACGTAGCAGAGACGGAGTAAGAAACAGTCAAGAGTTACTTAGCCGGATTTCAGCAGCATTTCTCACACCTGAATGAGCATATTTAAAGTATAAAGTAAAACATTCTACCTCATCATCATGCTTCAATGTGTTTATCATCACCTTAATTCAAGGATTTAATTTGTTTGTCGTGCAAATTTTTGTGGAAAGTAACAAAAAATTGTGATGGAAATGTTTATTGGTTTAGAAAAGTGTGACGATTAATCAAAATCTGTGCACAAAGCAGTTCTTTTTCTTGCTTTGATTTGTTCAAATCTCTGAACTGTCTCTAATTGTTAAAATATTTTCCATCCAGTAACTTTTGTGTTATTCATATTCGTATCATAGTGTCATTCATCCAGATCTCAACGATGATATTTAAGCTATCAATTAATTTTTTTTTTACTTACTGTTTTCTTTTTCTTTTCACATATTTTCATTGAAGTATCTATTCATTCTTTTTAAGTTTTTTTATATTTCTTTTTTCGCCTTCTTTTTCTTTGTATTTCTTTGACGTTTTTTTATCTTTATATTTCAATTAATTTTTTATTTAATTGTTTGATTTTTTCTTAAAAGTCATTGTTCTTATATTTCGTCTTATATATCTTACTTTTTGCACTTGCATTAAAATTTAATTATTTTACCTCGAGATTCAATTATTTTACCCGTTGAACTGAATCCCTTGGATTCAATCATTTTACCTTTGAACTGAATGCCGTGCTTACGTAACGTATCTTGTTCAAATTTAGGTTGACTGAGATTTCATTCAAAATCGTACATTATAAGTTATAACCAAACGACGTATAGGGGGTTGACCAACTTTTAAATCCTATTCAAAAGGTTAGCATTTTGAGTTTAGGTTATCAACGACTCCCAAGCACTTATGGAAAAAGTTAATAACAAAAAAAAAAGTTGTAAATTACTAAATCCAAAGTCAGCGTTAGAACAAATCTTGACAACCCTACGATCACAATTTGACACAAACCCATCTCAAAATATCCAACAAAAAAAAATGGATCAAAATCTTGATACCAAGAAAGAAACAAAATATTCATGAGACTTATTGCTTTCTTCCTCTTCCTTTCTTCACAGGCTGTGTCTCCATCTGTTCTTTACCGGTGACTTCAGAGAGATCAACTGCATTATATATACAACCAACATAAATTAGTAAGCTATAAACCCATTAGTCGTGAGGATGTTAACACCGATGTACCAATGCTAGACCATAACATAAAAGGAGCTTTCCAATGTTCTATGAGATGATGCACATTCGATCTCTGAAATTCTGTTCTCTTTTAATTAGGCAGTCGAAAATAATGATTAAGGAATATTTATAAACTTAATAGCCGGTGAAGATTATACAGTCTCTCATAAAAATAAACTATATAACGATGGACCGGTGTTAGAACCTCATAGAGCCATAAAACAAAGGAGCTTTCCTCTCAAACATTAAGATATGATGCATATTCGAATGTGAAGTTCCATTCTTCTTTCTTTCAAGTTTGGTAAGCAAGAAAATGAAATTTTACCATCAGGTCCTCTAGCCATGAGGGTGAAGAATATATTATTCAGTTTCTCCATCTTCTTTGCTTCTTGTGCTTGGTCTGTCTTGAACTTGAGACACTAAGTTAAAGAAAAAGAAGAAATAAAATATATCATATGCTTCAGATAAGACAGAATGCACAGGACGAAACAAGAAGGCTGGAACAGAGAGAGCTAATCAACCACAGGAGCTGATGCAATTCTTTATGTAAAACTTAGCCAAACTCAACGAGGTTTAAACAATCTCACTTGGACTAACAAGCACAAACATGCTTCAACATCCACCAAGATAAACTGGTTTCAACAGTGAATTCGATCTGCTTATTCAACCCATCCCAGGCCAAGACATGTTCAATTCATTTTGATGTAAAGAAAACTTAGCCTATTAGCAATCACATTGAACAAGCCAAAACCAAAGTAACTACATAACTATGACAAGGGACGATGAAAAACCAACCAGAAAAGATAAATCTGGTAATCATCACGGAACCTTAAACTACATTCTCCAAAACAGTATCATGCCATCAAAGTATCATTCGACTAATCAGATATCAAATTCACCAGCAAATACAACTGAACTTCCAAAAGTATATTTAATATATATGAACTCAAAGAACAAACAATAAGAAGAAAGTGATCATAGAGAACTAGACACAGTCAATCACTTACCTCTTTGTTATCAGTAACCTTGAGAACCAACTTGCCGTCGCAGTGTCTATACTTCATGACATACCGAGTCTGCACCATAAAAATCGAATCCAAATATCCGATTCATTAGAAACAAAGTCATGTGTTCATCAATTCTATTTGGAAACGCAACGTGTAGATTGCATCTATACAGTCGCTAGATTTCGACCAAACACGACGAAATTCAAATCAATTTATCAAGGGTTTATCGAATGCCCAGTACGAAATCGAGTGATTATAATCCAAACACCATAGAACAAGCACAAAATCCCCAAAGCAACCGTGATGAACGAAATCAAGAAGGAGGGGAGCAAAAAAAAAAAAACCTACAGATTCGGGATCAGCTCGGAAAAGCTGAACAGATCGATCCACAAACTCTTCCCAGGAAACGATATACACCATCTCGAATTAGCTAAATTTTAATCGGATTTGGTGCGATTGGAATCTCCGGGAGACACAGTCTGCAGAATTCGCAAAGTAACCTCGACGGAGAAGCAGAGAAGCAAAAGACGGCTTCTTATTTGGATTGTTTTTGGAAGAAAAAAATTTGACTGATGATCAAACCGGAATTAACCTGGTAAAACCGGACCGGTTCGTTAGCGTTAAAGACTGTCAGTGGTTCTAAGTAAAACCCTAACCGTTCTTCTTCGAATATCTGCAATTTTGTTTTTCCCCCAATCTCTGAATCTCTCTGTTCTTCACCATCATGCTCTCTCGTTTATTCCTTAGACCTTCGAATCTCCGTCTCGTAACACTAGTTTCATCCAAATCAAACTCTCAGATCTTCTCCTCGTTTATACGCCCGCTTTCCACGAACACTAGCGGCGGCGGAAATGGCGACGGGAATGGGCATAATCGGAATGACGTTCCGTGGAGCTTTTCTGGAGTGAAAGATGATAAGTCCGATCCTTTCTCTTCCGATGATTCCTGGGCTTCCTCCGGAGTTGCAGGATTCGGCTCAGCTGGTGGAGAGGGCAAGAGGCCGGAGGAGCCAAAGCGATGGAACATGAAGGAGGAAGAGGATAAGGTTGTGTTCGATACGGGAGAAGAAGTGGCACAAGGGAGTGAAAGTGGCCGCGAGAGGAGATCCAATGACTTGGAGGAGAGTAAGCGGTGGAATTTGAAGGAAGGAGATGAGAAAGTCGTGTTCGGTACTGAAGGTGAGGAGGCGAATGGTTTTGGAACTAGGGGCGATGTGAAATCAAATGAGTGGGATGGATCTAAGCCATGGAATTTGAAGGAGGAAGATGATAAGGTCGTGTTTGATACCAGCGGAGATATGCCGCTTAGCTTTGACACCGGCGTGGAAAACGCGGAGGAAGAGCGTAGGAAGAAGGAGGTGATTGAAAAGGAGGAGAAAGAGCTCACTGAGATTATCAAAGGTGAGATTCCTGAATTTGCTCACTCTTAAGTTTTGATTTTTAATCTGCAGTGCACCAATAATTTGGAAATGTATCTAGATTTGGAGTCTGTGGACAAATGGGTAGTAGCTAATAATGATGGCAAATTTGATCACATAACTTTACCTTGTTGATGTTAGATTTGGATTGGATGATCATTCGAGTCGCAAGTTTGTGTAAATCAATCTATTGTTATGTCGACGATATGCTGGCTTTTGGAGTAAGCTCGGATGTTTAAGAGGCATGTGCATTTGAGTAGAAAGAGTTGTGTTTGAAGTGGATAGTTTGCTTATGGTGCTTTCTTATGTTACGGAACAGTTTAGACTTTGGTGCTTAATGTGTGGTTTCTGTTATTAGTTTATCGCTGATGCGTTTTCTATTAACGACGCTCAGTTGAATGTTAATAGGCACCATAAGTAGAGCAAGTTTTTCAGTTTTACTGATATGGAACTTACTATTACAGGTCCTGATCGAGCATTTGGAGACCTTATTGCTAAGTCAGGTATAACAGATGAAATGCTTGATAGTTTAATAGCCTTGAAGGATTTCCAAGGGATCCCAGGATTGCCTCCTCTGACTGAGATTGAAAACCTGCGCCGTGAGAAGAGTTCAAAGAAGTCCTCAAGAGCTGAGATAGAACTCCAGATGCAAGAGGAGATTGCTAAGTCACGGGTGAGACAAGTGGATGAAACGGGGAGAGCCTATGGAACCGGAAGAAGAAAATGTAGCGTAGCTCGTGTCTGGATTATACCTGGGAAAGGAAAATTCCTTGTTAATGACAAAGAGTTCGATGTCTATTTCCCTATGCTTGACCATCGTGCTGCTCTTCTCCGCCCACTCGCTGAGACCAAAACCTTAGGTAGTTGGGATATTAAGTGCACTGTGAAAGGCGGTGGAACTACAGGTAAAACCTCTAAACAATCATTCTTATGCGAAGCTCTTTCTATTTACACTAGCTACAGGATTTGGTCATAAGTAAGCAGACTAGATTGGCATCTCTTTACGCAAATCAACAATTCTTCAAACATTTTAGTCTGTTCTAACCGTGCACTTAAATGTTTGGTTTGAAGGTCAAGTTGGAGCTATTCAATTGGGTATCAGCAGGGCGTTGCAAAACTGGGAACCAGATATGCGAACAGCACTTCGATCTGGTAAGCAAGATGCTTCACGCATCTTAGTGTTACAGAATCTGTGTAGTCCTTTTAATGTTCTTCAGCAGAGATACAGCATATTGTCTGAACTATGTTTCCATTTGATTGGTCTTGATATCGATCTTTTTCTTTATCTTGGATATGTTTCAGTTGGTTTTTTGACAAGAGACTCGAGAGTTGTGGAAAGGAAGAAACCTGGTAAAGCTAAGGCAAGGAAGAGCTTCCAATGGGTCAAGCGTTAAATCCGAAAATGCGTACGAGATTTTTTTCTTCGTCTCCAGTCCCGGCTCTATCCCATGGCGGGAGGCGACCACCCTAGGTCCAACACTGTTATGTTCTGGCTAGAGAGAAGCAGCCGATGCTGGGCCTCAATAAGTGATGCACTTCTATACATTCATTAACCTGATGTTGTTTTGAGTATTTTACCTCCTCATGAAACACTTATCGAAGAAACAGTGTATTGAATCTCTTTCTTAAATCTCTATTCTCTCTTCTCTCGTCTCTTTTCTTCTCATCTCTCATCTCATTCTCTAAGAAATCGTATGAATTGGTTTCATAGTTAGGCCGGAGCTGGAGCTGCTCATTATATGAATTACATTATTCACTAAATCTTGATTCTCTATATAATTCTCATAGTCAAATAAGAATTGGTTTCATTTGGTTTATGTATTTCCAATTTTGACCAAAATATCTAATTGAAAACGAAATTGGATAAACTCTTTACCACACCTTCCAAAATTGGCAAACGTGGACCTATGAGTTTGTGTAAAGACTTTCCATAGTTGGAAAATATGGATAGATTTCGATTGTTGATAACTTTTATTTACTTGGAGGTCTTATTTTCTATTACGTGCAAGCATCCACTCAGTTAATTTCTCGATATTTCTTCACTGCCACTACAAGTACTAACAAAATTAACAGTTTTCCAACAAATCCTTGGATACTTCTTTTTCTAGCAAGCAAAATGAATAGTTCTTTAATTAATTTTGGTTTCAATTATAATTCACACGAAGAACTATATAATAAAGAAAACCTTCTTGACGTTCTCATTTTCTCGCGCAACATCTTAAACCAAGAACTCTCTATTCAGAAACAGAATAAATTTTGCTTCTTCCAATATCTTGAAGGATGGGCATAAAAGTTTCATCAAAGATCAAAAGGATTCTCGCATCTACAGGTTAATTCTATATTTCTATTTTCATTTTTAATCACCACAGTAACCAAGAAAATAATTTTTTAAAAAATATATCGAATTTCCTATATAAACGTTCTCTATTGATGATAATAATAATTTAATCCAGCTTCGGGGAATACAAGTCCCAAAAATGGTGATGACGTGGATGTCCGAGAAGAATATGCAAACGCCTTCCGTACAGAATCATACAATCAGTTTTGGACACGTGTCATCCAGTTAAGCCGCAAAAAGTCCACGGTGTCTTCTTCTTCTTCACCAATAGAATCCTCCTCTACGTCATCTCGTCTCATGTCATACCGTCTCTTTGCACATAATCTCCTAGACCCGGACCCAAACACCATCACACGGATCCTGGATCTATCCCGGGTCGGACGACCCACCCGAACTCTTCTCTCTGATTATTTCTTGGAGACAGCAAACGCTTTCTTGCTCTGCACGCTATTACTCAAAAACGTTCACCGTCTTCGTTCTAAATACGAATCTCTGAAACCCAAATTTCAATTGGAGAATAATAATAAGGATTCACTGACATTTATGGACCAATTCGTGGAGCTATCGAGATGGTTCGACCCGTTTCTCTCGTCGGGTTCTCGGATCCAATTAACCAGAACCGGCTGTTTAAACCTGCTAAAACGGTTAGAGTCTAGCCGAGACAAGACGCGAGCCAAGCTCAAGCTCATCAACGGACTAACTCATAGCTCAGGGATTCTCGTTTTGGCTCTAACCACTACATTGATTGTAACCATAGCCTCTCACGCCTTTGCTTTGTTCATAGCCGGTCCAACTCTTTTAACCGGTCGATTTAAACCGGTTGGGCTAAGGAATAGGCTGACGAAAACAGCGGCTCGGCTCGACGTGGCTGCGAAAGGTACTTACATTTTAAGCCGTGATTTGGACACGATAAGCCGGTTAGTGACTCGGATTAACGATGAAGTGGAGCACGTACGAGCCATGGCAGAGTTTTGGGTTGGGAGAGGGTCGGGTCGGGTTCGAGCTGGTGAAGAAGTGGCTCGAGAGTTGAAGAGATGTGAAGAGAGCTTTGGTGAAGAGCTTGATGAGCTTGAAGAACATATCTACTTGTGTTTCATGACCATTAATCGAGCAAGGAATCTTGTGGTTAGACAGATTTTGGATTCTGATGTTTCACCACCTCATTGTTCAGTCGCTCCCAAATCCAAATAAAATTGTTTTTTTTTTTCCTCTCAATTCTATTAATTTACCATGTATTAAAACTGTATCTAGTATTAGTATTTACCTACCACCAACTCTGTTAAATTTTTAATTTCTTAAAAAGTTTATATATGTATTTACATGTTGCTAACATCACATCCTGATCTAATATGTATTTTGGGTAAATGCAAAGGGATTCCAATTTCTAAGAATGATAAGAAGTAGAGAAGATACTCCATTCTTAGTTTTGGAGTTTATTATATAGTTGACAAAAACCCAAAACTAAAGGTCCTAATTTTTTTGGTATTTAGAAAGTTTGGTCCCAAGAATTAAGATTAACGGATTTTGGTCCAAGAATTAAAATTAACGGTCCGACCCTTTTACTCTCATTTTAGATTTTAACATCATCCATCCCAAAATTCATGTATATTCCGACTTAAGGTGTCTTGTAAGGAGCTATTAAAAATTCTTGTAAGGAACTATTAAAAATTCTTGTAAGGAAATGTAACACAATACAATATTCGAATTTTAACATTTGTCAACAGAGTCCAAAAATTCTTTACATGTGTCTATGTTACGTTTCTTAATTAATATTTACTCCAAAATATAAAAAGATATTACAGGTCGAGAAAATAGGACTAAACCGATAAACAAATATTTGGACGACCTCTTGTCATTGTTCGGGTTCCAGTGGTAGGAGAGACTCTATTCATCAAGAAGAAGCCCAGTTTTTTTTTTTTTTTCTTCTAATTAGGTAAATCGGTTGACTCAGAACCGAGTCAGCGACTCGTCCGAGCCATAAAACGATTCCAATTCGAGGAATCTCACGAGTTCTACTTTCCTTTAAATAAAGTGACTTTGTAGTATTGGAATTGAACAAATGCTTGTAGAAAGTTAATCGAGAGAGAGAGAGAAAAAAAAAGGGGGCCGAAAAAATGGGTAGTATAGGAGAAATCAATGGAGACGAATTGGTCTTAGATGTGGATGAGACGATTTTCGTTGCGGTGGCGGAAGATGTGGAGAGGAGCAAAACGACGGTGTTATGGGCGGCGCGAAATTTCTCAGGCAAGAAGATTTGCTTGCTTTACGTTCATCGCCCTGCTCGTCCGGCTTCGTGGAGTGAGATCTTCTTCTCTCTTTCTCTCTGAATTACTTCTTATGTGGAGAATTATGGTTTATGGTTTTTTTTTATGTATAGATCTGTTGAATTATGAACATTAGACGAAATCGAAAATTTGAAATTATTGTGGGATAAGTGCATAAACCTTTCTATATATTGCTCATGAATCTTGACTGAACTTACGGAGTTTAAGTTGAGATGTCTATATATATCATTTTGCTAAGAAAATCAGAGAAATGTATAATTATTTCACTATTATATGTAGAAGAGGAAGACAAACCATAATAATGAAACATTTCCATGAGCACCCATTTTAAGAGTTTGGAAGAAGAACACAATATTTATGTATCAAACTGAAGTGGACAATACAGGAATGATGACCGTAATTTGATTACATTGTAAATAAGATCAGCCATTGCTTTTGTTTCTGTACATTGTACAAAACTTTGTCAGACTCTGTTGGTTTGCTTGTCTTTGAATTGGAAAGTCTAGTTTTCTTGTGGGAGCTGGAGATTTGATGACTTTAGATGGTTGTTCATAGCATTTAGTTTTCTCTTTTACCAGTTTATTGCCAACGATGTTTAGACGTTGCAATCGCTGAGAACATTTTGTTTACCTACAGCGCACAAGAAACTTGCCGGTGGTACCTTTAGAAAAAATGCTGTCAAGGTGATTGAGCGCGTTGATAAACAAAAAGTGGATGAGATTATGAATTCTTATCTTCACCTTTTATCTGAAACCGAGGTATTCAGTCTCTCTTTTCTTCGCGTAATGGTACTGGTATTTAAGTATAACTGTAGTAAGGCAACTCACTGCAATTGACTTTGAATAATCCTATAATCTTCGTAAAAATAATTGTTCATATAAAGATATAACATAACAGAGAAACCTTGTGTCCTGTTTTTTGGGTCCTCATAGCTCAGATTCTTTAAATCTTTAGGCATTGTTGGTCAGGACCCTTTCAGTTGATAAACTAATGAATTGACATAGTTTCTTTTTAGGTTCAAACAGATAAACTTTGCATTGCGGGGCAAAATATCGAGGAAGGTATCGTAGAACTAATTGCTCGACACAATATCAAGTGGTTAGTAATGGGAGCTGCATCAGATAAGCATTACTCATGGTAATATATGATTCTATTTTTATCTCTTATGTTATAAATGTTTTTCATCTGGCCTCTGAAATTCATTTTATCTACTTAAATGCCAGGAGAATGACCGATTTAAAGTCCAAGAAAGCCTTATTCGTTTGCAAAAAAGCTCCTGATTCCTGCCATATTTGGTTTCTGTGTAAAGGTTACCTTATCTTTACAAGGTAAATTTCTTTCTTTTGAAGATTGCAGAAAGTGTGAATGAGATGTCTTAAATCATCGTCTTTCCTATGCTAAACTATTAGGATACATCTGTATAAATGTTGATGTAATATGATACGTCATGTGACTTTTGTTGTCGGATTTAGCTAGTATACCACCTTTTAGTTAACTGCTTCTACTATCTGTTTTGTTTTCAACCTCTATTCATATAATTAAAAAAAAAAAACACTCTTAAAAACAGGGCAACAAATGATGATAGTAATAACAGACAAACCATGCCTCCCCTAGTACAGCTGGATTCAGATAATGAGACAAGGAAATCAGAAAAATTGGAATCTTCTTATATGAGGAGAAGATTAAGATATTGGCGTAGCCTCCTTGAACAAGGTAGCAGTCTACTTGGATTTTGCAAGGTCCCTTTGCATATCTTTTCCTTTGCTATCATTTATATTATGTCTCTGTATGGTAACTTTGTTACAGAATTGTGCAGATGGTGAGAAAGACTCGGGTCAGTTGGAGAGAGAAAAGGTGGAACCACAACCAATTCCTTCTTCTTCAGGTTCGGGTTCTTCCTTTGGCGAGCCGGTTGGTCCAGAACCGATTGGTCCAGAATTGGCTGGTTCAGATACCATAACTACCTCAAATGTTGAGGTAGGAGGAGTTTTTACTTTCATCTTTCATACTAATCATGTAGTGACTAGAAATTCCTTTAGTCATTTGCGTGAAAAGACTTTAATTTGGCAAAAAATTACAGGTCTCGGTTTATCTTCAAGTTCGTGATATAGAGCTGTTTGAAAATGTGACTTTCAATATATGATCGTAGTTTTGTCTTTCAATATATTGGAAGCTGTACTTAAAGTGGATATGATGCTGTCACTTTTTAGTATGGACAAGCCATTAATCCGCCTGGTAATCGGGTGATCCTGTGGAATTTCAGGAAAAGAAGCGTGAAGGAAATGTGGCGCGCGAAGTTCATAGGTATGATAAAGCCATGCATGATATCGGCCAATCAGAGAGAACTGTCTATGGAGAAGCTCGAAATGAGAAAGAGGATGACAGTACCATGGAGGCTTTATGCAAGGTTATACGTCCAATCCATTTTTCAGTTATCTAAGAAATGGAGATGATATTTTTAAAAGTGATAGTATCTATCCATTTCTGCTAATTGTGCGATAGATAAACCAATACATCTTGTTACCACATGCAAAAAGGCTTAATATAAAGAAATATCTCACTGGGGATTTGTAGATTGCTAACACAGAACTTCTTTAGTTGATCAAAAGAAATGAAGATGTAGACCATCTTGTTACTGCTGGCACTTTCTCAAACTTGTTTTTCCCGGTTTAACTTTCTTTTCTTTTCTTTTTTTTTTCATGCCATCTCACAGGCAAAAGCCTTAGACGGTTTATGCATTAAGGAGTTGAGTCGAAGAAAGAAATTGGAGGAATTGCTGGAAAAAGAAAAGGATGAAGTGAAGATGGTTATAGACCAGAACAATGGATTCATGAAAAAACTTCAGATGGTTCAGGGTGATAATCTCAAGTTAGAGAGCCAGATCAGGAAACTGCACGACTTGGAAAAAGAACATGGTGAGAAATTTGATACGGCTATGGAGCTCTTGAAAAGTTTCAGGCAGAAAAGGGATCAGATCCGGATAGATCATGAGAACGCTATAAAGGAAGTAAACACATTGAAGAGGTTGATAAAAGGAAAGAATGTAGAGTCTTCCGGGTCAGAAATGCTTGATTATTCTTTTATGGAAATCAATGAAGCTACTAACGAATTCGATCCATCCTGGAAACTTGGAGAAGGCAAATACGGAAGTGTCTATAAAGGGAATCTTCAAAATCTTCAAATAGCTGTAAAGATGTTGCCTTCATATGGCTCCCAGAATCACTTTGAGTTTGAGCGTCGGGTAAAGCACTTTATCTATATATATGTATAAACATCCTCAAGAGTTTTTTACACAAATTCTGATTGTTTTTTTTTTTGGATTTCAGGTGGAAATATTAAGCAGGGTAAGGCATCCAAATCTGGTAACAATAGTGGGTACTTGTCCAGAGTCTCGGTCTCTAATTTATCAATATATTCCTAATGGAAGCCTCGAAGACTGTCTTTCAACTGAGAACAACGTTCCTGCGCTTTCATGGGAATCTCGGATCAGGATTGCCTCTGAAATATGCTCAGCCCTCCTGTTTCTTCATTCGAACGTTCCTTGCATCATCCATGGAAACCTAAAACCATCCAAGATCCTCCTTGATTCCAACCTCGTCACCAAAATCAACGACTACGGAATCTCTCAGCTGATCCCGATTGATGGTATCGACAAATCTGATCTTTACGTAGATCCACATTACTTTGTTTCCGGTGAAATGACGCTGGAATCAGACATATACTCGTTTGGAATGATTCTCCTTCAGCTTCTCACGAGAAGGCCTCTCTCTGGGATACTGAGAGACGTCAAATGCGCTTTAGAGAACGATAACATCAGCGCGGTTCTGGATAATTCAGCAGGAGATTGGCCAGTCGCGAGAGGCAAGAAGCTAGCTAATGTAGCCATCCGTTGCTGTAAGAAAAACCCATTGAACCGACCAGACTTAGCCGTGATTCTACGGATTATTGATCGAATGAAATCACCTGAGGTTCCTTTACCAGAGTCATCGTCTTACTTGAACCAGAAAGCTCCACGCAAGCCTCCTTCTCATTACCTATGCCCCATTTTTCAGGTAACTTTCTGAGAGTTTCAATGCCTGAACAGGTTTAAGACAAAAGTTAAAACATGTTTTGTATGTTGTGAACACAGGAAGTGATGAAAGATCCTTTAATAGCAGCAGATGGATTCACATACGAAGCGGAAGCTATTAGGGAATGGTTAGCGAATGGGCACGATACGTCGCCGATGACAAACCTGAAGATGGAAGATTGCAATCTCATACCTAATCACGCTCTTCACTTAGCTATCCAAGATTGGCAAAACCAATGGTGATTTGCTTTTGCCTCTTTTTTTAGGGGGACAATATTGCTACATTTAACTCCCAATTTTTTTCAGATTGTCACTCCTGTAAATTCATCCCCAAACGTATGGAAAATATATAAGCCTCACATACATATTGTCGCAGTTACAATTAGTAGCCTCTACTATTGGTTTAAAAATGTTTGAAGTTCTTACCTATCATTCTCTATTAGTGATTATCTCAAAAGTTTTCAAATTTGTTTACCTACAGTTTTCGACTCAATACTTCTCCCTCTTAGATGCTCTACACTTCTTCATAAAGAAATATTCTCTAAGAAATCACAACTTCCTCCTTTACATGTTTTTATATACATTATTAATTTTGTTTTTGTTAGTTGATAATTGAGTTTGGTCGTATGTTATTTATAATTATATAAGTCCAATATGTATAATAAGCGAATAGGTGTGTGTAAGAGTTGTAACTTGTTCTCTCTCTCGTCCAAGTCTCTCGTTCTTCTCTTGAGAGTTTTGTTTCTTAATTCTGTGTCTTTAACAAAAGTTTAACAGTTTTTACATTATTTGCTAATAAAAATAGAGAATACAAGGTACAACCAATACGACGTCGTTCCTTTTTCCCGGCAAAAAAAAAAAAACAAACAAGGAATTTGAAATCTAATGTAGATAATATAAAGCGTTGAAGATATATTTAAGTCTACGTTGTTATTTGACTGTTAGGTATTTGGCAAATCAGAGTCAATAACAGACATACTTTGCGTCCTCCTCAGCTATAGAGAATTTTCACAAGTCACCATCATTATCATCATCTCCCATGGATTTCAAAGATACTCTTATCTCCGATCAAGACCACGACGTCTCACAACAGAAGTACTCTTCGTTTGACCTTGACCTTGTCCGTCTCCGTAGCCAGATATTCGAGGCGGTCTATCGGAAAACCGATTTGATTAGAGCTAACCAGGAGCTGTCTCGCGAGAGAGATGTGCTTAGGCAAAGAAATCAGGAGCTTGAAGCTCGATTCTCGGAGCCAGCGATGGTCAGAGAGGAAACAAAAAGAGATCTTGAAGTTTCTAGAGAGCGAGTCAGTGAGCTTGAAGAAGAAACAAAGGAAAAATCCAGATTACTTTCGGAAGTTACGGAATCCGTACAATCTGTACAAGATCGCTTGTTGAAATCGATCGGATACTTAAACGACGAGGATGTTCCAGGAAGGGGAAGAGTGGGAAAAATAGAGTCAGAGGAATATAGCTCCAAGTCAGTTTTGGAGTTGGTCAAGGAGGTAGAGAAGAAGGTGGAGACGCTTATGGAATCGATGGAGAAGAAGAAGATGGAGCTAAGTAGAAGTGTGGAATTTTTGGAAGAGGAGAACAAAGACATCAGTGTCTTGTTAAGAGCTGCTTTGTCTGAGAAACAAATTGCAGAGAAGCAGTTGAAAGAGACGAATGAGCAGAAGAGATCGGCGTTGCTACAAATCGCAGAACGAGGGTTACAGAGAATAGGGTTTGGTTTTGGGTTTAGGGAATCAGTACAGGAAAGCTCAGAAACAGGACTTCTCGAGAAGGAAGAAGATGAAGCTGAGAATAGTATGGTATGTTCATTACTTGTGGTCTGATTTTTAGCAACAAGGATCAAATAAAGGTTTAAGTATAATGGAATCTATGGGCAAGAACAGGTTATAGCAATAGAGAAAACAATGAAGAATCTACGGAAAGAGATTTCTCAGCTGAAGCTTTCATTGGAGGAATCAAGGTAAGCTTTTTTTTTTAATTGGAAGAATCAAGGTAAGCTTTGATACTGGCTAAGCTTGGATTTTGATGGAGATGCACAAGAAATTTTTTGGAAATGATAAGAAACATAAAAATGCCATTTTCTTGATCTTACAGGTTAGAAGAAGCGCGGTTGAAGAAAATTACAGAGGAACAAGCTCAGAAAATAGCAGAGAACATGATAAAAATTGACAACCTGAAAAACCGAGAGAGATCTCTATCTCAAAACGTAATGTATTAGCATCTGGCTAGCTTTCACTCTGTATTCTCAATTTGTAGTGAATTGCTTACTCGAGAGGTTTCATTTTTTACTGAACCAAAGGTGGAAGAGCTAGTGAGTGTCATAATAGAAGCTGAATCAGAAGTAAGTAGATGGAGAAAAGCTTGTGAGCTAGAAGTAGAAGCAGGGCAACGTGAAGTCCAAGAACGCGATCAACTCGTAAGTTTCATTCATTATTCAAAACCTTAAAGCTAAATAACAAAACTGAAATCCATTGCTACAATTCAGATAGCGGTTATAAAGGCAGAGGTTGAGAAGATGAGATCAGCATTGGCTATATCAGAAGGGAAACTGAAACTGAAAGAAGAGTTAGCCAAAGCTGCGATGGTAGCAGAAGAAGCAGCTGAGAGATCGTTGAGATTGGCTGAGAGAAGAATAGCTGAACTACTCAACCGCATTGAACATCTCTACCGCCAATTGGAAGACGCAGAGTCTATAGAACGCAGACGCAGAAAGTTTAGGTACGTTTGGTGTTGGCCGTTATGGCGTTTGCCTGCCGCCGCTGCTGTTTATGTGGCTGCTACCGATAGTTCTTCATGTATAAGCAACAGAGCATTGTTACGATATGGTGCTTGATCTAGTGTTTATAAAATCAAAATAGTTTCACTTTAATCTAATAAAGATTACATGTTCTTCATTTCTTAGGCCCTTAACTTCTGAAACAATGAAGTGAAACTCTATTATTCTTTCTCTGTCGTGCCCAATGTAAAAGAAAATTTATGTGGTACATAGTATCCTGATTTATAAGAATACGAATCAGCTTCGAACAAGACGTGACATGAAACTGAACCCCTGACCTCATTAGCCAACACGTTGAGCATCTCATATCTCTTTTCCAACCTCTCGAGCTTATTAGATTCAATGGCTAATGTGGATATTGTTCCTTTCTTCAACCGCCTTGCGTTCTTTAGGATGTATGCGGCCACTTCTTTCTCATCATCTCGTTGCCATGCGTATTTTGTCCACACGAATGTCTCAAGATGGTACAACAAACATTCCGGTACACATTTTGGCTGACTCCATTCCCACCCAACCGGACATGCTCTTCTTGTAGCAAAACAATCAGTAGGCTGAGAACAATGCAAGTTAATATGATATTTAGATCTCATCAAATTACTTGACAGTAGAGCTCAAAAGTACTGAAAACTTTGCTTACGTTGATGAGCTTGAGGATTTGCAATTTAGGGCAACTATCGAGCATAAGCGAGAGAATATTCCGCTCTTTTGGTGTCAATAGCTCCAAGAATACCAGCTGATAAAAGACAATACCAGTAGGATACTTTACCTGTCCCTGAGTCAAAACATTAGTACCAACAACAATGTTAAAGCCCACTTTGCAGAGAGAACTCTACGAAAATCCTTTAATCTATAAAACTTACCTCAAAGGGTAATGAGTGTAAGGAAAGACGTTTGACTCCAGCTAGAGATACCAAGATGTTCTCATTGTTTACATAAGTAACGTCAATGATTTTGGCCTCCACTAGCTCTGGCGCATTCTCAATCAGACAGGACTCAACCCACTCGAGCCCTTTGATGTTCAAGTATTTCAAAGAAGGAGCATTTATCACATAACCTTCATCCCCGTTTCCTGGGAACTCATCTACTATGGTTAGTCTCTGTACTGATGGCACCGCAATAGTGAAAATCTCAACATCGATATTGCTTTTTCGTTCCACGAACAAATCTTCAAGACTAGGACAGGCAGAGAAAAGGTTACAAACAGATTCTTGGTCATTGAATACCACATAGTCAAGGTGCAGCTTTCTAAGAGACTTGAGACAAACCCGAGAAGGAAACTCCAAAAGAATTGAAGTCTTCAATTCCAAGCTATCGAGTGTATTATCATCACAGCTAAACAAAACACTAGGAAATATGGCATAAGCTTCCTCCTGATTGTGAAGATCCACTACCAATTCTCGCAAATGGTGTGCAAATGCAATTCCAATCCATATTCCAACATCTAAAGCTTCAGTTTTATCTCTAACTACCAAATGCAAACTCTCTAGAACCGGAGCTTTATGTGAAAGAGAAGACCTGTAAACAATCTCTGAAAATCTTTGGTGGTCACTTTTGTGATCTTCAGAATTAAACTTGAGCTTTGGCACCATCTTCCATAGAGATCTCCACCGTTTAGACAAAACACTCGTGGCTATGACAGTTTCTGTTGGGAGTGAAGATAAAATACGCAGAAGCAAATCATCAGGCAATTCGCTGATTCTGTCCTCATTCAAAACATCATCTCGGTTTCTCAAACGCTCACCACCGATTTTTCTGTCGAAAATTCAAAGATTAACCCATACACAATTTTGAATTCGGGTGGGATCTTACAGTTAAGAAAACCATAGAAAGTTATCAGACCAAAGACACACATAAACGAAACTAAGAAACATACCGTTTGTGTTCCATTATCGTTAACAGAGACAACAATTTGGTAGAGTTCCTTCAGGTCCCAGTGCTATCGCAAGAACACTCCAAATGCCTAGCACAAGCTAAAGCCTAGAAATGATAACGGTGACGATTCAGCTTCAAAATCAATCAATCAGCAAAAGGATTGACGAGTCAGAGTCACAAACCAAACTGAAACAGTAAGAGAGTAAACCTAGTGACCTACTGCATTACTCGACGAGCACAAGATCTCGAGACGAAAGAGGACGACGAATTAGTCGAGATGTCGACAAGTGTGAGAAAAATCGAACCCGAGGCCCAAAAAGGCTTTCTTTAAATGGGCTTCTTAACTCTGCCCTTTTCAAGTGAAGCCCAATCGTACGAACAGAGTCATCGCCCAGACCAATGTGGTCTGTAATGATAATAATGATTGTATGAACAACTGTTTGTTTACAGATTTCAATATTCACAATATAATAGAAATTTGATCGATCAGTGACAAGGATCAAATAAAGGTTTGAGTATAATGGAATCTATGGGCAAGAACAGGTTATAGCAATAGAGGAAACAATGACGAATCTACGGAATGAGTTTGGATTTTGATGGAGATGTACAAGTAACATTTGGAACGGATAAGGAAAAATCAAATGTTATTTTCTTGAACTTAAAGATTAGAAGAAGCGCAGTTGAAGAAAATTACAGAGGAACAAGCTCAGAAAATACCAGAGAACATAATGAATATCGACAAGCTGCAAAACCGAGAGAGATCTCTATCTCAAAACGAAATGTATTAGCATCTGGCTAGCTTCGCACTCTGTTTTCTCAGTTTTTGTAGTGAATGGCTTACTCGAGAGGTTTAGTTTTTATTGAACCAAAGGTGGAAGAGCTAGTGAATGTAATGAGAGAAGCTGAATCAGAAGCAAGTAGATGGAGAGAAGCTTGTGAGCTAGAAGTAGAAGCAGGGCTCCGGGAAGTCCAAGAACGTTCACTAATCAAAACTTGAAAGCTAATAATAAAAGATCCATAATCAAGAAAAGCCAATGCTACAATTCAGATGGCGGTTTTAAAAGCAGAGGTTGAGAAGATGATATCAGAAGGGAAACTGAAAACTGAAAGAAAAGTTAGCCGAAGCTGCAATGGTAGCAGAAGAAGCAGCCGAGAGATCGCTGCGATTGGCTAAGAGAAGAATTGCTGAACTTCTCAACCGCATTGAACTACCGCCAATTGGAAGAAGAAGAGTCTATAGAACGCAGACGCGGAAAGTTCAGATACGTTTGGTGTTGGCCGTTATGGCGTTTGCCTACCGCCGCTGCTGTTTCTGTAGCTGCTACTGACAATTCTTCATGTATAAGCAACAGAGCATATTTACGATATGGTGCTTGATCTAGTATTAATTTGCACAAGAGTTGTGTAGACTAAATATCACCATAGAAGCCCAGTTATTTATTTATATATAATAAGAAAGACATAAGTGTTTGCAAGAATTCTAGAAATAGAACAAAAAAGTCAAATCCATTTCCATTGTCGATATAAACATCATAGAACAACTTTCAATGTACTATCCATAACATTGTTATCCATAACATATCCAGCTTCATACTGCAAGAACAACAAGTATGCGACAAAAACACCGTCTTGCTAAGGAAACTGGATTTTGTTAACTGATTTCTTTTGTATTGTTGTCACATTGTGGACGACGATGTTAAGAAAATATCCTATTTACAAGAGAAGGTATCACATTCGAACACGAGATGACATGAATTTGAAGCCCTCACCTCATTAGCCAGCTGGTCAAGCATCTTCCCACGTCTCTTTTCCAACATTTTGATATTTTTCAACGTTTTGAGCTCTTTAGTTTGGATCGGTCTTGTGGAGATTGTTGCCTTCTTCAACCGCCTTGCATTCTTTAGGATGTATGTGGCCACTTCCTTCTCATCTTCTCGTTGCCATTGGTATCTTGTCCACACGAATGTCTCAAGATGGTACAACAAACATTCCGGTACACATGTTCGTTTACTCCATTCCCACCTCACCGGACGATTTTTTCTTTTAGCAAACCGATATGGCTGAGAACCAACAATGCAACTCATATGAGGTTAGATCTCATCAAAACACCTGAAACTGGAGCTTTGGAAGAAAAAGAAAAAACTAATGAACTTGCTTACGTTGATGAGCTTGAGGATTTGCAATTGAGGACAACTATCGAGCATGAGCGAGAGAAGATTCCACCCGTTTTGCGTAAAAAGCTCCAAGTATACCAGCTGGTGAAAGATAATGCCAGTAGGATACTTTATCTGTGCATGAGGCAAACATTAGTACCAACAACAATGTTAGAGCACAATTTGCAGAGATAAAAAATCCTCAAATCTTAAACTTACCTCAAAGGGTGATAAGTCTAGGGAAAGACGTTTAACTGCAGTTAGAGATACTAAAATGTTCTCATTCTTTATATAAGAAACGTCGATGATTTTGGCCTCCACCAGCCCTGGCGCATTCTCAATCAAACAGCACTCAAGATGACTGGTCTTGCTGATGCTCAAGTATTTCAAAGAAGGAGCATTTATCATATAGCCTGGATCTTGGCTATTATGATCACCTTCTATGGTTAGTCTCTGTAATCTTGGCACCGTTATAGTGAAAGTCTCCTCAAGGGCATTGCTTCCTCGTTTCAACAACAGATCTTCTAGGTTAGGGCAGCCAAGGAAAAGTTTACGAACAGATTCTTCGTTGTTGTATACCACATACTCAAGGTGCAGCTTTCTAAGAGACTTCAAACACACCCCAGAAGGAAAGTCCAAGAGAATATTATTCTTGAGTTTCAAGGTATGTAGCGTATCATTAGAGCTAAAAAACACACACGGAAAACCGGAATACAAGTACTGATCATTGTGAAGATCCACTACCAATTTCCTCGCATGTTGTGCATCTGATATTTCAAACCATCGTTCAACATGTGCATCTTCAGAAATAGTGTCTCTAACTACCAAATGCAAACTCTCAAGAACCGGAGCTTTATGTGAAAGCAAAGACCTGAGTACATTCTCTGAAAATCTTTCGCTTTTGTGATATTTAGAATCGAACTTGAGCTTTGGCACCATCTTCCAAAGAGATCTCCACCGTTTAGACAAGACGCTCGTGGCTATGACCGTTTCTGTTTGGAGTGGAGATAATATAAGCAGAAGCAAATCATCAGGCAATTCGCTGATTCTGTCCTCTTTCACAACATCTAAACATTCACCATCGATTTTGCTGTCGAAAAAATTGAAAATTCAAAGAAAAAACCATAAGAATTCATAGAAGAAAAAACCATACAAGGTTTTGGTAAGAAACATAAACGAAACTAAGAAACGTACCATTTATGTTCCGTCATCGTTAACAGAGACAACAATTTGGTAAAAGCTCCTTCAGGTCCCTGTATTGATTCCTACGGATTGGATCAAAGACAATTCTTGAAGATTAAAGACAATTCTTGAAGGAGGTCTGCAACTCCAGTGATGAATATTAATAGAGAAATCTTTATTGGCTCTACCTCCTATGAATCTTCTTATCCAAGTATCTATCGCAATACGAACGCTACGAATGCAAACGCAGCCTAACGCAAGACTCCGACTCAAGCTTAGATATGATAACGGTGACGATTCAGCTTCAATCAACGAGTCACAAACCAAATCGAAAACCCTGGCAGAGTAATAACCCAGTGAACTAATTTGCATCAGCAACTCGAGCACATGATCTCGAGAAGAAAGAGGACGACGAATTGAGAAAATAGAACCGATGGATTGTTTGTTTTTCTCTGAAAGGTCAAAAATTGAATCGAAGCCTAAAAAGGATTTCTTTATATGGGCTTCTTTACTCAATTTAGGCCCAATTGCACGAACAGAGTCAACAATAAAACGCCGTCGTTTGAAAAATGTAAAAAGTCTTCTTCGTTTCCCCGGAGACATTTATCATCGTTCGTCGGCAGGAAACAAACAAGTCCTTTGAACAAAGACGACGGCGACGACGATGGAAGAAGCGAAGAAGAAACCAGAAAATGTTTCGGCGAAGAAGATCGCTTCATCGTGCGATGTGGAGTCGCTAAAGAAATGCTTGGAAGAAAACAAAGGAGATCACTCGAAGTGTCAGTCACAGGTCGAAGCTTTCAGATCTTCTTGCGCTCTTCCTCCTCAACCCAAGAAAAAACCCTAATTCCGAGTTCGAAGTAGGAGAAGCAATCTTATGTAATAAACTCAGACCAATGTGGTCTGTAATGATACTGATTGTATTACACATTCAATATTTACAATACAATAGAATTTGTTTGATCGAGATCAATGACGCAAATCTGATTTCTCGAATGTCAAGTTACCAGACTCGTCTCTCTCAAAGAGACGTTCGATCAGCTCGTCCCAACTAACTCCCCGGTGCCTTCTTCTCTTGTTCGATGGACGAAGAGAAGATGATGATGATTCACCAACCATTGATGCAATCGATTCTGTTTCTCCTTCTTCTTCCTCTGTTTCTTCTTCTTCTTCTTCGGTTTCATCTTCTTGAGCTTTGTCAAATGTCCCGTACTCAGAGGACATAGAGTCAGCGTGAGGAACATCTAACGTTACTGCTCGTCTTAACGCAGCTCTATACTCTAAATTGTGCTCTCTGGCTAATGATTCTTGCCTCTCCATCCTCTGCTTCTCCGGGATCTCCATCGTCTTCTCCTTCTCCAACATTAGCTGGAGAAATTCAAATTTTAGCATTAACGAACCGGTAAGGATTTACGGTCTAATGAGGTCGGTGAAAAACTTACGTTGAGAGCTCTCTGAGCTTCTCGTTCGATCCAGATGATGGCGTGGTCTGAAGTTGCATTGCAAGAAAGAACAATGTGTTCGAACCTTCCGTCTACTGGTACTGCTGTCTTCACAACCGGAGGAAACCTTCCTAATCTGCAAGAAACAATTACCAAATAGGTCAAACTTTACAACGTATTTAGCTCATCACATGATCGATTGCAGATCAAAAGAAATGTGATGTATCTTGAATATAATGTCACATAAGACATTTGAGATTGCAAACTAAGAAACAGAGGGTCCTTTTAATGTAGTGTGTAGTCGATCTATATACTACCTGCAAGGCTTTCTCTCAACTATGTGATACATGCGACCAGGAGCGTAAAGCCGCCTAGGATCTTTGAGCATCTTTTGTTCTGGAACACATGTATCCTTCATGCACCTTATGCATAGCAAACATGGCAAACTGTCCACACACACAAGAAAACAAAAATTTGTGAGAATTTTGTGAGCTACCGTTGAAAGTTTCGAACCCGTGCATAAGAATGGTATAACTGTCCACGAAAGTAAAGATGATTAAACCAGTCATAAAAAACAAACTGAACTAACAAAAGCTCTTTCAAACTGAAAAAAGAAAGAGCTCTACATGATGACAACTAAGAGTGGACCAAAATTCCTTGAAATGTCAGCATTGAAACATATAAAGGACAAAACTTTTTTTTAGGGATTTTCTCCTCTACTTAGTGGACCAAGTTGTTGTGAGCTACCTTTGAAATTTTCAAAAAGAAAATAACATACTTGCATAAACCCTTTGCATATAGAATGGTATAACTGTCCAAGAGACACTGTTTACCAGAAAAGAGACTTGAATATGTCTTCTAGAGGCGTAGCTGTCCTGGGCAAGAAGTCATCCTAAACCAAACAAAACAAAAACAAATACTCTAGACTCAACATTTACATTGAATCTTAGCCCATTTGATGTTGTATAACCCAAAAAATGTGTCCTGCAAAAATTGACACACCTGAAGCACAACAGAGTTGATCACATCCGCATATCTGACAGCCAAATTCAACGACATACACCTAGCAGGCGCAATAGCGAAACACCTGACCCTCTTCCTATCGATATTCCCCAACCTATCAGAATGACGAACCACCAACAAAGCCAGCATTGTAGCCACACCAGACCCAAGTGAATGTCCAGCAAAAGTCAGAGTATAACTCGGATACTTCACCACCAATTCTTTCAAAACCTTACATTCCTCATCCAAAACCCAACCAGCAGACTTCAACAGCCCGTTATGCACATACCCTCCATCGAACTTCCTTTCCCCAAGCTTATTATCCAAAAGCATAGCATAATCACTCTCTTTGGCTAAATTCAGCCCCCGGATCGCAACAACCACATCTTTATGATCATGATCAAGATACAGTATGTAAGCTGGAGCACGACCCTGAGTGTCTTCATAAGTCTTCTTTAGAAGCAACCAATCAGGGTTTATCCCATATCCTTCTGGAGGCTCCCATAAAGGGTTTCGAATATCATCCTCGTAAACTGCTAAAATGTAACGACAAAACCTAGGAACCGGTTCGAACTCGTCAGTTGTTGCAAGCCCCCAGTCTTTGCTGTCGTGACCAGCCGTGTAAAGACAGCGTTTATAAGCCCAACGTGCACAACCGAGACAGTAAACACATTCTAGAAGAGGGCAACAACCACATAGAATCGACATGAACAGATTCGATTCATACAGAGTTTATAACACCATCATCATCATAGAGCTATGATTAACGATCAAAGCATAAAGTTTGAATGATTAAACCAAGAAAATTTCGAATCTTTAGCACACCCAACTGAAGGAACTTGGAATTTTGACTGGAGGATGTGAGACTGAAATGTAAAAACCGATGAATAGAGAAATAGAAAGGAAAAAAAGTCAAACTTTGTGAATCAAGAAACAATGAAATGGAGATTCATACTTGGTGAAATTGAAGATTTGAAGTCCTAATTGCTACTCTTAAGAGGATATCCAGAGCTCGAAAACATGGGAACTGAATTAGTTCTCACTTATTTTTCACTTTAAGCACAAATCCGAGGTCTATGAATTGGAGGGAAGAGTGTAGAATTGAAAGATGAGAAAGGGAAGTTTCGTCCCGAGGAAGAAGATATAAGACTTTGAGGAAGGAGATGAAATGAAAATCACGCCATTGAAGGAAAGGGCAAACTCGCCGGACTCGTGCTCGCTTTTGTTAATTATTTATATATGGCGGAATACGGCAGTGAATTTGGGTGAAATTACAGAGCTTTATAGAGTGCTGTGTTGTGTGAAGAAAGGTATAATTTTTTTTTTTTGGACAAAATTCAGTTAGATTTCGCGAGAATGATTAATTATTGATGATAAACAATGTTTGGTAGTTGACAAAGAAAAAAAAAAAAGCAATGGTTGGTTTCTCTAACTATGTTTTAGATTTATAGAAACTGAGAAAGTATAAAATCGAATTACAAAACTACGAAAATGAGATTCAATTAATGTTCTTCGTTTAGTTTAATATATTTTTGAATTTTTATTATAAATACAAAACAATATTACAGCTAATGTGAAATTGTTTTAATTTCAACTAAGCTAAGGTGGTAGGCTGGTAGCCACTGGCTTATTCAACAAACAGTCAAAAGAGACATGGAATGGAAACTTGGTTGCACAATCCCAAACCGGAAACAACTCTGGTTCGCCTTTGGTACCAATTGGAGTTATTCTGTGGTGGATCAACTCAACTTAAACTATTCTTGCAAGCTCACATGTTGAATCAATATAATCAATTCATCATCCTGATTTCTACAATCAAAAAATTGTCAATAACCACGCTAACATAATGTTGCATGATCAAGAATTATACTTTTATTATGGACGACATGGAACTCATGCTAAATTCAAAAGGAAGTGGCGAAGAATAGTTTTGTATAAGTGAATTTAAAAAATGGCTAATTTGCACTTATGTTTCAAAACACATGAGAAAAACTAATCGGAGATGTAATAGCTAAGACATTTTGTTTCTGCTGATGTAATAGCTGAAACTCAAACTCGTGCACACTCAAAATGTACCCAAAACTTAACTACCTGTCACTAGGTAATGTTGATAATTTTACATTTTCCAATGGCCCAAAAAAGCATAGTAACTAAATGCTCAAGAGTTTACTCGGATTTGAACACGAGGTGACATGAATTTGATGAAGCCCTGACAACACTAGCCAACTCGTTGAGCATCACACGTCTCGTTTCAAGCTTTTCGATCTCTTCCGCTTCAATGGGTTTTGTGGAGAAACTCGCTTTCTTCAATCGTCTTGCGTTCTTTAAGATGTATGTGGCCACTTCATTCTCATCATCTCGTTGCCATTCGTATCTTGTCCACACAAATGACTCAAGATGGTACAACAAACATTCCGGTACACATTTTGGCTGACTCCATTTCCACCCCACCGGACAATCTTTATTACTACCAAAACATGGCTGAGACCAATGCAATTAATGTGATATTTAAGATCATCAAAAATACCTGAAAGTAGAGCTAGCTCTTGGGGAAAAGAAAGTACTAAAGGCTAATGATATATGGCTTACCTCGCTCAGCTTGAGGTTTTGTAACTTTGGAGAACTATCGAGCATGCGCGTAAGTAGATTCCACCACTCTATTTTACCTGTACATAGCTCCAAAGATAGAAGCTGACAGAAGATAATACCAGTAGGATACTTGATCTGTGCACAAAAGCAAACATTACTACACTAAACAATGCTTGTGCCCAATTGCCAAAAAAAAAAAAAAACAAACCCCTTCAAATCTTAAGAAGTACCTCTAAGGGTGATAAGTGTAAAGAAATACTTTTGACTGAAGTTAGGGATTCGAGAATCTTCTCATTGGTTATATTAGAAACGTCATGGATTTCTGCCTCCACTAACTCTGGCGCATTCTCAATCAGACAAAACCCTAAACCATACAACGTGTTGATGCTCAAGTATTTCAAAGAAGGAGCATTTATCACAAAACCACCGTCCCTCTCCTCTTCTTTATCCTCGTATATGGTTAGTCTCTGTAATGATGGCACCACAATAGTGAAAGTCTCTACATCTACATAGCATCCTCGATATATGACCAAATCTTCAAGATTAGGGCAGCCACATAAAAGGTTGCAAACAGATGCGTCGTCATTGAATAACACAAAGTGAAGGTGCAGCTTTTTAAGGGAAGCAAGACAAACCCGATAAGGAAAGTCCAAAAGAACGCAAAACTTGACTATCAAGAACTCGAGTGTATTATTACAGCTACACAAAACCCTTGGAAACCTGACATAGTTATCCTCATAAAACTGAATATTCAGTACCAATTTACGCACATGGTGCGCAAATGCAGCTCCAATCAATATACCAAGGTCGAAAGTATCAGCTTTATGTTTGATTTTTAAACGCAGACTCTCTAGAAACGGAGCTTTGTGTAAAATCAGACACCTGTAAACATTCTCTGAGAATGTATGGTGATAGTAAGAATCGAACTTGAGATTTGGCACCATTTTCCAAAGAGATCTCCAACGTTTAGACAAAACACTTGTGGCTATGACAGTTTCTGTTGGAACAGAAGATAATATCTGAAGAAGCAGAGCTTCAGGTAATTCGCTGATTATGTCTTCATTTACAGAATTTCGATTTCTCAAGCTTTCACCACCGATTTTGCTGTCGACAAATCAAATAACCAATAGATAAAGAGTTTTAGGGCTAAAAAAAAAATTAAGGATTTAAAAGTATCTTGAAACATACCATTGTTGTTCCATTGTCAACAATTTGATAAATCTTCCTTCAGGTTTATTATGCACTTCTCATAGCTTAACACACGAATCCGAGTAAAGCTTAGATGAGAAAATGGTGACGACGATTCAGCTTCAAAATTATTAACAGGACCAGCGAGTTACAAACCCTAACAGATAAGTGTAAATTTGATGTGTAATTTAAAATTTTGACAAAAAAACCAACAAATGTACATACTATTAGTTAGTTAATTATTGTTGATAAAAAAAAAAAACATATTCACAAAAAGGCTTTCGTTCTTTTATTTTGGGTTTGTTTTCATCGAGGCCCATTCAAATAAAAGGCCCAATCGTACAAAGTATCCAAGCATCTATTAGGGTTTTCGTATTTATATGCTTTAACCTAAGCATCGAAGAAAAGTAGACATTTCTGTTGTCCCGCCGCAGGAGAAAGAAGCTTTTCCGAGACTTGTGAGTTCTCTTAATCTCTCTCTCTACTTCTCGTCACTCTTCTCTGTGATTCTTGATTGAGTACTGGGTTTTTTTTTAAAGTAAATTTCGGTTGTTGTTACGACCTAGCGTAGTGAGGCAATCGTATCAGCGATTAAGGCGTGTATTGTTTTTCTCTGAGTTCGATTTTATGTGTTCTGCTAGCAACTGGGCTTTTCCCCGATTTCGTCTATTCCAAGTTTTACTGTGCTGATATAAGCATTTTTCCTGAGTTCAATGATTTGTTGTTTCTTTTGCTTTTGAGATTGGAATGACTTAAGTACAGCTTCATTGATGAGTTTTTCGTTTGTTTGATTGTTGAAAACACTCTAATTGAGTATGAATATAAATCAATCTTGATGCCTTATTGTTGTAAATGGCGATCTTTTTGGTATCTCTGAGATATGGAGATTGGTCCCTTTCAAAGTCTCACCTTTAGTGTTGTTATTTTTGTTTGTTTGATGTTAGTTACTACATTGAGATGGTTTGGCTTTGAAGTGTGTTTTTAAATTCGTTTTAGCTGTCTAATGGTGTTGGGTATCATGTTGATGATTACCATTTTGCAGATTTAGTTTAGTTGTCGTGTCTTTGATATTGTGATTGGTAGGCTCACCTTTGAGATTGAAAGATTCTCATGTGGATGATTTCTATTTTGCAGCTTGAGGTGAAGAAATGAAGCACAACAATGTTATCCCGAATGGACATTTCAAGAAGCACTGGCAGAACTATGTGAAGACGTGGTTCAACCAGCCTGCCAGGAAAACCAGAAGAAGAATCGGTCAGTAATGTTTTTGAATTATTTGTCTTTCATAAAACTTTATCTGCTAATGTTTCATCTCGGTTGCAACGTGATCCCTTTGTAATTAACATCAACTTTTGTTTGCATTGTGTTAACTCAGCGAGGCAGAAGAAGGCTGTGAAGATCTTCCCCCGTCCCACTGCTGGACCTCTCCGCCCTGTTGTGCACGGTCAGACTCTTAAGTACAACATGAAGGTCAGAACCGGTAAAGGATTCACTCTTGAAGAGCTCAAGGTTTGTAATCTCTATCTATTATTATTTTCGTTAGTTTTTTGTGATTTACCTCTGGTTTGTATTGCTTAGAGTGTTTATTTCTGTCATTTTATTGAATCAGGCTGCTGGTATCCCAAAGAAGTTGGCTCCCACAATCGGTATTGCTGTTGACCATCGTCGCAAGAACCGATCTTTGGAGGGTCTTAACTCCAACGTCCAGAGGCTGAAAACCTACAAGGCTAAGTTGGTCATCTTCCCGCGTCGTGCCCGCAAGGTTAAGGTACTAGTTCGAAACAAATGTCTAATCATAGTAGCATTAGAGTTAATATTTGGATTGGATTTCGATCTGATCCCAAGTTGTTTTTGTGTGTATCAGGCTGGTGATTCTGCACCAGAAGAGTTGGCCAATGCTACACAAGTCCAAGGAGACTACATGCCTATTGTCCGTGAGAAGCCGACAACTTCCCTTGTGAAGCTGACAGCTGACATGAAATCGTTCAAGGCTTACGACAAGATCCGTCTAGAGCGCACGAACAAGAGACACGCCGGTGCTAGAGCCAAGAGAGCTGCTGATGCTGAGAAGGAAGAGAAGAAGTGAGGATCCTTCTTCTTAGGTAGAAGCAACTTTAAATCGTGCCATCTTCTTTTGGATCTGAATTTTTGTGTATCAGACTTTGTTTTTTGTTTCGTAAGTTTTCTACCCTTAAATCTTGGATTATTCTGCTACTTGCGTCTCTGGGTTTATGGAAAAATTTCATATTACATCTCCAATTCATAAAAGTTTGGCTTCCAATACCTATCTATAAAGAGAAACTTCTTGCGACAGTGAAAATTTAATGTTTTGTGTGTATTCTTCCAAAACTATAGATTGAACAATGTTCAAGTTTATCATCGAACGAAGTTAGAAAATAACATGTTAAAGTTTGTTGTTGGACGCAATGTTTTAAAAGTCTTGAGCTATGATGATATGTATCTATGTTTGTTTATATTTTTTGTGTTTCATATGCTCTCACTTTATGCACAAGAAGAAAGAAACAACATTTATATCAATACAGTATCAATCACCTCAAGTTACAGAGACTGATTATGACATAGAAAACAAAACTGCTACAAGATATGGTAGGTAGAAGTAGGACAATGTTAAAAAATGAAGAAAATAGAAAATGGGTTTAATTTAATTTAGAGTTTAAAAGTCATGAAAAAGCATAATGGAATCATCAAGCTTAAACCTAGTGGAAGAGAGCAACATCCTCTTAGCTTTGATCTTATTGACTCTCTCCTTTAATGCTCCTTCCAGTTTCGCCATTGGCAGCAACAGCAACTGCCACACACACACACATCAAAAAAGAAGAACAATTGAAACATTTTTATACCATTATGATCATCTTCAAAATCTACTCTCTTTTAACTAAAATCTCAATCGATCTCAGTGTCACTAACCTCTTTCTCGGAATCCACTTCATGGGTCAACCTGAGACTCAAGTTTAAAGAAGCATGATACATCTCATCCAACATTTGCCTCGACACAATCAACTTGTTTACTTTCCACAATAGGAATGGCACATATACTCCCGTGACAGCCAATTTCTACAACAAAAAGAGGACAATAAGAAATCTCATATCAACCAGTTTCTTTAGCTTAACAGATTTGGTTTCAACTTGGTAAACTGCATACCTGCATATGTAAGTAACTATCTTTCCACATCTTCAAAAGAATTTGCGGTGTGTTTTTCTTTTCAGTCAGCGCGGCATCAGCAATCTTAACAGAAAATGAAATGTTAAGAAACCATTTATTTACTCTTAAGGATGTTTCTATACTAATCATGGTCGGTCACTAACCTTATCGGTCTCAACAAAACGGTCTTCCTGTGATAAGTATCTGAACATTCTGAAAGCTTCTTTACCATATCTTCCCATAATTACTGCTTCCAGCTAAAAGCATCTCAAATATCTCATCATCAGTTTCAGAAATGTTTCAGGAAAATAACCAAAAAAAAAAATAGAAGAAGCATGAAACACACCTCATCTTTCTGTGCTACGCTGATAATGGATTTGAAATCTGCAAACGAAATAAATTAACGAGGAAGTTCGAATCCAAGTATCAGTTGAACAGTTTTAAGGAGTTACTATACCAACTATGTATGAATCATCCGTTTCTATCACAAATGCTGGTAGATATGAAGACGATGCACTCAATTGTTCAAGGCACGCTTCAACTCGCTCTTGTAGCATAGTGCGGCCTGCTTCTGTTTTTATAACCTCTTCATAGATGGAACCCATAGACATTGGAACTGAAAAGAGGATATTGTTTCAAAGACAAAACCAAAAACAATGGCAACATCAAAAAAATTTGTTTATGTTCAGATATTGAACGAAAATGAGTGAGCATCTCAGATATTACCAGACTTGTCGGTTTTCACCTTCTTCTCCTGAGATCTTCCTACTTCTAGCATTGCCTTTAAGACAATGGCACATCCTTCATCCCTCCGCTCTTTCACAATCTCCACACACGCCTTAAAAGAGGAAACAGGTGATCAAAAGATTTATAATAGTGATGGAGTAGGAAAACAATATTTGAAATACCAATGAACAAGAGTTTTATGCCTCAAGAAACAGCCTTAAAGAGTTACACAGGTAACTAACCTTATGTCTAAGGCGACGGATGAACTCCTCGAAGTTAGGACGCCAAATTACTTCATCGCTAGGATCTGATGACTCCACATCACGTTGTTTACGCTGAAATACATTTCCGTTCAAAGAGAGACATCAAACCAAAATTCAGTGCTACGTCACAGTGAAATGTCCGCTTATAAATTATCCAATACTGGTTGTGGTAAGGATGCTGATACCTTCCCCTCAGAGATGTTGCTATCGTTATCTGCTAAAGATGAACTTAAATCTTCTTTGAATATATGTGGAAACCTTATTGCTTCAACTGGAGTTGCTGCTTCAAGAATACGCTCCTCCAAGCTTTCCGGTTCTTTTAAAATCTGCACAGTTCCAATTCTTTATTAATATCGAAAAAGAATAAACAATCCAAGTGATATATCCGACAATATATAAACACCAGAATTACCTTGGCAGCTTTGGCGCCTCTTTTCTTTGCAGCCGGCCCTTCTTCTTTTTTCCCAAGAACAGGTTCGGGAGAAGGAATGCGCTCAACAAAACGTGCAGCAACCAATTTCTCAAGAGAATCTCTGATCGCTTCTGAACCAATTGTATTTTCTGAATCTGATCATGTATGAAATCATATGTAACAGATTAGTATCCCCTCGGTTTGACAAATAACTGTGATTAACATGAAATACACAAAGACTAAAACCCACAATGAGAGTAAACTGTCGCATAATGACACAAGAGGTACATAAGATAATTGGACTCACCTCTGTCTCTTTCTATCAGCTGTCCCAAGGTAAGCCTACCGTTACTAAGTAAACCATCAAGAACTGCGCCGCACTGTTGATATTGATCAAAAGTAAAAAGATCGGCTTATCTTGAATCGTGACCAACTTAGTCAAACACTGAACAGATTGATTAAGATGCAGGAATCAAACCTGAGACCCAAGCTCTTCGTTTACGACCCTCGAAAACTTGTTATACCTCACACGATGAATAACGTTGTTAAACAGCACAATGTACTGTGTAATAGCTTTGTTCTCCGAACCATCTGTCAAAAAAGTCCAAACATAAAACCTCTCATGGCATCTCGCTTTCTGTGTTTGCTACTAATGACATAGTTGAAGGAAACGTCAAACCATATAGAATAACTTCAACATTCTTCAAAATGAAAGAAAACAACCGCGCAAGAACACAAAACAGTAAATAAAATTCCGGTTCAAGATAAAAGGTAGGAACTTGCACACTATACTGAAACAAGAACGACCTTAGTGTTCCTGAATACGTTTGATCTTCGGCAAACAAAACAAAAATAAACCTAAAAAGGACTACTTTCATTCCTCGTTATCTAAACAGAACTCCGCTTTAGATAGCAACAAAGTTCGCAAGTAAATAAAAAAATTACTTAAGCAAACAAAACTATCAATTATTTACTATTCTAATCCTACGCATTCTAGTTAGAATCTAAGTCAAGATCCGTCAATCACAAAATCCAAGCCATTTCCATTATCAATCAACAATTTCAACACAATGCAGGAGAGAAATTGCCTGGAAATTTCACAAATTCGAAACTGAGATGTCAAAGCCAAACCAATAAATCAGACTAACCAGGGGGTTCAACAGAAAAAGCTTGAACACAATTGTGTTGAATCAAGAGGTACAGAATATCCTTGACTTGATTATGATTGATCTCTGATTCCGCTAAACGGGAAATGTCTCGCGATGAAAGAGGTCCTCTACGGAGAAGACATTCGCAGACTTTCTGCAAAACAACCAAAAACCCATCACTAAAATTCGTTGACAACTTCCAAATTCTCCAAAAGGGTTTCAATTTACCGATACGACGGAGCCGAACTGGACAGTGATGATGTGAACGGCGTAGACAATACCATACTCAGTCGGAGCCATAATTTGTGTTTTTTGTCTTCTTCCTCCCACAACACACAAAACACAAAGGGGATTTAGCAAGGAATAGCAAAATTTGATTAACGATTGCTAAGGGACATTCCCGATAAAGCTTTTAATGGGTTTTAAGACCGGAGACGGTGACTGGTTTCGCCGAGGTTTGATCGTAAAGGTCTCAACTTTCCACATTTTTTCCCGGAAAGTTTAACCTAAAGCCCAATGTGATAGAAATATGGCCCGTTTTGTTTTTTTTCCAAATTCAAATGATTCTTGGATCCAAAATTGTTTCCGGACAAAAAAATGTAATTTTAGCAATGAAGCCAGCAAATTTTGATGTCAAGTATACCAACAAATCTATCAACAACATGCATTGTCAAATTTAAAGGTAATGACATGACAAACACAAAACTGCTAAATTATATGAGCTTGTTATATTTTTTTGTCGGCTTTTATGTGCTGGTTATTACTGTGAAAATTTACAAAAATGCTACTGTGTGATACATCCGATTTTATATAATGGTATATCCAGCTTTTCAATGACCAACAAATGACAATGTTACATAAGAAGAACAAACACAAATCAAATTCTTCTATTGCAGATTTGCAGTAGGTGATGTCGTGATGGCCTACATGAAGACCATGTTTATATTACGAGAAACGACATCGATTTTTTTTATATCTACGTAGACGATGTATTTGACTCTTTTTATTTTCTTTTCTTTTAAAAATTTAAGAAATAAAAACAAAACCGAACATAATTATGAAAAATTAATACAACGAAAGAACTAACCAAAACAACAAAATAAAATAATAATCCTTTTGATCCAGATTTTGGGGGTTTTGTCATTGCCCCTTGCCTTTTCTCCCTTGATACTCTATAGATTGAAGTGTTAACATTACAGATTATAACATATACAGTATAATACTAAAGTCTTAATGTGTAATTAAGAACATAAATTAAATCCAAACTAAGTGTACGAAATTTTATAGCCATATCGTTTGAGAGTAAATTAGTTCATTGGTTTAATATATATTCGAGAAGTTGGCAGACTATAATAGTACATAACTACATATAACAAAGCAGTATAATAATAACTCGTATATAGTATGGACAAACTAAATTGATAACTTCAAAAAGATACGTGTTTTTCAATGGTTTTTGCTTGGTCATCTAGCAATTTGTCTTCTTTTTTTTTGGTCGAATGTCATCTAGCACTTTATCAAAAATCGAAATCTCCAAAGATATCTAATTTTAAATGCGTACAATTAATTTATCCCACCCACTTCCATTTCTTAAGACTATCTTCTTCTAAATTTATAATATAAAGTGAGTAGTTGCTAGTTGCTACGTAGGACGGTAGGAGCATCTCTAAACGTGATTATCCGAGTCAAACGCACATGTGCAAAAAGGCCCTGAAAATGATTAAGGACCTATCAGCTTTTTACAATGAAACTAAAATCACCCTAGCCTATATAAATTTAGGAACCAGAAAGTTAAATGTTTTCTTCAGCTTTTAGTTCTCTAAAAAGTGAACAAATTTCATGATAATATATTGATAATATACGATAAAATCAACAAACACGTACATAACATCGTATTTCCAATCAGAGTTTTCTTCATGGTTTATTTTTGGCTTGGTAAAAGTTAAAACACGATACAACCTCCTCGCAGTGAGATGATTTATAACACTTTAGCGACTACTTCTCTGAATTCTTTTACATCTACTTCGTTCATTATTATTAAATCGAATACAAAACTGATACAAACGAAAGTAAAATAATATATTGCAATAACTACAATATCCACATCAAAACATAAACATGAACAATCTCAATATATAGCAATAAATGATGAAGAAGTATTTGCTAACAAATAATCAAATCTTGTATTTTCCTTTCTGCATACATAATTATCTCGATATGAGGATACTATTATTCTAGCCTCTAAGATATCATCCATTGGATGACACTTCAAAAGCTTGTAATCTCGCTAACATCTACTCTTGCATGATATTGTAAAAAAAAATACTTTGACAAAAAAAAAAAAGATATTAACTGTTGTTTATTATTTGTCCAATAATTTTGGTTCCACAACTTTATAAAGTATCTCAATTCCAACAAATAAGATTAGAAGGATTAGTAATCAACACAAGATTTTACCAAAATCATATATGTTTTACCAAACTATTTCATATTTATAATGATTCATAGACCATAAATTACGATCGCGTCGCGATTTTAGACTATTAGCCGTTCTGGTTCAGGGTTTGTACCGGAAACCGAAACAAAAATCCACCTCTTCGAAAACCGAAACGTCGGTCTAATAGTATAGGATTATATCATACCATATAGTACCAGCGACGTCGACATAAAAAAAACAAATAAAAAGATAGAGATAGACTGTGACCACACGATCAAAACCACATCCGTTCCGATGATGTCACGTGGCATAGTTCACATGCACTTTTTTGATACTGCATAATTAAATAATATATAAATTTTATCAATACTACGTTTTCGTTTTTGATTTCTTTTCTCTCTGCTTCACATCCTCATCGTTCTCATCGTGAACTTCCAGAGCACGATACCATGGATAGCGATACACTCACCGGATTATTGAAAAACGTCGCCACAAAATTCCCCGATCGTCGAGCGCTTTCAGTTTCCGGGAAATTCGATCTCACTCACGCGCGTCTTCACGATCTAATTGAACGCGCCGCCTCACGCCTTGTTTCCGCCGCCGGAATCAAGCCCGGCGATGTGGTCGCTCTCACCTTCCCTAACACCGTCGAGGTAAATTTTTTTTTTTTCGTTTCTTTTGGATTTGAGCTTCGTTTATGGTTTTATGTTGCGTGCTGAGAATCGTGGAAATGGTGTGTTTTTCTAAGGAAGAATAATCTGGAAATTTTGTTAATCGCTTCCTACTTGAGCAAAAAGCTATTTTTTCTTAATTTAGATTTTTTTTTTCCTTAGTTTGTTATCATGTTTTTGGCGGTGATAAGAGCTCGAGCCACGGCGGCGCCGTTGAATGCGGCGTACACGGCGGAGGAATTCGAGTTTTACCTCTCCGATTCAGACTCAAAGCTATTACTAACCTCTAAAGAAGGAAACAAGCCTGCTCAAGAGGCAGCTTCCAAGCTGAACATCTCTCACGTCACCGCCACTCTTCTAGACGCCGGCTCAGACCTTGTTCTCTCCGTGGCCGATTCCGACTCGGTCGTTGACTCGGCGGCGGAACTCGTTAATAGCCCGGACGACGCGTCCCTCTTCCTCCACACTTCCGGGACCACGAGCCGTCCAAAGGGTGTACCGCTTACGCAGCTCAATCTAGCGTCATCGGTCAGGAACATTAAATCGGTTTACAAACTCGTCGAGTCTGATTCGACCGTGATTGTTCTCCCTCTGTTCCACGTTCATGGATTGTTAGCTGGACTGCTCAGCTCGCTTGGAGCTGGTGCGGCCGTGACTCTCCCAGCTGCTGGTAGATTCTCAGCAACAACGTTTTGGTCAGACATGAAGAAGTATAACGCCACGTGGTATACTGCTGTTCCGACCATACATCAGATCATATTGGACCGCCACGCGAGCCACCCTGAGCCGGAATACCCCAAACTCCGGTTCATCAGGAGTTGCAGTGCTTCTTTGGCTCCGGTAATGCTCTTGTTTCTATTTCAGTTGTTGATGCGTTTGTGAGAACATAGTAACAGCATAATGATTTGCAAAACATTTTGGTTTCCTCTTTGTTTTTTCAACAAATTTATGGTTTTGGTTAGGTGATATTGTCAAGGCTTGAGGAAGCTTTTGGAGCACCGGTTCTTGAGGCGTATGCAATGACAGAGGCAACCCACTTGATGAGCTCAAACCCTTTACCAGAGGAAGGTCCACACAAGCCTGGGTCTGTTGGGAAACCGGTGGGTCAAGAGATGGCGATCCTCAATGAGAAAGGGGAGACACAGGAGCCAAATAGCAAGGGAGAGGTTTGTATAAGAGGTCCGAATGTGACAAAGGGGTACAAGAACAACCCAGAGGCCAACAAGGCAGGTTTCGAGTTTGGGTGGTTCCACACGGGTGATATCGGTTACTTTGATTCCGATGGGTATTTGCATCTGGTGGGTCGGATCAAAGAGCTTATTAACCGTGGAGGTGAGTCTCATTTACTTCATGTGATGGCTTTACTGTTTCACAATAATACTAGTCTATCTCAAGCAGTTTATGTGGATCAATCCCTGTATTTGAATAGTCTCAATGGAGTGGATAGACTTGTCAAAGAAAAACCACCTAACAAGTAATAGAAATGAGAAAAGACACTGTAGTAGAGAAACAAGTCAAAGAAAGAGGCTGTTTTGTGTGTATTTCTTCTTTCGTATCAGTTACTTAGAATTTCCATGCGTACTTACTTTTATAATCTCTGTTTCAGGTGAGAAGATATCCCCAATTGAAGTGGATGCAGTATTGCTAACTCATCCCGACGTTTCCCAGGGAGTTGCGTTCGGAGTTCCTGATGAGAAATATGGCGAAGAGGTAAACAAAACTCGTGCTTAACTTCCTCTGTTATTCACTATAATTCAGATACTGGGATATAGATTATACAGATAGTTTTGGTTCTCCTTTATATACCAGTACCATGATTGTCTGGCTTCATCATCTAAATAATATGCGATCGTGCCTCATTAATGCTCTTAAAGAAAACGTGGTCATATGCCTTAATGCTGTTTCAAGCATTAGATGTTTAGATCGGTTAATAACAGAGTTCTTTTCCTGGTTTATTTGTGTATCAGATTAACTGTGCGGTGATTCCAAGAGAAGGAACAACTGTGACCGAAGAGGACATTAAAGCGTTTTGTAAGAAGAATTTGGCAGCTTTCAAGGTGCCAAAGAGAGTGTTCATCACTGATAACCTCCCCAAAACAGCCTCCGGCAAGATTCAGCGCCGTATTGTCGCGCAGCACTTCCTCGAAAAACCCTAAACAAAACAAAACAAACACCCATCTTGCTGGGAATCCTTGGTGATCAGTCTTAGTTTTCACGCAAGTGGTTTTTAGTTTCTTGCTTTTAATGTTGCTTTTCATGTTTCATGGTTAAAAGAGGACATGGTGGTCAAGGTATAGCTAAATTACATAATCGGAAATAAAGGTTAAGTTCATTGAAGTATAATAAAGGAGTTTCTTTCATTTTCTTTTGTTTTTCTTTGTGTTGTCGCTGTGTCGTTTGTTAAGAAATAAAGATGCTCTTGAATTAGTGCGTCGTGGCCAATTTGACAACTAAAAAGCGTACTTCCAAAACGGATAAAGCCAAGGTGGGTAAAGACCAATGCTTATTGATTTTTAGCAAAACTGAAAATGACATGTACTTCCAAAACAAGCATGGTAGCTTCCACTATGCACCTACCATGCCTTTGTTTTCTGACATCTAAAAATGATTCAGATTTCAACGTCCTTAAAATGGGATAAAAGGTTATCTTACAACGGAAAAAGAAAAAAAAAAAATCCCAAGCCTAAAACTGAAAATGATATGAGCAAAGAGCTCATTAACAGTGAAGGCGACTCTCATTTACTCTGTCAAATGAAGACAATCAATACGCTGTTAAACTCGAAGTCTGGAATCAATAAATGAAAAAAAGACTTTACTGACTTTGCTAGACCCAAACACTAACAGACACATGAAAATCTCAAACCATACAAATCCACGACATGAACAAGCCAAACCGGAAATTCAAAGCTAAACTCAAAGATGCACGCACTACAGAAAAGTGATCACACAAATACAAACGAGTGAAAAACAAGAATACGAGAGAAAACTATACGAGATCACATTTAGTTCAACGATCATCACTGTTATTGCTCCTCCTCTTGGATATTTTCTTCCTCTTCGTCTTCATACTCATACCCTTCTTCATCCTCCGCGGTCGCGTCTTGGTACTGCTGATACTCCGAGACCAGATCGTTCATGTTACTCTCTGCTTCCGTAAACTCCATCTCGTCCATCCCCTCACCAGTGTACCAATGCAAGAAAGCCTTTCTCCTGAACATAGCCGTGAATTGCTCACTCACTCGCCTGAACATCTCCTGGATCGAAGTCGAGTTTCCGATGAACGTGGACGCCATTTTCAGACCTGTAGGTGGGATGTCACAGACAGTTGACTTCACATTGTTGGGGATCCATTCAACAAAGTAGGATGAGTTCTTGTTCTGAATGTTGATCATCTGTTCGTCGACTTCTTTTGTGCTCATTTTGCCTCTGAACATAGCTGATGCGGTCAAGTACCTGCCGTGGCGCGGGTCAGCTGCACACATCATGTTTTTGGCATCCCACATTTGCTGAGTGAGCTCAGGAACGGTTAAGGCTCGGTATTGCTGGGAACCACGTGATGTGAGGGGTGCGAATCCGACCATGAAGAAGTGTAGACGAGGGAATGGGATCAAGTTGACTGCAAGCTTTCGCAAGTCGGAGTTCAGCTGACCAGGGAAACGGAGGCAGCAAGTTACACCACTCATGGTTGCAGATATGAGGTGATTCAGATCTCCAACTGAACAGAAACACCATACAATCAGCAGCAGATCAACAATAGAGCAAAACCTCTAAAAGAACTTATACATAGCTCAATATTATCCATCCAAATGATGTACATTCAACATATGGTGTCAGATACTTAAGTACAGGCTTTACTAGTTATCTAGATCATGCAAAACATCTAATTTCTTATTCTAAGTTCTGAATAAGTTCTTAGAGACCAAAAGTATGGGACTAATACATGACTAAATTGGAACTAGGAGAGTGTATGTATATTCACTGAAAATCAAGTGCTGAAAAGAGGCGCTTACAGCTAGGAGTGGTAAGCTTAAGAGTCCTGAAGCAAATGTCATAGAGAGCTTCATTATCAAGAACCATACACTCATCTGCATTCTCCACGAGCTGATGAACAGACAAAGTTGCATTGTAAGGCTCAACAACAGTGTCAGACACTTTTGGAGATGGAAAAACTGAAAATGTGAGCATCATCCGATCTGGGTACTCTTCCCTGATCTTTGAAATCAGTAAAGTTCCCATTCCCGAACCAGTGCCTCCTCCCAACGAGTGGCAAACTTGGAATCCTGAAGATACACAGAAAACATTCAATACATGAATGGCGGAATCCACAGACTTGTGACCTATTTTTACAGCACAAATCCAGTTGAATAGCAAGATAGGCTTCGTCATTGTGAAGGTAACGGTTATATAGAAGGAGTAACTTCAAGTGACCTAAACTACAATCAATTCGCAAATACGCAAGAGAAAACAAGCAAATCCGAAGAGATCCAAAGCTTATAAGCAATCAAAAGAGATAGAAATGGTTTTTGAGAAGAAGATTTTTAAAACCTTGCAAGCAGTCACAGTTCTCGGCTTCCTTACGAACAACATCGAGAACCGAGTCGATCAACTCAGCACCTTCCGTGTAATGTCCTTTGGCCCAATTGTTACCGGCACCGGACTGACCGAAGACGAAGTTATCGGGACGGAAGATTTGACCGTACGGCCCGGATCTGACGCTATCCATCGTCCCGGGCTCCAGATCCATCAGAATGGCGCGTGGAACGAACCTACCGCAACTCGCTTCGTTGTAGTAGACATTGACTCGCTCGAGTTGCAAATCGCTGTCCCCTTGATACCTCCCCGTCGAATCGATCCCGTGCTCGGCGCAAACCACTTCCCAGAACTTAGCACCGATCTGGTTCCCACATTGACCTCCCTGAATGTGAAGGATCTCTCGCATTTTTTTCACTGAGTCAGCGACCGAGTTCTGTAGAGAGTAGAGTAGGAGAGAAAATTGAACGGTTTATTTACTTTATGTGATGAAAACTCGAAGAAGGGGAAAATAGATGGTTTTAAATAGTGCAGAGATAACGGAACGGAGGATAGTTTTCTCGGTACGAAGATTCCGGTTTAGAGCCAACCTATACACTAGCAAAACCAAAAAAAAACAGAAAATCAAAGAATTGTGGAATTGCTCGTCGCACACGCTATATTCTTTCCAATACTTCAGTAGGAAAAAAAGGCTGCAAGATCTGAATATTTTCTTTTACTTAATTCGTCCACAATCCACATGAAGAGTCAGAAGAGAGCTGTGAAAGACATGTGTTACCAGCGAATAAGCACGTGACTTGAAATGGAGACTAAAAATCTCCATTCCAATTAATTGTCCTTATTAAATCATTGCAGATTTGCAGGCATCTCAGTGCTAATCCCTCAAACAAATTCCCTGCGGGAATTATTTAACAACCACATACACACATATCCATTTCAAATCTTTGTTTGAAGTCAATCTGATGAGAGGATCTTAAGAGGATTTTAAAATTTAAAACAAAATAAAAAAATAGGATAATATATGATTGTCATAGTGTGTATCAGTCTCATTCATTGATGCGGTATCAAATAGTACCGTCCAATTCATTCTTTGGTATCAACTAGTTTGGATTTTGATGCTGTTCCTGAATCGATTTTTTTTTCTTCTGAATTTTGCTTTTCATTAGTAAAAACAATTCCCCAATATCTTTGCTGAACAAAAATATAAACAATTATAGTAATTGTTTGGGAAACCATTCATCCTGATTTTATTTTGGATTTTGATATTGTTCTTAAATCGAGTTCACTAATTTTGTGTTTTTTTTTTAGAATCATAAGTTTTAAATTTTGGATTTTGTTAAAGAACATTCTCTATATATTCAAGAGTTTGTTCTTGACTTAACTTGGTTACATTAATAACTGCGTTTTGCAATAGTTTGTTTGTTAAGAACTTGCATAGTGAATTTTCAAGTTAATTTTTTGGCTTCCAACAATGCATAGACAATTATTTCATGAGAATAGTACATACTATTATTTGGAAGATTATCACAGTTTTTGATTTAGGTGATTTTTTTCAAGGGTCATGTGACACAAAATAGTCATGCAGATCATATCGATAGCATGAACCTACTCTACTGGTCAATGTACAGAAAGAGCAAATTTTGTACATGTTATGAAATTGTTCCTCACAATTTTGTTTATTTGGAGCAGGACTTTAACTTCAATGGTTTTGAGGGCATAAAGTTTTAGCTGGGATATGTAAAATAGACTTGAGATCTCGAGGGTACAAAGTTTTTGTTGAGCAATGTAAAGATATTTGATGTTAGAAAACCGTGAAGATATTGAAGATATTGAAGATAATGACTTAGAGGACGACTAAGAGGACGGCGAAGAGGATGACCTAGAGCATGACAAAGAGAATGACAAAAAGAATGGCCTTGAAGAATAAATCATGAAACGATTAGAGGAACCTAGAGATTCAAGATCAACCTGAAAACATGTAAAAAAAAATGATAATTTCTATTTTGTATTGGAATAGAGTAAATAGGTCAATTCACATTGTATTGGGTTTCATATTTATGCTATATTAACCTTTATTTTTTATCTGTTGTAACTTCTCCAAAAGCTTAGGAACTGCAGCAACATCTATCTTTTTTTGTGTATCTATAAACAATTTGGAACACTTACTATAGTATTTGTTTTTCTTTTTACACCATTTTTTTAATATTCAGGTCAATAGTTAAAATCAACCCTGGCTTGAATTGTATTTAGATATGTTAAACTAAAAGAGAGCATCCATCAGGAGTTTATCTGAAATCTGGGAGAGTGGGACCATTATAGATGTGAAAATTTTACAAATGTTATGGACCACATTTAAAGCAATATATGTTTAGTGTCCTCTTAGTTACGACCAACTTTGTAAGAATGAATGGCCACCACCATCAAAGCAATATCATAGCCACGCAACGTATCCGTAACCGTAGCTTTAATTCATAATCATTGGAATCAAAGACGGTTAACTTGCGAAATATCAAAAAGAATATGTTATTTAGTGAAATATGTACTTTATTAAGTTGTCATTTCTGCTAATGACACAAAAATATCGAAAAGGCGTGCATAAAATTTTAGGTGATTACAGACAGATTGTGGATACAACATGACAAAAATCGAAAAAAAGTGTGCAGAAAATTTCTACGGGGAAATAAGAAAGGAAACTAAACCTTACACATTTTCTAGGTTCTACAATAGTTCGTGTGATGTTAATACCTGACATATTAAATACAGCGACCGGGTTAAACGCAAGAGCTTTTTCTCTACACAACAAAACTTAATACGCGAATCTAATTTTACGAACCGGTCTGGTTCTGCTTCCTCCAGTACTTACTCTCCCACTGTTCGATTCTACTAGTCGTACTCTGTCTTCTCTTCAGAACCGAGTAAAACGACGCCGGATCATAAGGAGGCGGCATGGCGCAGGGACCAGTCTCTGCGGGGCGTTTCACCAGCGATTCCATCATAAATTTCCGCTCATTTCCATCCCTCGGGCACGCCATAGCCTCTGAACAAAGCTCCGTGGCGTTTTGAGGAATCTTGGGTTTAAACCGGAGGAGCTTAGAGTATTGGGTTAAGAGATGGTACATGTAATCGTACACATAGTCCATCTTGAGTTCTTGTTGCACAAACTCACTCGCCTTCTTTCCGATGTCTTGTGCCTGGTAATAAACAAAAAAAAAAAACAGCCGAAGAATAACAATCAGATAAAGTACTTATACACGATTCTCTATTGAACATTTATGAAATGCTTATCGTACCTTGAGCATGTGCAGGTTGCCAAAATCAACGGCGAATTTGATGGAGCGGCATTTGTCATCTTCCTTGACGGGCCAATAGTGGTGACCCGGAAACATACCCCGTGTGAAGAAATCGTAGTAATGAGGTTTCACCAGCAATGTCACCGAGTCACAAGCGAGAATGTACTTCTCGCTGACCGACCACGCAGACCCTTCTATGTAAATCTTGTACCTGCATGACAATATTTTTGCATAAGCCATTTCTTACAAACCCAAAAGTAATGTGAAGGTTTTCTCTTCAAAATTAACGTGCTACTACCTGTGATGGCATTGGCTCGCCAAGTCTGATTGCTTGTAACCTTCCTTTGATTCCCGGACCCAGTCCTACAAAAACACACCAAGATAAAGCGTGTTGGAATATTATCTAAACATCCAATAACACAATTCCAAAACTCCCAACTTTTGCATCATTGTACATCAACCAATAATGACTAAAATCAACAATTTCAATCATGGATTCACCTCCTTCAACAAAATTCGTTGTTGATTAGTACAGACATAGCTGCTAATGTTCTGTAATTAAAACCGTTTAGATACTAATGTCAACAAAATGCCGAGACAGGTCACACTCACGTTGCTCAAACCTACAAGTTAACACACCACTAGATTCCGGTTAAAAAAATAAACTTTCTTTAACGCAATGCATTGGATTTGAAGTACTGTGAATCGAATCCGGGACCTTCTTAACTAGTTGAATCATTGAACAAGAACAATGTGATATTGGCATAGATCCAATTACCTGGGGATACAAACGAGCTTTCCAGTCATAATCCTCGGAGACATTACATTTCATGAGATCTTGTCTCGTCTCAGCAACCGTCGGATTCCCTTTCCAGTAAGCATAAGGTTCTCTGTCTATCCATTTGGTTCTCTGGTTCCCTTCTCTAAGTTCTTTCAACAGACTCTCCCATGGCTTTATATTCACCTCAGCCCTACAAAACCAATTCCATATCTCGTCTTTAGCCTCTGTAACTATGCATTGAAACTTGTCTACTCTCACAGCTATTTCTTACGCCACCAAGAAAATCTACTATGGGGTTTCAATAGTCAAATCCAAAACTACAATGGTGAAATTGCAAAACACTAAAAGTCATGGGTGCTCGAAGAAAGTTATTGGAAAGGAGATGATGAAGAAGAAGCGTTTACCATCCCCAATAGGACCAATCAGGAAATACGATGTCAAGCGTCTCGTTGTTCCCACAGTAACGGAACAGCGGCGGCGGCGTCAACTGATCAACTCCGGCGAATTCCGCCGCCTTCACTACCGGCCAGTCAACGCAGTCAAACATCAGCTCGAGATCCGGAATCTTTCCCGGATATCTCCTTAGGAGCTGCACGAATCCCCAAATCGTGAACACATCTCTCGTCTGAAAAGCCTCCCGAAACTTCTCGACGTAGATCCTCCCGTTGATGATCGCAAGCCGGAAATTCGCCGTCGCATTGGCGCGCTCCAACGCTTCCCTCGTGATCCCCGTCTTCTCCCACGGCCGTAGATCCTCGTGGATCCAGCGGAAATAGTCTGGACACGTGGCGGGTGGAGAACGCTCGGGATCATCTTCTCTGGCTCCGGATCGGAGACTCGTCGGGTAGCGGTTCCTTGGGCAAGTTATTACAGTCTCGTTGCCGGAGAAAGCGGCGCAGTTTAGCGTGAACTCCTTTGGCTTTTCTTCCGTAATTAGCTTAGTCGACTGAGGGTGTTTTGGGGATACCGCCGGTGTTTCTGTCTCTGTCACGGTCACCGATTGTTTCTCTATCAAAACCTACAGTAAGAAAAAGGTAAAAATAATAAAAATACACAATACCAATTGTTAAAAGTAAATCGCGGTGGTTAGTTAATTAGTGACTAAAAATCAATTAAAGATCCCAGGAAGACACGTGTCGAACACTCCGTTTCTAGTTCGACAAAAAAGTAATGGTGACACGACAAATCAGGCGCCAATGAGTTTGGCGCCACCAATACCAAATTCCACGTGGCAAATAATTTTAAACCAACAGAAAATATCACCAGGAGGAAACGACAAAACGGAGTGTCGTTTAGGTGAGATAAGAACAGAACACAAAAGAATGTAATAAATGTGGGCGTACGTACGGATGGGTCGAGGAGGAGGCGCGTGGAGATGAACGCGCCGAGGAGGAGGAAAAGGAAGAGGGAGAAGAAAGCGTAGGATCTGTTGGATGCTACGGTGCCGGATTTGACGAGAGGAGACAAAATTGAGTCGAAATGACGAGAATGCCCTCCTGCCGATGATCCATAGGACGGTGAGTTCCTCATCGTCCCTCCTTGCTGTTGCATGCCCAATCAACGTGAATCGAAAGATGAACAAGAGAGAGAGAGAGAGAATAAGAGAACGAAAGGAAAAAAAAATGGAGAGCTTTTGTGGGGAAAACGAAAGGACAGGTAGCAGAATAATGTGAAACAGAACAAGAAAAGGGTTGGTTAAATTAAATGTTCGCAAGACGTTGAAGGGTGTGTGTACCTCAAAAAGTCATAAATTTTTTAAGCTTCTCGTTGTGATGGGAGACAAAAGTACATTCTTTTAAATGGTGTTTTGGATTTTTGATTCTGTTAAAAAAAATGGTGTTATAAATATTTTTTGGGTGATTTTATTATATACCAAAAGTTTGATAAAAAATTAAATAAATATTGAAAGAAATTTAAAAATTAGTTCAATCATTCTACATCAGCAATTTATCTCCAATTTATCCATAATGGTCTAAGAACATCTCTATTGGTGAACTCTATATGGGGTTCTAATTTTATATTTTAATAATAAAATTTTCCTTATCACAAAAATTAAAACTTCTCATAGTATCATACATACAATGGTGAACCCCGTAGAGGTTCATTATAATAAAATAATATTTTTTTGGAATTTGAATTTTTTTTCATAATAATTATTGATATATATATATATATATATATAATTGTTAACAATTTGTATGAAAACAATTTTTATTTATTACACATGAAAAAAAAATACAGAATATTAAACTTGAAAATATATCATAAAAATGTTTAGTTTTGACCTTGAGAATTGCCAAACTTTTACCAAATGTGCTCGACTAAGTCAGCTTTTAGTCAGTCATGTATTTTTTTTATCGCGAACTTCATTTCTTTTTCCGAGCAAATTGTTTAGATTTGTAGGCATATATGTAGAATACGTCATATCCACCTCTGAAGTTCCGCTTCCTTCTCCATGCTCGAAAGTTCTTGTATCGAACTGAGTTGACGCCTCTCTTTCAATCATATTATGTAATATGATACATACTCTCATAATTTGGCCAATTTTTTCTTTATCCCAAAAAGAGCAGGGTTTTTTATAATTGCAAAACGTGCTTGCAAGACCCCAAAAGCTCGTTCAACATCTTTTCTGACCGATTCTTGACATTTAGCAAATAATTTCGCCTTCTCACCTTGTGGCCCTGGAATTGATTGGACAAAAGTTGCCCACTTTGGGTAAATTCCGTCTGTGAGATAGTACGTCAAACGGTATTGACGTCCGTTGATCCAGTAAGAAACTTTTGGTGCTCGACCTTGTAAAACATCATTGAAAACAGGTGAGCGATCGAGTACATTAATATCGTTTAATATACCTGGAGGTACAAAAAACGCGTGTCATATTCAAAGATCCTTTGATGCTACGGCCTCTAACACAATTGTCGGTTTTCCTGAACCACGTGTATATTGCCCTTTCCATGCGGTAGGGCAATTCTTCCACTCCCAATGGATACAATCAATGCTTCCTATCATCCCAGGAAATCCGCGCCTCTCTCCATCATCAAGTAATCGTTGCAGATCTTCTGGGGTGGATCTTCTTAGGTATTCTTCCCTGAATACATTGATGATGCCTTGAACAAAATTTTCCAAGCACCTAAGTGCAGTTGTTTCACCGAGGCGTAGATATTCATCAACTGCATCAGAAGCACAACCATATGCCAAAATACAAATTATCGCCGTACATTTTTGTAATGCAGATAGACCGAACCTTCCAGTAGCATCTCTTTTTTGTTTAAAGAAACTTCATGGGAAAGTCGATCGACGATATGCATGAAAAGCGGCTTGTTCATCCTAAAACGGCGTCTGAACATATGTGGCGGATATATTGCATCTTCGTGAAAGTAGTCGTTCCACAACTGTTGATGGCCTATTTCACGTTGTCTTTCAATGTAGGCCCGTTTCTTCTTTGCCTTTGCTGATGCTTGATACGCCAAAGCATTGTCAATAGCGGTATCAAACATATTCTCAATTGTTTCATCAATACTATCATCAAGAGAATACTCAAAAAAGTTGTTTGATGAGGAAGCCATGATCGTTTAGTATAAGGGAAAAGAAGAAGAGAAGATATAGATGGAGGTTGTATTGAAATCGAAGGAGAGATTTGCACAAAAGATTGAGGTTGAAGTATGGAAAATAAGAAGAGAAGACATACTACTTTGAAAGCATCTAAACTTGTATATATAGAAGAAAAGTTTGGAAATAATTACAAGACATGTGGTACATTGTATCCGTGACCCCAATATGTGGTGTAGAAAATAGTTTCTTTTTACAACAAATTCAAACCAAGTATTTTGAGTCCCCATCTAAATTACAAAACAGAGCAAACGACAAATCAGAAACAGCTTTTACACGTGAATGTGAGTCAGCCATTATCCTCTCTTTGTGCCTCCAAACCCGTGACCTACAACCACATAGTGAAAGATACCATCAAAAGCAAAAGATATGCAAAACACATAAAATTGACAAAGGCATTAAGCAAAAGATTTTCACAAAACATTAAGCAATGCATTAACAAACATAAACACAAATTACTTATTACACAAACAGAAAACTTAGACACCACCATAGTTCTTAAACACCCCAAACTTCAACACAACCAAACATAAAGTACATATTACACTATCCGATTGAATAATTATGACAAAATATCATTGATTAGCTTGTCTTTAATTTTCAGTTCTTTTTCAATCAATGGCTCGGATTTAGCAAGTAGATTTTCAAGCAGCTTTTTGTTTGAGAGCTTGTCCTTCATTTCCATTTGTTGTTTCTTGATTTCCATATTTTTTTTCTTGATTTCCCACACATTCTGTAGATGCATAAGATGTTTCTCGGCTTCTAGCTCAGCTTTTGTGGTTGATGCAGTCTTCTTAACTTTAGCAGCAGCTTTTGCAGCCTTAACTCCAATCGGACGTGTCTCTGATTCATCATCTAACACGACTTTTTCTTGGAAGCTTGCTGACTGACCAACACACTCATTCGTCTTTCTTCTCTTGCTTGAAACCTTTGAGCACCATTTCTGGTCGTAACGCAACTCTCTCCAGGCGTGTTCTAGTGTGAACTTCACTTGGTAATCGTTGTAGAAGATCTCGTGTGCAGCCTTCATCACATCGGTTTCATTTTGTCCGCTTCTCTGATCCTTAACGGCAGCTTCATAACAACCGACGAACTTACAAACTTGATCGTTCAGCCTCCCCCATCTTTGTTTGCATTGACTCGCCCCTCTGGCTTCTGGACCACTGAGTTCGAGACTTGAGTTGAAGTAACCCTCTATCCTCTTCCAAAAAGCCCCAAACTTTTGCTCATTGGAGACCACAGGGTCTTTGCTGGTATTCAACCAAGCTGAAATGAGCATCACATCCTCCTTTGCTGTCCACGGCCTTCTCTGCTTACGGTCTTCAACATGTGCACTTGAACCATCCGAACCTTGGCTACTGAACCGAGGTAGCTCAGATGATCCAAGGTTTATAGTTTGGGGAAAACTATATGGTGTTTCTTCTTGGCTTGTTAGTAAATTTACAAACCCCTGAGAGGTGTAAATGGATTAGGAGAATCCATTTAGAGGTTGAGGAAGTTCAGAAAGCTTAAGTACGGTTGAAAGTTTGAAGTTTTTAGAAGTTTGTAAGTTTGTAAGTGTGGAAGTTTTAAGTTTTGTAGAACCCTTAAGTATTGTTAAAAGGGTAATGCAAAGCATTTATTCACAATAGCTTTAAGTACTAAACCTACCAAGCATTGAAACAACCCCCATACCGATTTTAACTCCTAAACCTACCAACCATTTACAGCTAACAACCATTTAACAAGCAAATATAGAACAACCATTTATTCACAATAGCTTTAACTACTAAACCTACCAAGCATTGTTAAACATGAAGTGACTGACCTTTAAATGTTGAGTGCTCGAAGCCTGTTGAGGACAAGTCCATCTTCCCATTAAATGCAAAATGTGTTGTTCTCTATCTATCTATATCACCTCGCAGGCTGGCACAATCAAGCAAGATAATATCAAAATCTTGTAAGTTCATAAGCACATAAAACATCAAAATCGAAAACATCAAAATGGAATCCGAATCAAGCAAGGAAAACATCAAACATCAAGCTAGTAAGTTCATAAGCACATAATAGTTAATAAGCATCTCAAATCAAATTCAAAACCGATTCATAGATGTAATCGATATTGCAAATAACCAAATAAGTCCTAAATCCGATTTCGATGCAAATACACTAACATATACAGATATACAAAATAATCTAACTACCTATAACTCTATCTAAACACATAAACTCTAAAATTTCCCCCAATTTTGAAAACCCTAATTTTTCCCCCAAATTTGTAAACCCTGATTTCATTCAAATTAACCACAACAAACGAACAATATAATGAGGAATAGCCGATAACATACCTTTTCAAAGCCATTTTTTCGATTCCGACTAACAATCTGCGAATAAAGAAATGAGAAAGGAAATCAGGAAAACCCAGGAAATCAGAGAGATTAAACGGGTTATAAAAGAAAGGAGAAAGGAAGAGATAAAAAGGTGATGACAGAACGGCCACGGAGGTCAGATCGTCTCCGATTTCCGGCGATGAATCTGGTCGGAGGAGATGCGAAGAACGAGAGACTTTGAAAAGTTGAGAAAAAATTTTCGCGAAAGAAAAAAATGGAACTTCACCGTGTGCTCCCCAAATTTTTTTCCCAACCCAAACCAATAAAATCCTTCCACGTCAGCGTGAACCTCTCTTTACTTCAGTCTCCAAAAAGCCTACAATTAGAATCGGTTCAATGCTAATTGGGCTTTAATGAATTATTTTAAATCTAAAAAATCAGTGAACCTCATCTTAAAACTCTCATTGAACCTCTGTTACAGATGCTCTAAGTATTATTGTCATCGTTTGCTAACTTTAATGTACATATATCCGATAACTATATATGAGTGTTATTGTTTGTCCGGGTTATGCTAACAATGATATATAATACAAGTTAACATGTTAACAATACTTTTTGTTGTATGTTAACAATTATATATGTTAACATCTTGTTAACAATGATATATGTTAACTTCTTTACTTGTTAACAATAATATCTAATATTATAACATGTTAACATAACATGTTTCTATGGTGCAATAAATTATATGATACTTGTTAACGGACTAACAAAAATACTAGATATTTATTAAGATGTTAACAATAATAGATAGTGTTTGTTGACGTGTTATCCGATATTTGGTAACATGATAACAATAATAACAAGTATTATCGAAACGTTATAAGTACAATATTATTGTTAATATGTTAACATACTAGTTAACACATTGTAAGTATTACATATTGTTAACAAGTAGGGATGCTAACACATATCATTGTTAACAAAGTAGGGATGCTAAGAAATGACAACCGTCTGTCTTTCTTTTTTTCTTTCCATTGTCGTTTTCTCTTTCTTCTATTATGTATCGAAGACTGCGAATGGTTGCGTGTGAAACAAACATAATATTTCTCTGACACCTTTTCTAATATTCAAGATCCACATCATAAAAAAAATATCTTTTGAAAGAATATATGTTTTAGGGGTTTTATGAACTTTTTACCCTCAATAGTATCAGATCAAAAATACTTTTTAGAGATTATTTAATTTTGATGTTATTTGTTGGTATATATTTATATTACTTATATTTTTTTAGAAGTAATGTATCGACTTATAGCTAAACGGTTAAAAACATTAACAATGTGAAATAACAGAATCGTATAGAAAAAGGCGTGAAAGTGAGCTGTTATAATCAAACTTTAGAATATACGATCAAATAACTGAATACTTTTTGAAAATTTGCAGAATAATTATAATAAAAACTAGGTGAATACCCGCACGTAACGTGCGGAATTTTCTTTTTAAAATTTTCAATTTTTTTTGTTATATTTTTATAAAAATTAATATAATCATCACTTATTATTTACTTACTTGTTAATATTTTATTCTAAATTTTTTTAAAATATTAATTTAAAATATATATTGAATATTATTTAATAATTGAAAATTATATTAAAATTAATACATATCATTCAATATTTTTAATTAGTTAACAAATATTAATTAATAGTCAATTAATAAAAAAAATTAAAATTAATATAACCATCATTTTATTTGTTACTTGTTATATTTTATTATAAATAATCTTAAAAATGAATTTTAACATCTTGAATATTATTAAATAATCAACAGTTATATAAAAATTATATATATATCCATCAATATTTTTAATTAGTTATAACATAAATTTTTGTTTAACATTAATATAAATGTTAGTTAATATAATCTTTTCATATTCTTTAAGTGCTTATATAAATGTTAATTAATATAAACTTTTCATATTCTTTAAATGCTTTAAAATTTAATATTAAAATTTATTATTTAAAATTTAGTTGACAGGTGTCAACTTCTCCAATGCTGATGTGTCAAGCATATGGAGAAAGACAGTATAAAAGATACTTTTTTTTTAAACTCAAACGTACTGATTTTATTTCTCAGACTTGGAGAACATTAAACGAGATTTAGGTCAAGACTCAAGGCCGAGTTCCAGAACTAAGCCCAAGCCCAAGCCCAAAATAAGGAGCAAAATGTTTTATCATTTGAAAGATCAAAGATGGGCATCATATCAGATCGTAATTATCAAAATCAATCAAACATAATAGACCATATGGTCATATCTTTTCCGGTTTGGTTCGTTTATAAACATCAATTAAAAAAAGGAAGTGGCAACAACTAACAAACTGAGCATTGATTTTGGACCACAATAAATAAAGCAACATTGGAGACACATGTGATTTCGAGAAAATGGACCCTTTTGTTTATCCCTTTTATATTATGTCCTTTGTTCAATATACTACTGTCACAACTATCTGTTTACGACATGACATATTCATAACATATAGAGCTGTCCTGGTCGGAGTTTACTATTCAATAAAAAGGAATTAACGGAAGCCTCAAATATTACAGTAATCAAAAGTGTTGAAATGAGATCTTTTGAATGCTTGGAGCCTTGGACATTCAAAACCAATTTTCAAAGTTAATGAATAATTAGGGTTTCATGAATTTTCGAATAATGTAGCTGTCAATACAAACGGTTGCATATATCATAGTGGAAACAAAATGATGGATGCAATTAATCTTTATGGGAGTGCCCTCTTTGACAATTTTGAACTAAAGCTCATGCTTAATAACTATCCATGTCCCTACCTTTAATCACAACTTCACATCAATAATCAGACTACGCTCTCATCTTTTGCTTTTACGTTATTTCATTTCATATTAGTCACAAAAGTTAAATTTAATAAGATATATCAATGAAATTCAACTATCTAAAGTCTAAACTTTAAACCCAACGAGGCAACGACCCTTATCGTTTATCAAGTACTTGTCGTTTATTAAGTCCTTGATGGTTAGTCAAAATTCTAAAGAAGGAGTGAATTTGCGATCTGTTTGTTATATTGTCCAAAAAAAATTTAGAGTTATTTGAAACGCTCTTTGATATATAACATTTATATCGAATTATCATGATTCATGCATAATCCAACTCCAAGAAATTGCATTTAATTTAATATAAACTAATGAACCAAAAAGATAATATAATTTATAGGTTTTTCCGATTTTTGTTATTTTCCTAATGAGAATTCTCAATTATTTCAATGGCATTATTTCATTACTAAAATATATATTACAACATGATAAGATTTTAACTATAAAGTGAAGGGTTCACAAAGCTTTGAAAGAAATCCGTTTTCTTAATATCTTCTTTTTAGTAGGGACTGCTTCTATTATCAACATCAACTAACCATTTAGCTTTTCTAAAAATTTGGCGGTGGCATATTAGTGTACACCATATATATTACTCACTGAAATTTTATTAATTATCAATAACTAGGTATTTAGCCCGCAACTTGCACGGGCCAAAAGGTTTTAAAAACAAAAAAATATAAATTTATGCTATAAATTGAAAATAATTAAAACAATTATTTAAAACATAAAAAATCAAAATAAAGTTAACTAAAAAAATAAACAAAATTCAAAATTAATTACTGAAAAAATACTCTATAATTGAATAGTCCACAAACTAATTTAATTAAGATAAATTCTAGTTTTTCGTTTCCTATTTTTTCCTCTTCATTATTTTTTTTCTTTCTTCTTCATCATTTTTTCTTATTCTTCTTTTGTCCATATTTTTTCTTGTTTTTTTTTTCATGTCTTATTCTTCATTTTTTTTCTTCTTCCCATATTTCTTATTCAAATTTATCATTCACATCTTTTTTTTTATTATTTAACACATTCGTCTTCTTCGTCTTCTTCTTCTTTTTTTTTACGGTTTATTCTTCTTTTCCTTATGATTTTTTTTTTCATATTACGTACTTTTCATACTTTTTATGACTCTATATCTTTTGAGATTGAGAAAAAAGATAAATACATATTTCAAACTTAAAACTCTCATTAAAAGTGTGTTATATTTATTGTTAGATAAGAAAACTGCATTAACTTTTGTAGCTTGCTCCTTTCGAACAATCAAAACTGTTTCGGGGTAATCAACTTTAAAAAAGAGCTTAGACATATATACCAAAAAAAAAATCTCAAAATTTCTTAATTATGCTAATAACAAAAATATCAAAAATTAAACAAATATCAAAATAAGACTTTAAGTAAAATGGAGTCTCCACAAAAGGGTTGTGACATTTTCACGATCCCAAGATTTACAGATTTTTGTATATAATTTATCATCGATTTCTTTCAAATTGTTGTGCTAGAATATTTATTTGTTACCATATTAAATAATTTTTAAAAATAAAGAAAATACAAAATTAGATGGAATTGAATCCTTCCAACATACAAACTTAAGAAAACTTAGAGTTTTAGCTACTTAAACATAAACTTTACATCTTTTGTGAAACTTAAGCAAGAGAAGCTTTACTCTGATCCAAAAACAACATTTTATAATTAACAGTTCAAACCCAACTGGAAACACATGAGATGAAAGCACTCCACACGAAAAAGATTTCAGTCGGAGAAACGTGCAAAAGATCAAAGTACAAATAGTTACCTTTTTTCTCCTGTCTTTGCCCATAAGTAAAATAAAGGAACCAGAAACCAATATAAAAAAATATCCCAACACTGGACATAAGAGACAAAACACACACAAAGCCCATTCAAATAAAGTATTGTTCGAATAAAAAATAGTAATTTTGTTCATGTATCATCATTATTATCAATAGAACTAACTTTGAGAGTAAGAATATGCCAAGTGGACTAACATTTTTGCTGGAACTAAATTCCTTGTTAGCTTGTTTTCTTTTGTTCTCGGCAGCGACAGGTGGGGTCTTGGATAAAACACAGACCACCATATTCTGCACCTTGTTCACCGAAGCTTCTTTTGAACTGTTATAAATTTATGATTCATCAGATCAAGTAATAATCCATAATCAGATGATTAAACCTGTGTTTTTGTATGTGTTCTTTTAAAGTTTCATGTACCTTCCAAAAGTTCAATCAGCTTGGCAACCTTTACAAGAACCAGGTGAACTCACGTTCCTTGCCATGAGGGATTTCGACACCGTATGTCCTATAGACCATTCTGAATCGTCACCAAGAGCCTACACCACAAAACAGAATACATGATCCTTTTGTAATAATTTTTTAAAACATATAAAACGCTCATATCTGACTCCGAGAACTGGTTCGGTTCATGACCATAATCTATGTCTTCATCACCAGCAAATGAAATCTGTTGCATCACAAGATGAAACAATAAAACGCGAGCACCTAAGAAAGAAAAAACAAAAACAATCAAAACTTAAAACAGATAAGAATCATTAAATAAAAAAAAGGCTCGACTCAGCCCAAACTAATAAAAGAGAAAGAAAAGTGCACCAAAACTGGCTAATATATAAAACATAAATATGATAGATAATAAAAAATCACAAATCTAAACCTAAAGCACAAAAAAGAAAATAAAATGTTACCATCGGTATAGCAGTAAACTAAACAATCAACGATCAAGAAAGTCCGGCTAAAACACCATCTCCTAAACAGAAAAAAAAAACATCAAACGCTATTATTAATAAGAAGAATTTATAAAATATAAATATGATTCAACTTCTAATATACATCAGAACAAAATATATTCCTGAAAGAGCTATAAAAGGGAAGACACAAAGTATCACATAATATATATAAAAGAATGTAGATCTACATGAGCTAACAGAAACAAATATAAAACAAAAATAACAACCGAATAGAAAATTAGAAAGCACAAAAACTATTTTTTTAAGAAGTCACAAGATCACTAATGTGAAACACACGAAATATATAGCTTACATGATCGCCAAACATTACAACCGTGTAAGTGAAGAAAAACTGGTTGAAAAATCTTTAAAATTTATGCAAATCGGATAATTTATATATTTTTTATATTAAAAAACAATATCTAAGTATTTATCAAGACTTACTTAAAGATTAAGGGAGTAACATAATTATATATGATGATTTTTCATTTTTTAATGTTTTTTTATAATTCATATAAATATATTTTTTTTTAAAAGAAAACAATATCTAAGTATCTATTAAGTAAGATTTACTTAAAGATTTATGGAGTAACATAATTATATATTATAATTTTCGATTTTTAATATTTTTTTATTTTTGTTTTAAAAAATCGTGATTTTAGTTGTAAAATCGTGATTTTTGATTTGATAAAATTGTAGATTTTGATCAGATTGAGATAAAATCATGTATTTTTATTTAATTTAATATTATTACAACCTATATTATAATCGTGATTTTAGTTGTAAACAATTTTTTGTTTTTGTTTTTAAATTAAAAATAATTTTAAGAAGGGATAAAAGGTAATTAACCACTTTCAGATTCAATGAGAAAGCTTAAAACGAAATTTTTACTTCGCTTATAATATATGATAAATCTTGATATACATATACACGATTGGGTAAAATTTAAATGAAATGATGGTCAGCAAACGGTCATGGCTATGGTGGCTAAATACTCAAAGTGCAAAATTGTGAGCCTATTTAGTCATATCTATCTAAGGATTGTTTTTACTCGGAATGGTATTAGAATTTACGTTTCTTATTTCTAGCTTCAAATACTCTAATCTATATTTGTTGACAAAGAAAAATACAAGTTAATATTACAAGTACTAGTTGGAAGAGACTGAGAGCGATATGATTTGGGGCAGAGAAGAAAACCTAAATTTAGGCTAAAAGCTCACACCTTTTTTGTTACTATTTCACGCGTGCTATGTTCTTCCTTTGTCTCCCTATTTCACAACCCAAGAAACCTTTACATAATAACAAATACTATAATAGATTATGAATAGTATTACAAATCAAATACATATAGTCTATATTTACACACACACATATATACTCTACCTATAAATATGCGTCCAGGATATGGAACCTTTATCTTCTGCTTCATCCTCTATAGGTATTGGAAGCTTGGATTGAGTTTCTGAAAGGATGTCTGTGAGTATCTATTGTACTCCAATCTTCTTACTTATATTGTCCTTCGTTTACAATTACACAACATATATTCATTTTTATATGTAAACACAAATATATGTATATAAAGATATGAATATTGAACAACTGAGAAATATGTGTCGGTAGATGACAGTGGAGATAAGAGTTCCAAACTTGGATTGTGAAGGATGTGCTTCTAAGCTTAAGAAGACTATACTCAAGATCAAAGGTATTAAAAATGTTTTAATCTTATTCTTCTTGGTTCATTCTAAGCATGAGTGCGAGTGCTTAATTACTTATTCTAACTTTATTCATCTTGGTTTTGATTAATTATTTTTTTTTATCTTTCTAGTTCTAGAATGTTAGTAACTAAGTAAAACTAAAGCTAATATAAATGCATGCAACTATATCTATATCTCTAGTTTTTAAACGAATGTAAATGTCTCGTTTGTAATTTAGTTGAGATAGATTGAGTTTGAGTTTTTTTAATTAGATTGGCTAACTAAATTCATCCGCCAAATATATAATTATTGTTTTGGTTCGCTTATCCGGATTGAACATCACATCTCAAGCAAATCTTAACCATATCGAAACCGATCTGAAACAAATATTAATATCTCCGGTTATTTCACGTGGTCAGATGATTTAATTAATTTCTCCGGTTTATATTGGTTTACGTGCAGGAGTGGAAGAAGTGGAAGTAGAGATGGAAACTCAAAAAGTGACGGCTCGAGGATACCGGTTAGAGGAGAAGAAGGTATTGAAAGCGGTACGACGTGCCGGTAAGGCAGCTGAACCATGGCCATACCGGTTAGGTAATAGCCACTTTGCGTCTTTCTATAAATATCCTTCTTATGTGACCAACCACTATTACTCCGATGCACACCGTACCGATCCCACCGGTGGTGTTCACACTTTCTTCCACACTCCGGCCGTTTACTCCGTCGCTGTGGCCGGCGATGAGATTGCTGCTTCAATGTTTAGCGATGATAATCCCCATGCTTGTACCATTATGTAATCCTTTTTCTTATTCTATATATTTATACAGAAATTTTTCTTTGCATCTTTCTATAACGGAGAGATCCCAAACCCCAAACCGAAACTGAGAAATTAGATATCTCCGGTACATGTGCTATTTAAGGTGTTCACAGTGGCCAACGATTAGTTTTTTTTTCCTCCAAATTTCTTTTTGATTTTAATTTTTTCTGTATTGTGTAACTAATATTGGAATGAGAAAGTGAATCTAATATACACTACTAGGTGTTGAAAATGAAACTTTATGATAATTATATAACCAAGACTCTCAAACGGATTCTGAAACTGGAATTAATAAAGACACCTAAAGAACTATAAAAAGCTATAAATAAATTTATTTATAAGTTTTGTAATTCATTTCCATATTTCACTACAATATCAAAGAGTGCACTTCTTCAAGACAACACTCTCAATCGGAATCAAATCAGACGGAAACATACAGTCAGCATTTTTCTCCGGCAACAAACTGCACGGCTCCGGCTTAACTCTGCTCGTAACTCCAGCCACATTCGTACAATTCCACTGCAATTTCTTAGGCTTAGCCGACAAATCTATAGTCACATTCGAGATACAAACACCCGTAAACGGATCTTTCTCAATCCCGTCGAGACTCGCCGACATCGTAACGTTCTCCGCCGTCATATCACGGAAATTGATATTGCTAACTTCCGGCAACGCCTTGGGATCGTATCCCTCGTCAGGGTGCGAATCGTAATTTCCATTCATCCAGAAAACGTATTTCATCGTCTTCATCGTGAACCTACGAGCGAAAATGTCTTTAACGTAAGCGCCACGTCCCGCGGCGGTTTTGACTCGGATCGCAGATTCCGTGTTGATCAGAGTCACGTCTTCGATTCTCACGTCTTTGATTCCACCGGACATCTCGCTTCCCAAGGCTACTCCTGCGCTTTTCGGAGAGATGCATGTGAGCCGTCGGATCGAGAGGTGCTTCGTCGGCATCCCGAATTGATTCCGTATTGGTCCCAACCGCTTTTCACGGCGATGCAATCGTCGCCGGAGACTATGTAACAGTCCTCTATCAGTGTGTTTGTGCAAGAATCTGACTAAACAAGAAACAGAGTCTCTTTAAAAGTTCAAACACACACACAAAAAACAGAGCATATGCCACGTCAGATGTATCGCAATGCCACGTCAGATAGTATTATTACTACGTCGAATAATAATACTGTATTAATGCCACGTCAGATAGTATTATTACTACGTCGAATAATAATACTGTATCAATGCCACATAGGATAATATATTGCCACGTAGGATTAACACCAACACAGACCTGGATTGATTCCGTCGGTGTTGGGAACAGTGACGGGAGCGAGAACGGTGACGGATTTGACGATGACGTTGTTACAGTAGACAGGATGGATATTCCACGACGGAGAGTCGATCAAAGTGATGTTCGAGATCTGAATATTTTTGGAGAACAAGAGCTCGATCAAATACGGTCTTGTCACGTTAAACTGCTTCTTTTTGAATTTGTCCCACCAGTATTGTCCCTGTCCGTTGATCGTCCCGTTGTTTCCTTATAGTCAAAATTAGAGAATCCAGATTTGGTCAGTACCGTCCGGTTTAGGGTGTGAATTGGAGAATTTTGGTGTGATTGGGTTGGAATTTACCGGTGATAACCACGTCGGTTAGGTTAGAACCGGAGATTAGACTGTTGAATCTTCCGGTTCCGGTTCCGTCTCTTCCTTTGCCGTACGATGGCAAGGGACCAATCACTGGCCATTCAGATTCATCCTGTCAAATGATTGAATTTACATTCAATCGTCTTGGATTGAACCAGACCGGAATCATACACTCGGTTTTAATGCATTATAGATGTATGAGTTTTATGTAAAATGGATTAGGTGCTTGAGAAAAATTCCAAGGTCAATGTCTCTATTTGGTACAAGATTCCTTTGGTATATGTCGATTTGGTTAAACGAGATTGGGATCCAATCCAACACATCCTAAACCAGAAAACCGAAACAAAAAACTAAACCGGAGTTTTCCAGAAACTGAAACTAATCCAAAACAATGGAACAAAACCGTATTAAAACACGTTACATTACCTGAGATGCAAGGATGGTGGCACCTTGTTGGATGAACAAAGTGAAGTGGCTGGTTAGGTTAAAACTTCCGGTGAGCCATTTTCCAGGAGGAACTACCAGTTGAGCTCCACCGTCGCTCGCCATTTGACTAAGCTTGCTTATGGCGTTTGTGAACGCTTTTGTATTTGATGTTTTCCCATCTCCAACCCCTCCAAAATCAGTTAGCAACGCGCTGTGTTTCCGGCAATTCAATGCCGATAATTCAATCCCGGAAGTTGCCACATTACGGTGGCTCCGAGATTCAATCGCCGGAAAACGGAAAGTAGCCAAAATGACTAGAATATCAAACACTAACCTGATCATCTACACAAGATGGAAACACGGAAGGAGATGATTAAAATAGAAGAATATCATCAAATTAATATTTCCATAAGATATCACATGTTACTGGTTTAGAATCTTTAGATGATTTTGATGTTATGTAGTTTTGAATTTTGATATAGTGTATGTATAAGTGATGCAACGTTTCAATTTGTCACAAAATAGCGACAATACATAATACATATCAACGGATATATAACAAAAAAATAAATATTTGACAGATCAATACAACTGTGTTTTAAGAAGAAAAGATAAACTCTTCTTTACCTTTGAGATATTTTAAGAACAGAAAAATAAACTGAGAAATGTCTTCCTTCTGGTTTGATTGTTTGTGGAAAAAAACAGGTCAGAGTAATTTATATAGGTTTTGTAGATTTTGTTTTCAGAAGACAGAAGAAGATAAAAATTATGCGAATTAAGGATTTGAGTAATTTAGTAAAATGACAAGTTTCCTTCTAAACTAGCCAAAAACTTTAATCCAAAGACATAATAACCGATGCCACTATACATCTTTACATATAATCCATTTGATTGGTAACCATCTGATTTTGTTTCCATAATACGATTCTGATGTCAAACTCATCACTGTTGACCTGATTCTTACCAACTTTATATCTAGACTACTAGATTTGTAAAGATATGTAATTAATGCGTACAGATTTTTTTACCGTTGAGAACATTGGGAGAATATTTAAACGATGTACACTTAATTACATTTACTATTGACTATTCAGAACTATCCTAATTAAGTTTTTTTGTAGAAACAATTTCGAATTTTACTTAATATGTACCTTAACAAAATTTAGAAGCTTGACAAAATAACTAATTTTGGAATTAATAATTAATAATTTTGTTTTATTTTTAGTTATTTTTGTTTTAGCGAGAGACTCAAAACTTGGGAATATGATGAATCTGAACAAAAGGAACGCAGATGAACGTCTGGCATTCAATTTGATGTGGCTAATAGACTATTTTTATTCGTTTTGATTGAAACGTTAATAATCATATCGGATCATAAAACTTGTTTTTCATTTTTAGAATACTAAAATTATATCAATAAATGTTGCATATGTAATATTTACTAAATACCTTGCATGCATGTCTTGTAGATCCCTAATCTAGAAAACACTCTCAATAGGAATCTTAATATCTTATGAATCGGAAAAGTGCTCTCAAACCGACTTGTCTTATAATTATCCGGTAACGAACTACATGGCTGTGGCTTAACCGCTTAGAAAATGTAACGGAGTGAGTCAAATGCTAAAAAGGAATATGGTTGAATTCTTAAATATCATCTTTACTTGGGTGCGTTTTAAGAGTTTGTGTAAGCAAATATATAACGATCGTGCACAACAATAAACTGGAAATGACAACATCTGTTTCTTTTTCTGTCACGACTAATTACATATTAAAGAAGAAATAAATAAAAAAAGTCATTCTATGCCAACGAGAGACAGGACATTGCTTAATCCAGCTCAGATTTCGTATCTACAGTTATCTCTGTTGTTAAATAACCGAATCCCTAGCTAATTCATTCTGAATAATAATAAGAATTAAGAGTTCGAAGATTATTCTTCTGTCTTAATATTTTTGTAGCTACCACAAGACGATCGACATGACTCAAGAAGAGCAGAAGAAGGTAACGGATGCCAATACCACCACCTTGGACTTGGACCCTTCACCGCCGTCCACGGAGGAAAAATCCGACGATTCCAAAGCTCTTGTTCTCGTCGTCGCAGGTAACAAAATCATTTTATATCTCAAAGAACAATATAATTGCTTTTAAAAAATTTTAAAATATTTTAGATCTCAACTCTTCTAATTATTTTATAACTGAGTATTACTTTTATTTCATTCTCATTTCTTTTTTATTGATCAGGATTAGAAAGCTACATAGTTTAGATCACTTTTTTTTTGGGTTAATGTTGTTGTTCTAATTATTTAGTTTTTGTAATTATTACCTCAAAACAACTTTCCACAAAATATTATTATCTTCCTCAGGGACGAAGAAATTTTAATCTTTGCTTTATTTTGTTTTATTTTGTTTGTTTTGCCGTTGTAGAAGAACTTGAGGAAGAGAAGAAAGAAGGTTCAGTTTACCGAGGTAATTAAGGAATTAGATCATGATTAATACATTCAGGTTCAGGATATAAAATAGTTGGCGAATTTACTTTATATAGTTTGAGTAATTTACCGCATTATTATTGTTAATTTTCTCTTTGCATTTTCTGATTGTTTTGGTGTGTGTATGTGTATGTAAAATAAATGGTGTGAAGATGCTGTTTTGACTAGACTCGAGACAGAAAAAAGGATTTCTCTCATCAAAGCTTGGGAAGAAGCTGAGAAATCCAAAGTGGAGAACAAGTGAGTGCTTAAAAATGAAGTTTAAAGCCATTAACAAATCTATGAAATTTTGTTTGTTTATACACTAACTTGCTAATTTTATGACGCAGAGCTCAGAAGAAGCTCTCTTCAGTTGGAGCTTGGGAAAACAGCAAAAAAGCATCTGTGGAAGCTGAGCTAAAAAAGATTGAGGTAAACATATATGGACTATTCATTATGCTTTCAAGTTTGTTCATTTTACATTTACGTAAAATAAGTTGTAACTTTTTAGATTTCTTGCTTCTAAGTTCTAATGGAACCCCTGGAAATCCGAATGATAACAGGAGCAACTAATCAAGAAAAAAGCTGAGTACACAGAGCAAATGAAGAACAAAATAGCACAAATCCACAAAGAAGCAGAAGAGAAGAGAGCGATGACCGAAGCTAAACGCGGGGAAGATGTTCTCAAGGCCGAGGAGATGGCTGCAAAGTACCGCGCCACAGGAACTGCACCAACAAAGCTATTTGGATGCTTCTGATTTATAAGGAGAAATGAGTTTTGATGTTGCTTCAATTGTTTTCATTTGTGGTTTAGGTGGTTAGTGTTGGTTTAATTTGGCAACATTTAGTAAGTTACATGGCCATAATGTCACGTCTTGTTTATTGGTGTTATGTATTTCAAATTTTGCTCATTTCATCATTTGTGTAATAGTCTTTCCCTTGAAAGACTTTTTCTCCAAACCAAATCTCGGTTGAGTTTTGTGCTAAAGGTTAATTTTAAAATTTTCGTGTCTTTTCGTCAAGGCCCTTGGGCTGAGATTTTTAAAATTCAAAAGGGGTCTTTTCGTCCAGGCCCTTGGGCTTTTGCATATCTTTTTCAAAATTTGAATCATTCTACTAACACGAAGAATAACCGTTTGATTTAGGCCTAGTTTGATTTGAAGAGGAGCTATGCTTACGGTTTTGCATATTTATCACTCGATTCAAAGGGAGTTGTCGACTGAGAGAGGAAATCAAGTGTCGGCGTTTTCAACGGTAAAGAATTTTGGTTTATATGTGTCTCCAAAGTTTCGGAGACGAATTGGTTCGTCGAATGTTGCAGAAGAAGAGATTATCAGAATTTCTACTGGTTTTTATTCCGAATCTTCAAGACGGAGAAGCCAGCTAACTCTGTAATGGCGGTTTGGGTTCACGAAATTGACAGCGGAAAAGCGTTGATGCAGGTCGAATTTCATCTTCAAGGGGAATTTTTCTGTGCATCGGAATTTTGAGACTCAATCGGAATCAATTCAGAGATAATTGGAGACGGAATTTTATCGGCTGATCTTTGAGTGTTGCGAGTCTTTGTAGAATCTCTTCTCCGTCGCCGTTTCTTCACCAATTCCTTATGTTTAGTCAATTCGTGATGTCAATCTCCGATTCACGTCATTTCATCTACATACATACATTCATACATACATACATGCATACATGCATACATACATACCATATACATACATTCATACATACATACATACATATATGCTTACATACTTGCATAATTGCTTGCTTGTTTGGTTGCTTCCTTATTTTCATTTTTGATTCATAGGTTGCTAGCTCCCTTATTACTTGATTTCCTGTTTACTTCTTTACTCCTTCCTTGGTTCTTGCTTGTTTATTTCCTCGGTTTCATCTGTGGTTGCACGCTTTCTAATTTCTTCCTTGGTTGACTTTTGTGGTACATTACTTGCTTCATTGACTCGTTGTTTACAATCTTGCTTGCTTCCTTATTTTCTTTGTTTTCTACATCTTTGCTTATTTTGTAACTTGCTTCATTGACTCGTTGTTTACAATCTTGCTTGCTTCCTTATTTTTCTTTGATTTCCTGCACCTCTGCTTATTTTGTTACTAGCTACATTGGCTCGTTGTTCAATTTTTTGCTTGCTTCCTCATTTTTCTTTTGATTTCCTCGCTTACTTAACACCCTTACCTATGAATTTGTTTAATTTCTTAACTTCCTTACTCATAAGTATAGCTTAATTTCTTTAGATAGTTCTCGGTTGAAAATAGTACAGACTCCTAAACTTCTATCAAGGAAAACTGATGAAGGAATGAGCTATAAGTATGGTTTCTCTGCTCTGTTATATAATGAATGAGCTAATCAGAGAATGAAGAAACGATATTAGGGAATCTTTCTTCCTTGGATTAGGGAGCAGATTTATTTTCCTTTATCAATGATAATTTAGGTATGAAGATTTCTTTGGCGGTAAAAAGAGTGAGACACAAATGACGTTGAAAGATGTTATTGAAGATGAGGATGCTGTAAATGGAAAACAAGGACTATATCTGCTTTACTTAGTCTTAAGCATTGTGATATGTGAAACTGTTCATGAGATCTAACTAATTCCTCTTCCTTTAGGGCATTGAAAAACTCTCTACACATGAGAAAGAACTACTAAAGCTTCAATCCAAGATTGAACAGATGGAGAGAGCTAACTTAGATCCAAAACACTTGGCAATGCAGGGAGAGGTACCCAGACATGTTCTCCCCCACAATTAAACTGTTAAATATTAATGTTGCTTTCTGTAGCCCAGAATGTTCCACTGTGCAGAATTTGTTAACTCAATGAAATTGTTTTGGCCTCAGAGCAGGTGTATCCCAGAATGTTCACCTGTGCCTAGCCTAAGAATGACGAGTCCTGGTCCTAGCTCCAGAATACAGAGTGGTGCCGTTACGCCCCTTCATCCTCGAGCTGGGGGATCAACCACTGCTTCTCCTACTAGACGGCAGTTTTGGACATGTGTATCTTGGCTTTAACAGGTTCGTAGTTCTTGTTGGAAAGATGCTATCGTTGTCTCACATTTTACATGTAGGCTAGGGGAAGAACGCTTCGTTAAAATCAATTTCATTTTGGTAAAAATTATTGTTTCATATGATGGTTAAGTTTATTGGAAAGAAAACTCAGTTTTCCTGGTTACGATAAATTGATATTTGGTCTTCACAAATGATTGAATAGAAGAGCTTGCATGTTATATTTCTATGCCACTCCTGTCTTGATCAGCTATGTTTTCTTCCTCAGTGAAAGTGATGAGATGTGTGCCATGAAAGAGGTAACTCTATGCTCAGATGATCCGAAGTCAAGGGAGAGTGCGCAACAATTGGGCCAGATGAGTTGCACATCATCATCTGTTTGGAACAACAAAAAGCTTCCCTTTCTAGTGTATTTTAGTCAGTGAATATTCTAACTTTTCAATAATTGACTCTCACAGGAGGTTGCAGTTCTAAGCCGTTTACGACACCCTAATATAGTGCAGTATTATGCTCTGAAACCGTAAGTCCTACAGATATTTTGTGATACTTTTGTTCTCTGATATTGGGAACTCACTGATGATACTATCAACTGTTTCATCTGAACTACACTGCTCTTCCTTTCCTGCCCCCATACAGGTAGATGACAAGCTGTATATATATCTGGAGTATGTCTCTGGTGGTTCGATCTATAAGCTTCTTCAAGAGTATGGAGAATTTGGTGAGAATGCAATCCGTAATTACACACAACTAATTTATCAGGGCTCGCTTATTTGCACGCCAAAAACACTGTTCATAGGTGAACCACTTAACTCTATCCACTCTCTTGATTTCTTGGTTTCCTTCATCCTTCCTTAATTAGGGAATTAAGTGAATATGGAATGTAACTTTGTTCATGGACATTAAAGAAGCAAATAAGCGAGTGGATGGAGTTAAGGAAGATGTTCTCTGCAATCTTGTTTTGCTTTCGTCTCATTTGAAAATTCTGCTGAAACACACTAAACACAGCTGTCACATGTCGCATAATCTAATACAAATTCATGAACAAAATGCAGATTACTGCTCAATCTGGTCCTTTTACATTCAAGGGAAGCCCTTATTGGATGGCACCTGAGGTCAGTATGCTGTTACGAACGCCGGTTTCATGTTGAGAGGCATTCATGGATTTCAGGTGATAAATAATTCAAATGGTCGTAACCTTGCAATCGACATATGGAGTCTCGGCTGTACTGTTTTAGAAATGGCTACGACGAAACCTCCATGGAGCCAGTATGAAGGAGGGGTTAGTAAATCAAAAGTACTTAAACAACAAACATGAGATTTAATGGTGTGAATCCTCCCATCCTCATGCATTCGAGTTCGTTATAGGTTCCTTCTTTGTTCAAGATTGGAAACAGCAAGGCACTTCCGGATATCCCTGATCATTTATCTGAAGAGGGCAAGGATTTTGTGAGAACATGCCTACAAAGAAACCCCGCAAATCGTCCAACAGCTGCTCAGATTTTAGATCACCCTTTTGTAAGAAACGCAATGCCGATGGAAAGGCCTATTGTGAGTGCCGAGCCTGCAGAAACTATGAATGTACCTTCAAGCACCATGAGATCACTGGTATTAAAGCTTGTGTTTCCCCAATGCTAAATTTTGTATGCTTCTGATTGCCTGACAAATCTATCTATTTCAGGACATTGGAGTCGCAAGGAGTCTTTCGTGCATAGACTCGGAAGATGCAACCAGTTACCAGCAGAAAGGGTTAAAACCTGGCTCGGGATTCAGGTATCAGTTAGGCCAAAACAGTTTCATTGAGATCAAAATGTTGATTGAGAGCAGAATCATTGAGGTAACAAATTTTGGATGTATTTTGTAACAAAACTTTCCTATGTTTCTTCCTCTTGGTTTTGCATAACTGATCTTGTGTGTCTTCTTAGCCTCGTTTTGATGATGTTCAACTAGCACCTAGTCTGCCTACTAATTCAAAAAGTTAAGTCACGGAATTGGTTAGTTTTACCGAAGACCTATTACCCCTATCCTATTCTTTTGCTCTATACTCGGTTTGTTTTACTTTTGGAAATATGCAGGACGATAGTAAAAACAAGAAAGGTCTATGATCATTCTGCTCCTGTTACTTCTTCAGATGATTGTAGAGACAACTTCTAGAGTATCGTCTTGTTTTTGAATCAAATCTTTCTGCCAGGTATGTGTCTTCCGTAATTTTATTATTCTTACTTTTTAGTCGTTTGATTCTGCTCTTAAAGTTTGAAGTCATTCTCCTTTTTTTCTTCTTCTGCAGTCGTAAATTGTAAGCTTTTGTTCACCCTCTCATTGTAAGAACATCAACGATTTTGCAGGTAGGTTGGTTTCAATAATTTTGAATTATTTAGTAAATTGTACACTTTTGTGATGTTCTCAAATCAGGAGCAAAACTTCTAATATTCTCCTCAGAATTCGAAGCAACTGCAATACTCATTAGTGCTCTCTCCTCAACCTCAGTGATGAAAATGTATGTCCTTTTTATGACCTGCTACTCTCTGTGTACATTCCATCTTTCGTTCTGTTTTTGCTAGAATCTTTCTCCATTTTTGTTTGTTATTATCAGAATCTGACATGGGTGTTGCAGCGTAAAGGCAAACGTAGGTGCACTTACTTACCAATTTCTAAGTGCTTGACTTCCTAAACTCAAGAGGTGCATCAAATGATACTACTAGAGTTATAGCTCCAATAGCTAGATCAGAATACAAGGTCTTTCCTCAACATTTATTTTCTGTGTTTGTGACTTGCCGTTTAGAGGCTTTAGTGAAGTTAAAAGACTTTGGGTAATTCGAACGATCTTTCAGGTCTATGATTATTTTAGTGGAGACTGCTGCTTTCACTCAAAGACGAGAGAGCGTTAACAGATTCTCCGACAAGTGCAAAGATTTCAAAGTCGCGAAAGCTGAGATTCTCAATATCATCAATATATTGTCGAATTGATGCAAGGTTTGTGGTTTTATTTGCTGTTGTATATGTCATGAACAGATCTACCATTGCGTTAAACTCCTCTTACATTCTGTTTAACCCGTGTTGATTGCGACTTTTGTAGGTCATAGAGAAGCCCGATGATCGGGAAATCAGCTCAGATGGAATACTAGAGATCGTGCGGGATTTGCTACATTTTAAAGTCATGAAGAAAAGGACTTAAGCAGAGAACGATGCATGCATGCATACATACATACATACATACATATATGCATACATACATACATACATATATGCATACATACATACATACATACATACATACATACATATATGCATACATATATACATAGATTATACATAATACATACATACATGCATGCATACATATATGCTTACATACTTGCATAATTGCTTGCTTGTTTGGTTGCTTCCTTATTTTCTTTTTTGATTCATTGGTTGCTAGCTCCCTTAATTACTTGCTTTCTTGATTGCCTGTCTACTTCTTTGCTCTTTCCTTGGTTCTTGCTTGCTTCTTTCCTCGGTTTCTTGTGTGGTTACATGCTTTCGTATTTCTTCCTTGAGTCCTTGCTTGGTTGACTTGTGTAGTACATTACTTGCTTCATTTGACTTGTTGTTTACTTTCTTTCTTCCTTATTTTTCTTTGATTCCTGCTTACTTGATTTCTACATCTTTGCTTATTTTGTAACTTTGCTTCATTGACTGGTTGTTTACAATCTTGCTTGCTTCTTTATTTTTCTTTGATTTCCTGCATCTTTGCTTATTTTGTTACTTGCTTCGTTGGCTCGTTTGTTGTTCATTCTCTTTTTAGCTTCCTCATTTTTTCTTTGATTTCCTCGCTTACTTAACTCCCTTACATGCTTTAAATGCTTGCTTCTTTGTTTCTATGTTTAGTGCATTACTTCCTTCTTTGCTTTTTGGTTCCTCTGTGTAGTGCATTGTTTGCCTCTGCCTCTTTGATTTCTCTGATTTAGTTCATTGCTTCTTTGCTACTTTGATTTCTCTGTTTAGTGCATTGCTTGCTTCTTTGCTTTTTGGTTCCTCTGTGTAGTGCATTGTTTGCCTCTGATTCTTTGATTTCTCTGATTTAGTTCATTTATTCTTTGCTAACTTGTTTCTCTGCTTATTTGCTTTTTGGTTCCTATGTTTAGTACATTGTTTGCCTCTGCTTCTTTGATTTCTCTGTTTAGGTTCATTGATTTCTTTGGTTAACTTGTTTCTCTGCTCTCTTGCTTCTTTGCTACTTGATTTTGTTATTGTACTCAGGTCTAGCATGATTTTTCAAGTTATCATTGTTCTATACATTTAATTTAAGTTTTTACATTAATTTGATGTCATGTACTTACGATTAGCATTATACTGTATCTACTAATTTCTACCTTTATTTTGTTACGTTAGAATTATCTAAAAGTATAACCAGATGAGAGATGAGAGATTCTTGTGGGATAAATTTGTAACATGTTTTATGTATCGACATGATGAAATTATGTACCAAAAACATTGTTTATTTATATAATAAATAAGATTTTAATTAAATACCACGAAAATAACTAAAAAAAGAAAGTACCCTCTCTCAAAAACTTTTTAACGTCTTCCCGTATGCTTATGCAGATCATGACTTGCCAAAAAAATTTAAAACTCGAATTTTTCGTACTACAATTATAAATATAATATTTAATTTTTAGAGAAAAATACTGTTGATAATTTGATATACATGCAAAAATACATTTTTTGGACTACAAGAGATATTTGTAACATTTTGTAGTCAGTCTATTGTCTTATCACAGAAATTGTAAACATTTTAATATTTCAGTTTAAACAATAGTTTCCTACTATGTATGATTTTAGTTCAGGAAATCAAATGTATGGTAGACAATTGTATATTTACGACAAATATAGTTTACATTTTACAAAAAATTATGTCATGTCTCACTAGTCACTAGTCATCAGGATGATTGATTGCACCATCAAAATTTTGCATACTAGTCGTTTTGGTAATATCCAAATTTCTGGTGATATCGATGGAATCTGTTACATTAAATAAAAAACAAGCTCATTAGTAGGGAAGTATTCGAAAATTCGGCCTTTATTATTTTTGGAATGGAAAAACTCAAACAAAAAAGCCTTTAGAAAAAACATAAGAAACCTTACTGCATAGGCTGCCGATGGCGGAATCCAACCTTATGTCCCGAAAGGAAGATGGCTCACTACTCACCGGAAGTTTCTAACCCCACCAGCCATTTAATGTCGCATATTTTCACGATGGTGTAACTTATCCATGTTTTCTAGTTAGCTTTTTTTTTGTTTTTTTTAATTACACCTTGCTGTCAAAAAAATAATAGTAAATAAACGTCTATATATATATATATATTTTTTTTTTAATAATTATCTTTATTCACCTTTTACCTCTTCCCCACAGAGGCATGTTTTGAAAATTACATTCAAATAAGCGCAGGTGAAAAGAAAAACTGGTAAAACAATATAAATAAATAACATATATTAGTGGCAAGATCAGTGAAACGCAAGTGCAGCAGAACCTTTGACGACACCTAAGAACGTCTATATAGAATTATACTAAGATTGTAAAATGCTTTTTCTGATCTATTATACCAAGATTGTCGACTTTTTTTACACGCCTAGTTTTGACCTATATAGCTATCCATGCTCTTAAGAAAACAAACGGTATATAAACTAACTTAATAACTTTATGACGAAGAGTTCAAAAGAAGTTTTCTTCAGTTGGAGCTTGGGAACACAGCAAGAAAGCATCTGTGGAAGCTGAGCTAAAAAAGATCGAGGTATATATATATGGACTATTCATTATGCTTTCAAGTTTGTTCTTTTACGTTTTATAAAATATGTTGCAACTTTTTATGATTTCTTGCTTCTAATGGAACCCCTGAAAATCCAAATGATAACAGGAGAAACTAATCAAGAAGAAAGCCGAGTACGCAGAGCAAATGAAGAACAAAATAGCTCAAATCCACAAAGAAGCAGAAGGGAAGAGGGCAACGACCGAAGCTAAACGCGGGGAAGATGTTCTCAAGGCCGAGGAGATGGCTGCAAAGTACCGCGCCACAGGAACTGCCCCAACAAAGCTATTTGGATGCTTTTGATTTATAAGGAGAAATGAGTTTTGATGTTGCTTCAATTGTTTTCATTTGTGGTTTTAGGTGGTAAGTGTTGGTTTAATTTGGCAACATTTAGTAAGTTACATGGTCATAATGTCACGTCTTGTTATGTTTTTTTTTTTGGGTTCATTTCATCATTTGTGTATTGTATAGCTTTTCCTTGAAAGGCTTTTTCTACGTTCTCCATGTAATAAAACTTACTTCGTTTTTGTCCTTTTCTTTGTTTCTTTCTCTTAATTGTCATAGACTCATCACTCATCCAGTGGACGAACTTGGGTAAAGTAATTTTACGAGAAATAAAAACATTTAACTCGAACAGAACTAAATTTTGTTTTAGTTGATAAAATTTGATTATATTATTCCGAAACCAAGAAATAAACTTTTCAACATATCAGGCCCATATAAACTTTTCAACATTTCAGGCCCAAATAACCGAGCCCAACGTTTTTCAAGGGTTGTCGCAGGGAAATTCTTATTATATAATCAGGTCTTGCGAATTAGGGTTTTTCTTTCTCGAAGCTTAAGCCGTCGCTGCCGCTCTATCGTCTCCTACATCTTCACTTCAAGCTCTAACGTGAGAGCAAAACAGCAGCCATGGCAGAACAGGTGATTTGATCGTTTTTCACTCTACATTATTCTCCTTTCGATCCATCGATTCGTATCCACTTAGTGATTCCCATTTTCTTTCTTTTGTGTGTCGCCGATTTTCAGACTGAGAAGGCATTTCTAAAGCAACCCAAGGTCTTCCTTAGGTAATTCTCCGATTCGATTCCTCTCTGTTTCACTGTGATTTTAATTTGAAGTTCCAAGTTATTTACATGGTTCCTTGTATCTGTTTATCAGCTCGAAGAAATCCGGAAAGGGAAAGAGACCTGGAAAGGGTGGAAACCGATTCTGGAAGAACATTGGTTTGGGATTTAAGACTCCTCGCGATGCCATTGAAGGTTCGTTTGCTGTTTTTTAATTCCATTTCGCGTTACTAGTTTCTCTATGTGGAACTCTGGATTATGGTTTCATATAGTTGATTGATGATCCATGGTCTTGAAAGTCTTAAGCTTTGATTGATTTAGTGAGCAACCAAACCAAAGTATTCATAGGAATCTCTAGTGTCTTGACTCTCCATCCTGATTGGATCTGTGTTACTGTTTGGTTTCCATTGTTTCGATCAGTAAATCCTCTTAGAAACCTGTATAACCACCGTATATTCTTCTTAGGTTAGATTCTCAAGCGTTTGTGTTTTTGTTTCTATGGCACAGGAACTTACATTGACCAGAAATGTCCCTTCACTGGAATTGTTTCAATCAGAGGTCGTATCTTAGCTGGTACTTGCCACAGTGCCAAAATGCAGAGGACCATTATCGTGCGAAGGAACTACCTCCACTTTGTGAAGAAGTATCAGAGGTAATACATACTATACGTTATTACTTTCTCTCAATATGACTTTTACATTGATGCTTTATAAATTATTCATCTTTTTCTTCTCAGGTATGAGAAGAGGCATTCGAACATCCCAGCTCATGTCTCACCGTGCTTCCGTGTTAAGGAAGGTGACCATGTCATCATCGGCCAATGCAGGTTATGATTCGATTCAGATCAACTTACAATGTCTCTAATGATTCTGAGTTTTTTGCGCCGTTGATTTAATCGTCTTTTCTTTTTCATTTTTGGTGATCTCAGGCCTTTGTCGAAGACTGTGAGGTTCAATGTGTTGAAGGTGATTCCAGCTGGTGCTTCTGCCTTTGGAAAGAAGGCTTTCACTGGAATGTAAGGAGGGGTTTTTTGATGTTAGTTTATGTTTCTGGATAGAGCTGAATTCTGTTATTTATGGAGATTTTTCTATTTTAATGTTTTAATGCACCGATTTTGTTTTACTTTTTGCTGAAACTTTTCATCGCAATTTGAGAAATCGTTATGTATTAGCCTGAGTTTCGTTACTATACATGTTGGTCCATCCCAACACAGGTCTGATCTGGGTTGTTAATTTTCTCAGTAGAAAATTATTGAACTTAATAGAGTACCTCAAATACACAAATCAGAAAGTAATAAAAGTATAAAATGGTTCTTCAACTATTAAATGCCGATTAAATGAAGCCTAATTAAAGAAATATCTGTACTCTTTTTATTCTCTTTATATTCATTGAACTTAAACTGTTACTGCCTGAACCTCTCCCTTCACAATTTACATTGACCGTTGTTCATTGGTGAGACCGTCAAACAAAAAATTGTTTGAAAAGGAACTACAGAACTCAGTCTCAAATATCTCATTCTCCAACAAAAAATCTGAATTTGGTATGAAATCATCCAAAGCATTGTTGTTTTCATAAAAACGCAGGCCTTTCTCTTCCGGTACAATAAGGTCTTGAACATAACTACATTTTTGAGGTGACTGATCCAGAACCAAACTGTGATCTAACCATTCAGAGAACACGAGACTTGGGGAAAAGCTTGGTACTCGAGCGTTTAATGATTCTCCGACATTGATTAATGAAGATGATCTTCCGGTTGTACTTTCCATGGCCTTAAGTGAGTTTGTGATTGAATGTGTTTGAGGTCTTGTGGTTTCATGTTGTGTCGGAGTTACACTCTTCTTTAGATAAGAATGCCAATAGTTTTTGATCTCATTATCGGTTCTTCCAGGTAAATATTTCGAAATCTGAGACCATCTTGTAAAAACAACATATACAATTTTAATAGGAAAGATCATGAAAGTAGTCTAAATATTATATCAAAAGTAAGAACATAGTCCATAACTTTTTAAACTAACAAATAAACTAAATTGAACCATGCACTCCAACTTCTAACCCTAACCTAAACACAAAAATTGAACTCTTAAATTCTATGAATCCGAAATCCTAACACTTCTATTATATTAAAACTAAAACACTTTTAATGTTTGTTTCCAAACACTCCTAAATTTTTTTCAAAAAATATTTATATATATATATATATATAAATTTAATTCCGAAAATTAGATATTAATTTAGATAAACTAAAATTTTCCTTAAATATAGGTTATATCTTTAGTCTATAGATATTAATTTAAATAGACTTCTTTTAATATATGTTAGATTTAATTTAACATTTGAAATTTAAATAAAATTTTTAGAATAACACATATGATTAACAAATATCTTATTATATTTTTTTAATCATAGTCTATCAGATTAAAATTTTACATATTGAAGATAGATAAATATTAATATTATATATTAATTTGATGAGACAAGTTAAATTTTTTTATAATTATGGTTTTATGCGGGTTAGGTTATTAAAGCATGCAAGATATTAGGAGAAAATTATTTCAAATTAATAAATAATTATATTATAAAGTAATATAAACGGGCGGGTTAGAATTATGGTTTCATAATCATGATCTTTTTCGGGTTAATAAAATAAAAATATTTTTTATAATAACAGTCACTTTTTGATTAACAAAATAACCGGGTTAAAATTATGTTTTTATGATCATGGTGATCATAATAATACTGAAAAAAAATTATATCTAACCACAAATTTTTTTTATATCACTTATTAAAAAATTGTATTTATAAAGAAAACATAAATTATATTACAAATTTTGATTAAAACAAAATTCTCGTGCGGATGCACGGGGTAAAATCTAGTCAACTCTTAATGGTCAAAGCAACAACAAAATGAGTTGTTTCTTAATTTTGAAAGATTCAACTCATTAAAATTAAAATGACCTACTTGTTACCCAAGATTGAATGGAGTGAGAGAAGTGTAGTTTCCTCTTCTTTAGTGAATAAACCCTTCTTAAGTCCAGGTCTTAAATAATTAACCCACCTTAATCTACAACTTTTTCCGTTCCGCTGCAATCCTGTAATATATAAAACCAATAAATGATTTTCTTTAGTTTATCTAAGTCCTTATAAAATTCCAAACTGATTTTCAGAAAGTAATACATTTGAGCATATCTCTCTATACGCACAAACGTCTAGTTGAATTATTTCTATAAGTGAAGACAATATCGAAACAACCTATGTTTTATTCACTGATGTAATAAAATCATCTAACTCAGAAGATAATGGTAACTATAAAATGAATTACATATGTTGCTTTCCAAAAAGAAAAGTATAATATTGGGATATTAAATTAAAAAGTTACCAGCTTGAATAGGAATGGTACTCCAGCATCCATGGCCATATTTGAGCACATGACTCCTAAGCTTCTCATCTTCTTCCGGTGACCATAATCCTTTTCTTTGCTTCCCCTTGAATTTCAATTTTGGGTTTGACTTTTCTGACTTAAACACCATTTTTATTTTTCGTTGATTTACTTAAAATGAATATATATATATATATATATATATATATGTGTCTGTATATACGTATGTGATACTGAAAGAAAGTATATAAAAAATATATGTAGATTGGAGATGACAATCTTTGACACAGATACGTTCGGAAGGGGGAAATATATAGGCAGTTTTGAAAGGACGTTTGATTTATTTTATTTTTAATACAATAAAATACGATTAACAGCCAAAAAAGAGTAATCTAATTCATAATTATGTAGAACTATTCATATGAAAGAGGGCTTGTTCAACACGAAAAGAAATATTTTGTAGATGATATCTCGCATTTGAAACACTGCACCAAATCTTTAACAATTTAGGTGGAGCCTTACCCTTTGAATATCAGTGTCATAATTTCAATACGACAATGCATTTCACTAGTAAAACAATACTCTTTCTTAATAAAAACTATTGTTTCTGGAAAATGAGACATTTATAAATTTGTCTTTGTTTTGCTTGCCTTTTCAAATTATGTCAGGGATAAGTTAATAAAAGTGCCACAATAATATAGCGGTGGCTGGTGAGGTTATTTAATTGCTAATTAACCTACTCTTCTGTGAAAACAAAAATAATGCCTATTTGACAATACACTTGATTAACCTCTGAATTTTCTTTCTTTTTCCTCAAATTATTATTGGGATTGTTAAGGGTGTTATTCATGAAACTATATGACCGGTCTGATTTTAATGCTGCGATAGCATCCGATATGGTACTTTTAGTATCAATCGGTAGATGATTGATTAGCGACTAAACAATTAGTCGGTAACTAGTTGGCGACAATAGACTAAATATACAACAAGATCGATATCATATATATATGACAGGTCCATGAGAGTTTAATTCTTTTTTTCTTTTTTTCTTGAAAAGGAATCTTACTCAGTTTTAGATTCTTACAGATAATTTAGCTAGTTTTAATAATAAAATGGGTTTTAATTTTGGAACAACGTAGTAAAAAATCTTGATTGATTATTTGATGCGTACTACTAATCTTTTAGAGACCTAGAGTAGCCGATTATCTGCTAAATGGTATGGTTACTGAGTTAATCAATGGATTAGCATAGGCTGCTATCGAATCTAGCTCGAGGAACGATTCACCGAACGAAATAAACGATAGCTAATCGAAATGATTGATTATTAGATGGAATGATTACATATTACATTAGTTAACTGGTTTACCGACTGTTTCAACTAATTTTATCAAACCAATTTGTTTTCTTTTTATGACTAAAAGGTTTTGGACCAAAATCCATATATTTTCTCACCCCAAAACTAAAGTTTCTTATACGGTTCCTTTCAAAGTGTCATTCTTGTAAAATTAAAGCTATGTCATTTATACTACTAGGAGAGAACCTACGCGTATGCGCGGATTTTGTTTTAATTTATATCTAAATAGTACAAAATCTGTATTGAATTTTATGTTTATTATCAATATTTTTGTGTTTAAAATATTTATATTTTCTTCGATTTTTTTTTGATGATACATTATTTGTAATCTTTTCTACACGTTTGTGCCAAATAGTCTAATTTTTCTCCCAAAATAATAAGAGACTAAAAATCTACTATTTTAATTTTTGTATGAAAACGTAATAATTCACTTAAAAATATATGTTGAATATCAGAGAGAAATATTTATTTGTTATTCGATCTTCATATTCTTTTTATTCTTGTAAAACTTACTAATATAATACTTGTTAACTTTTTCAATTTATCATTTTGAATTTTTTAGTTATATATATTTTATTGATTCCATTTTTTATTTTTTTTAAAAAATCATGTATGACATTTTTATGTGCACATTTTTCTTTATACTATTATTTTTTAATAATTTTTATCTCTTTAATCGTTTATAAATATTTTTTTATATTTTATAATTTATTAGTTGAAGTTTTATATAAGAATATTTAAAACTCTTAATTTATTCAGTCTCAATTTTTTTTCATTTGCATTAAAATTTAGTATATTTTTGGGTTGAAAATGAAATTTAAATCATTTGAATGAAGAAAATAGAATAGTGCATTAAAAAAATTTTGTATTATATAATATTTATAAGTTTTTCTATATTTAAATTAAATTTGAATTGCATTCTAATGTATATATATATATATTAATATATATTTATGTTTTTAATGTGTTTTGCTTTAAATGTAATTAATTATTTAATTTATCAATTTTTGGATGTGTCACATGTCGCTCTCTCCATTGCTGATGTGTCAGTCAGCTGGAGAAAGTTGATTGTCTTTTATATATAATTTTTATAAGTTTTTCTATATTTAAATTAAATTTGAATTGCATTCTAATGTATATATATATATATATATATTAATATTTATTTATGTTTTTAATGTGTTTTGCTTTAAATGTAATTAATTATTTAATTTATCAATTTTTGGATGTACCACATGTCGCTCTCTCTATTGTTGATGTGTTAGTCAGCTGGAGAAAGTTGATTGTCTTTTATATATAAGATTCCAGTTAAAGTTGATTGTCTTTTATATATAAGATTCCAGTTAAACTAACAACAATGATCAGTGTCTATCAATTTGTTGAAAATGCATCACATCTCAGTAATCCACCATAATCATGTCTTAAATAAATTTCAAAATTAAAGAATTACCATGTGAATTATTCTTATTTGTTATGAATAGAGAAATATTCTAATTCAACTGTTCAAGTTATTTATTTTCTAAGCATAGAGTTCAAGAAGACTTTTGCAATCTTTAACAAACACATACTTGCCTTCCTCAAGTAAAACTCCTGTAAAATATGAAATACAAACATATATATTATTGGTGAATTGGCTTTTGTTTGAATTATTAAAAGTTATTAAATTAATAAAATTATTGGTTTGAAAATGACATTTAATTTGATAATTCATATTAATAATATCATTGTGTATATTTGTCACTATCCAAATTCAAATTCGATAAAGTACATGTTTGATCCAAAAATAAACCATTGTAACATTTACTTGAGCGACTTTTATTATTCAGTAACAACACTCGTGATTATTTATATTTTTGTAGAGATTGTGATATATATATATTTATTATTGAGTGATCGCCCTTATTATTTACAAGTTCTAAAAAATGGAAAACAAAGACACTGATATATTGATGTAACACTATGGCAATTATACGGCGATCAGTATATTTTTGTGGAAAACAAAAACATTGTTTTTTTTTCAAAGATACTACAGTTTTTTTTCGGAAAAAGACACTTAACTAGCTTTAATCCGTTTATAAAGTTTAGGAAGACTATCAACATGTTACTGTTATGAAGACTATCTAAACATGTTACTGTTATTTATTTGTATCATTTACAAATACAAAAAAAAGCATGAAATAAACATTAGAATGCATTGATATTATAAAAATCATGCAGCAAAATACCTTAGCAACCGACATTGGGATGATGTTAGCTGCGGATAAATTATTTGGCATTTACTATTAAGAAAAGGTGTATATAATTTAATTCAAGATTCCAATATCGTTTTCTCTGCTATGACTTTTTAGTTAAATGGTAAACGCATGTGCAGTTTTTTTCCAGCTCTGCTTCTCGACCGTATTTTAATCCAACTACACTATTCACTACCAATGTTACGTATGTGTACTGTTAACTAAAATCATTTAACGATATAAAAACGAAAGTCGTTATCGAGGAAACAAAACAAGTATTGTTTTGGAGTCAACCATTTGCCCCCATTTGCGGATAGGAATTGACCAAATATCAAATTGTGATATTTATAAGTTTATACTTCTTTTGTCTTGTTCATCAAGAGGTATCGATCAAGTAAAGCTTAATTAAGAAACACAAGTTACAGAACTTTTCTGTTAAACAGTGACCAAGCATATAACTTGGTTAGATACTCCGGTTTGCTTAAATTTATACATATGTAAGTGGTGTATATATATCCCACGTTGCGCAAAATGATTGAGTCAACTTTGTATGAAAAAGTCGTGGACCAATCATGTTTTATTTTTTTTTTGTATTTTCTGTCCATTCTTTTTTGTTGTGTACTATTTAAATCTAAATTGCATAAAGCGTCATCACTCATCAGGCATCACTAATAACATAAACACCGGTCGTTCATTTTATGGCTTTTTGCTAAAAATAACTCAAAACTTGATTTTGAATACAAAAATAGACCCTTAAAAAATATTTAGCAGATATAACCTACAGGGGTAGTGAAAAGACCATTTAATCTTGTATGAGTAAACAAAAACCGGATGTCCTAATTACCGTTTTCTCCCTGACGAAGTCTACTAAAGTAAAACTGAAGTCTACTAAGTAATTAAATCTGTAAATTTAATTTTAAAATTTAGAAAAAATTATTTTGGTATCAGAATTACATTCATAAATTCTGTAATTGTAACACAAATGTATATATTGATAAATGGAAATTTTTGTTTTTAAATTAAGAAGAAGAAAATCTATTATTTAGGTTTTAAAATTTGTAGACTTCTATATTGAAGTCTGCTAAACCAAATAAATTAATCTAACCAAAATTTAAACCAAATTAAACCAAAATTGAACAAAAAATAGCTATTTTAACCGAAATTTAAACCAAAATTGAATAAAAATAAGTTTTCTTAACCAGAAAAACTTACCGTATATAAACTAGTTTTATAGCAAATAAACCCTAATTTTATCCCAAAGAAACTTTCGAGAAAGCGGCGCTCTCTCAGGCTCTCTTGCCGTTGGCATCGCTCGTCCTTGTTCTGCCTCGGCGTAAGATGCAGTTCTGCAGCCGGCCTCTTCGATTAATTTGCTATTTTTGCAGGAAGATTTCGATGTTTGCTTCAGTTAAAGGTAAGCCTCCTGGGATTTGTTTCAATTAGGGATTTTGGTTTATAATACTGTTCATCTTCTTCTTTATCTCTCTGTGTGATTTGATGAAATCTACGGTATCATGCTGTAGTAATAA